ATAAGAACCAGGTACCTTTTGGTTGAGGATTTAGTTAGTTACCTGTATAAGATCAGGGTACCTATTTTCTTATTGAAGATTTTTGGAGTTACCTTTATAAGAACCAGGTACCAGTTTCTGTACTGATCCTATTTTCACAGATAATTTCAGTTTGTTTCCCTGTAGTCAGAACATTTTACATTTGTTCTTATGATGCTACACAAATAATGACACTGTGCATAAACACTATACAATAACCTCTGTCACAATCGCCACTGTCCCACCATAAGTTCACCATTCTTGAACAGACAAATGGTCTGACTACCATCTATGTTTGTAGTCATGTACTGAAGTAGGCCACCTGGTTCAGTCTGTATGGGGACGAGGGAGATTATTGGCTCAGACACTGGATTAGGGATGACGGACATTTCTGTCATAAGATGGCGGTACACAGAGCAGGTCAGTTGAAGGGATGGCGTGTTGGCAGTGTCATCCTTCTGGTACAACCATCGTCTGAATGAACATAGTACCCTGCAGTCATAGCATGTCCAGAATCACTCACCATAACCACAATTGCTATTTCTTGTAAGATGCTTAGCCTTTAATTATTAATCCCCACTGTATTGTATATTCTCACTAAGATGTGCAACTGTGTCACTCAGTAATAACTGTTGTGTATATCTATGACTCAATCATTGTAAGATGACCATGGCCTATGTAGGCTTTCGTCCAAAGATGAAAAACTCCCAGAAGTTAACTTAAACATACAATCATCTAAACATGAAATAAAATGCCTGTCAAAACTAAAAATCCTGCAAAAGTGGCAAAGTAAGTATCAAAATCCAAATTCTAAACTAAAAACCTAAAAAAGGCCACTTAAAAAAATAACAATATACAATAAATCTAAAATTGTAGACTGTCCAATTACTAAATTACAAACAGGTCTCACAAGATTAAATTCCCACCTTCATAAAATCAAAAGCACCAAACAGGCAAGTTCACAGGACACTTCAATGACTAACACCTAGCACTACAAGCACTCCGGAGCCCACTTAATAATTAACTCCCAAACCTTCAAACCAAGATATTTTGTAAATTTGATTATATATCAAAGCCAGCCTTCTGTAAACCAACTAGAACCAATCTGAAAAATACATATCCTAAAAAAAACAATCAAACTACCCCAGACTTGTGCTCTGCCTACCTCTTCTGACAAATTTCCATTTTCATAATTCCTAAAAAAATCAAATTTGCAACCCTGACACACACGTGCACCCCTCAGGTTGTCTTCTCTTTTTCGTCATACGCCCCTCTTTCAATCTATCACTGAATGGCCTGGTGTCGCTTACTACCAGACCGCCTCCGTGGTGTAGTGGTTAGAGCGTCCACCCGGAGAGCGGAAGGTCATGGGTTCGATCCCTAACCACGTCATACCAAAAGACGTTAAAATATGGTACTTGTTGGTCCCTGCCTGGCACTCGGCATTAATGGGTACAACAAGGACTGGTTGGCTCAGAGTCAGTATAATGTGTCTGAGTGGGGTATTCATGCTTCACTGCGGCATGGTATCTCAGTGGGCTAGCACTATAAAACCAGCTTAAGTTTGGGCTAGTACAAGCAGCCGCACATACACATACACACGCATGCACGTCGTCATATGAGCGAAATATTCTCCAGCATGACGTTAAACCCAATTTCACCTCACCTCACCTCACCTCACCTCACCTCACCTCACTTACTACCAGGAATGGGCGGTGGTGCAGCCTAGTGGTTAAAGCGTTGGGTTGTCAAGCTGAAGACCTGGGTTCAATTCCCTACATGGGTACAATGTGTGAAGCCCATTTCTGGTATCCCCCTCCATGATATAGATGGAATATTGCTAAACAAAACCCATTCATTACTACCGAGATACTTAAACCGACCAGTTGCATATTGTAATATTGAATGGTGATGCTATTTCATCAGGTTTTTCTTCAGAGCCGTGCTGAAATGTGGCTGTATTATAAGATTAGATTTTCTTCAGAGCTTTGCTGGAAGAGCTCACTACTGTAATAATTAGATCTACTTCAAACCTTAGCTGGAACATGGAGTTCAAATGTCATCTGGTCTTCAAGTAACCTAGATAATGACGAGTTGGTGGCACAGAGTTTGTATCAAGGGTCGTGTAAGACTTTCATTTCCTCTTAAGTCGGTGACATTTTAAGCCCATATATGTTATGCTTAAATATCATTAGATGAGAGATTCCTGTCACTGTGTACAATGACCTTGTTTGCCCCTCATTTAGCCTTGGAGGTAGCACATAAGTACTGTCTTACATGAAACATTTAGAAACATTTCACCCTTATTTTTATAAAAGCCCTCAAGCAAAGGGTTGTCTCAGTCGTCTGTGACAAACACAAGTTTCAAGCCATAATAATTTTATTTATTTCCTGCTGTCCTAGATTGTAAGCTCAGGTTTTACCTCTGTCCTTTTGATCTTGTACTAAAGCCTCCTTCAGCTTTACTGAAGAGGGCTCAGGTGTTTGTTCAAATCTGTTGAAATTCTCACATGTCATTTAGAGTGCTTTGATGAAATAATATTTTCCTGAAACTTTTACGAAGAGAAACTGTCTGGATAGTCGATCTTTGTTAGCTACAAAGCCTATAAAACAAAAGTACATTTCTTCTGCTTGTTTTGAAATCAAGCTGTTAAAATTATTTTAAAGATGTTTGGTGGTAGTTTCTTGGAAGTTTTTCTAGTTGATCTGCAAAAAGATCTGTCACAATGAGATTGGAAGGCGTGTTCTTCCCTTGAGCACTGCTTCACCGTCCCCAATGTTAATCCCAGGCCACATCAATAACTAAATCCCTCTGTTCCTAAAGTCATCGTCATTCACTTAAGTTCAAGTGTCCAGCCTCCTGGAGGGATTAGCTAAATGTGAGGAGATTGTGCCCCCGGCGACTGTGATCAGTGGGAGAGAATGTCGTGATATTTGTCTTTGTGCACTAAATTGTACCAACAAGCTGAGGACATTGTGTGCACTAAATTGTACCAACAAGCTGAGGACTTTGTGTGCACTAAATTGTACCAACAAGCTGAGCACTTTGTGTGCACTAAATTGTACCAATAAGCTGAGGACATTGTGTGCACTAAATTGTACCAACAAGCTGAGCACTTTGTGTGCCCTAAATTGTACCAACAAGCTGAGGACATTGTGTGAACTAAATTGGACCAACAAGCCCAGGACTTTGTCTGTGTGAACTAAATTGGACCAACAAGCTGAGGACATTGTGTGAACTAAATTGGACCAACAAGCTGAGGACATTGTGTGAACTTAATTGGACCAACAAGCTGAGGACATTGTGTGAACTAAATTGGACCAACAAGCTGAGGACATTGTGTGAACTAAATTGGACCAACAAGCTGAGGACATTGTGTGAACTAAATTGGACCAACAAGCTGAGGGGGGCGGTGGGGTAGCCGAGTGGTTAAAGTGTTTGCTCGTCACTCCAAAGGCCTGAGTTCAATTCTCCACATGGGTACTATGTGTGAAGCCCATATCTTGTGTCCCCCGCCGTGATATTGCTGGAATATTGCTGAAAGCCGCGTAAAACCCAACTCACTCAACAAGCTGAGGACTTTGTGTGCTCTACACTGTACCTACACGCTCAGGACTTTGTCTTTGTGCATTAAATAGTACAATCAAGCTCAGGACTTGTAATTGAAATACTGCCACATCAAATCCACAGTGTTGTAACTGAGCCCATCAAGCTGAATCCACAGTGTTGTAACTTGTAACAGTGTTGTAACTGAACACAGTGTTGTAACTGAACCACAGTGTTGTAACTGAACCACAGTGTTGTAACTGAACCACAGTGTTGTAACTCAACCACAGTGTTGTAACTGATCCACAGTGTTGTAACTGAACCACAGTGTTGTAACTACCACAGTGTTGTAACTGAACCACAGTGTTGTAACTGAACCACAGTGTTTAACTGATCCACAGCGTTGTAACTGAACCACAGTGTTGTAACTGAGTTCAGAGTTGTAACTTCTCCACAGTGTTGTAACTGAACCACAGTGTTGTAACTGAACCACAGTGTTGTAACTGTTAACTGAACCACAGTGTTGTAACTGAACCACAGTGTTGTAACTGATCCACAGTGTTGTAACTGAACCACAGTGTTGTAACTGTTTGAACCACAGTTGTTAACTGAACCACAGTGTTGTAACTGATCCACAGTGTTGTAACTGATCCACATCAAGCTAATCCACAGTGTTGTAACTGAACCACAGTGTTGTAACTGAACCACAGTGTTGTAACTGAACCACAGTGTTGTAACTGAACCACAGTGTTGTAACTGAACCACAGTGTTGTAACTGAACCACAGTGTTGTAACTGAACCACAGTGTTGTAACTGAACCACAGTGTTGTAACTGAACCACAGTGTTGTAACTGATCCACAGTGTTGTAACTGATCCACAGTGTTGTAGCTGAACCACAGTGTTGTAACTGATCCACAGTGTTGTAACTGAACCACAGTGTTGTAACTGATCCACACTCATATCAAGCTGTCTTATAACTGAAATATTGATGAATGCAGTGCTCATCACAACCAACACATTCCTGTTATGACAAAGAAAGTAATTGGTTAACTTTCTTTAACAATTTTTGTGTCAAAACGTAAATTCAGTGCATATTCTTCCTGTCATTTTATCAGAATAAGTTCTCCCACATTAAGCTGACGCACCATAATGTCCATGGAATGCTTTACCAAACAGTGTTTAACTAAACTCTACCCAATGGTTTTCAGGGCTCTCATTGCACTTAGTTGATGTATTTATGTGCCAGAAATTGCTTGCAGGGACCGTTCTGCTCCCCAAAGCACTTTTTGGAAGTCCGTCAGTTTAATGCTGGAGGAAATCCCAAGGTAATGCACATCTCTGATTTTTACTACTGTAGTGTTATGAGCGTTCTCATTCTTGTAAAAGGTTTAACTAAACTCTACGGGGTATCACATGATGTTGTGTTTGTTGCAGGAAGAAGTTTAAGACTCGGTCAGGGCAGTCAATACGACTAGTGGAACTCTTGGACGAGGGGCTGAAACGAGCAGAGGCCAAACTGAAGGAGAAAGAACGAGATAAGGTTTGTGTCACTATCACTAAGATCCCCTTTAAGGTTCAGGATACGCTTGACGTTTACCAACCAAAGCTTGGATCAAGTGGTCAGGCCATCAGACTTGCTTCTGTTTGATGTGCATGATATCAATCAGTGGATTTTCAGGTCCAGACTCAATTAAACAACATAAAGCAAAATGTCCCAATCATTGTTGCAGTACTTTTGTCTCAGAAACTGTTTCAGATTTTGTGTGTCATTGATGTATTGTTGCTGTCTGCTGTCTCTTGGGTGTGAAATGATTATTGGTGGTGTTAGAGTCTCTCCTAGAGTTTCTCCTAGAGTTTCTCCAAGAGTTTCTCCTAGAGTTTCTCCCTGTTCCTGCTGCCTCCGTGGTGTAGTGGTTAGAGTGTACGCTCAGAGAGCGGAAGGTCGCAGGTTCGATTCCCGGCCGCGTCATACCAAAAGGCGTTAAAATATGGTACTTGTTGGTCCCTGCCTGGTTATCGGCATTAATGGGTACAACAAGGACTGGTCGGCTCTGAGTCGGAGTCTGCAGCATGGTATCTCAGTGAGCTAGCACTATAAAACCTGCTTAAGTCTGGGCTAGTACAAGCAGTCACACATACACACGCATGTATGTCTTCATATGAGCGAAATATTCTCAAGTACGAAGTTAAACCCAATTTCACCTCACCTCTCCCTTTTAGTTGTCTCAATATTCCATCTTGTGTCTATGTTCCTTTATTGTTTCAAAATCACAGAATCCACTGATGCCTCACTAATTTAACAGGTCACTTTCATTTACTCAGGATCATTCAATCAGAATCTCTCACTCAGGATCTCTCACTCACTCACTCACTTGGGATATCAGAATCTTTATCTCACTCAGGATCTTTCATTCACTCACTTAGAATTATGCAGAATAGTTTTTGCTGTGGATTTCAATTTTTTATCACAAGCATGTAAAAATGAATAATTTTATTTTTGAGATGTAAAAACATAGCAAAGAAAGCAACTTGGTGGAGGCAAAAATGTCTTCTTTGACATAGTCCTGTGACAAGTCCACCATGAGTCAGCTTTGTATCATTCATTGAATCGATTCTTGACTCTGTCCTTGATAGCAGCACCACGCTGAATGATCATATGTTAGGACATTTGGCCGACTGAAGAGTTCTTTTCTGTTGCCTAGCAACCCAATAATGAGTGGTAGTGTGACTGATTTTGATAGATTAAGGTATCTGTGAGCTAATTGGCATTGAGAGTTGGCCAACCTAGTTAGAGAGGTACCTGGCAGTTGGCGGCAGACGGACAACAACTCGGCCCCGACAGTCGAGGATGATGTATCTCTGCTGCTGCCAAAAGTTATGCTTTTCACGTTGATTGAATAATTCCATTGTCAACACTATTTGTAGTGATTGGTAAGAATGAGACAGATATCATGACAGTTGTATTTGTGTTGTTATCTTGGGCTTCATTTGGAGGATTGTTCTCACGGAGAGGTTGTGGATGTTATCTGTGTTTGAAGTGCCATGTTGGGAAACTTGGTCAGGGTTGTCAGAAGCACAAGAGCATTTAGTTGGTCAGGATTGTCGATAACCTACAGGAGTGTTTAGCTTTGTCTGTCGGCTTGAATGCATTTGCTTTTTTAGGGTTTGAAGGGAGACGTGTTTGACAGCTATTTGAGTTATTGAAAAGATGTTGATTCCAGTAATTGCACTGGGGGACTAAATATAGCTTTTATTTTTAGATTTGAACTTAAGCTGAGCTAGTTATAGCTCCTGAGGACCAAAAGGTGGTGTTGACAATTGTCTGGCCTAATGTGTTATTTCCGGACCCCTGTTAAGTCAACATGTCTCTCCACTAAACCTGGAATTCCTTATTATCTGACATTAACAAGCGACCATCATGCAGTGTCTGTGATGTTCGCGGACTGAGAGTCAAGCTCGGGTGTTTAGCCGAAGTGTTGTCCTACTCCCTGTAACTGCCATTTTTACCTTGTACTTAGTCCGAGCTGAGGATATGTTAAATATTTACACTTCTATGCATAAAGGGGGAAAATTTATGGATGTCAACTGCTGTATTTTTTACTGACACAACGTTTCGGATTATATTCTTACCACTTCGTCAGGTGAATGTTGATGATGGAGTAAGTGAGTGAGTGAGTTTAATTTTACGGCGCACTCAGCAATATTCCAGCTATATGGCAGCAGTCCGTAAATAAACGAGTCTGGACCAGACAATCCAGTGATCAACAGCATAAGATTGATCTGCGCAATTGGGAACAGATGATATGTGTCAACCAAGTCAGTGAGCCTGACCACCCGATCCCGTTAGTCGCCTCTTATGACAAGCATGGGTTACTGAAGATCAGTATTCTAACCCGGAACTTCACGGGTCCAGGAGTAAGAATATACTCCGAGGTGTAAAGAAGTTGACACCCATTAATTCTTGCCTTCATGTGTTTCACTTCTAAATGCCGTTCAAAGACTTTTATGCATGTTCAGTTGGCTTGGAGTGTTCCGAACTATGGATGTAATTGTGTGATACTCTGAATGTTCATAGTAGTTTAAGGGGAGCATCCTCTTTGTCTATATGTCCTTCACCAGTCTCCAGTTGAAGCTGTGACCTTGTGTCTGTATTGATAAGTGAAACTATAAGTTATCTAAAAAATCTGTAAGCAAAAGAATCTGGTGTGCAGCCAACCAGCAACGAAGAAATGTTACACAATTAACAGTTGTGTCAGAAATATTACCACATTAACATATCAAAACAAATTAGTTGTAAGTTAGTACAATGGTGGAAAAATAACGACAGTACTATACAGGGCAATACATTTACACTGGCAGCATAAAAATAAGTAACAGTGGTAATATCCATAGGCTGGATATCAAAGGTGAAAAAATTATATTCATGCAACTGCTGCTCTTGATGTGAGAAGGGACAGGCATGTGCTTCCCCCTCACAGAGTCTCAATACCTTTCGAAGTTTCCATGCAATGCTAGATTAGTCTGTACCCATTAAGGTCTGGGCTAGAATTGATCTTCAGTAACCCATGCTTGTCATAAGAGGTGACTAACAGGATCAGGTGGTCAGGCTCGCTGGCTTGTTTGACACATGTCATCAGTTCCCAATTGAGCAGATCGATGCTCATGCTGTTGATCACTGGATTGTCTGGTCCAGACTCTATATTTACAGGCCGCCGCCATATAGCTGGAATATTGCCGAGGGCAGCGTTAAACTAAACTCACTCACTCACTCACTCACTCACTCACTCACTCACTCACTGGATTAGTCTGTGCTGTTCAAGAGTATTCCCGACTACACTTGACTACATAACCATCTAAATGTAGTAACTTCCACATCACTGCTTTTATTAGGTCGTAATATTTGCCCAACTAATTATTGTGAAAATGTAACATTATGAAGTTCCACTGAATCTCAACAGAAATAATGAAAGACAATACAACATTGTTTATAAATAAACTATGCTGCCATATAACAGTATTATTAGAGGCATTGACAACTTCATCATACAGTTTTAATTGGAACACAAGCACAGAATCAATGTATTTACTACAATCCATAAAGCTGGGATGGTCAGTTTATTGAAGCCATGTTCCCCTCTAACTTTAAATCAATATGCCACTGATTAAAGTCACTGTAAACAAAACATAGTGTCTCTAGCAAGTTCTGTCAAATCACATGCTGTCACTTAGAGGTTGTGGTTGCAAGGAGGATTGTATTTTGGTTGTTTTGTGTGTCCAGGAGGAATTAATCGACAGGTGTTGTCCTGTTTGCAAGGTGTGTGTTGTAACTGGGTGTTGTGTGTCCAGTAGAGTTAGGGTCAGCTGTTGTCCAATTTGCAAGGTGTGTGTTGTAACTTGGTGTTTTGTGTGTCCTCGAGATTAATGGACAGGTGTTGTCATGTTTGCAGGGTGTGTGTTGTAATCAAGAGTTATGTTTGTGCAGGTTCTCACCCCTGAGGAGCTGAAGAAGGCGCAGGAAGCTGTGGCGTATGGCTGCATCAAGTATGCAGATCTCTCCCACAACCGGACACATGACTACGTCTTCTCCTTCGACAAGGTAATGTACTACAACACTTGTATGTTGACAATGTATATCAAAGAAATCTCCATCCACGAAGATCTGGTGTAGAATTGATCTTGTCGTAAGAGGCAACTAATGGGATCAGGTGGTTCTGCTCGCTGACATGCAGACACAAAGATTTTGTCATGTGAGATAAATAAAGACCTATCTTTTTTCAGATGTTGGATGATCGAGGGAACACAGCTGCCTACCTACTATATGCCAACACTCGTATCAGGTAACCACATTCGTCACTCTACAGGTGACCCAGTCCTCCATGGCAGTACCTGTGCTGATGGGTTTCCAAGCTTACCTGTGCTCATGGATTTCCGAGCTTACCTGTGCTGATGGGTTCCTGAGCTTACCTGTGCTCATGGATTTCCGAGCTTACCTGTGCTGATGGGTTCCTGAGCTTACCTGTGCTCATGGATTTCCGAGCTTACCTGTGCTCATGGGTTCCTGAGCTTACCTGTGCTCATGGATTTCCGAGCTTACCTGTGCTCATGGTTTCCAAGCTTACCTGTGCTCATGGGTTCCTGAGCTTACCTGTGCTCATGGATTTCCGAGCTTACCTGTGCTCATGGTTTCCAAGCTTACCTGTGCTCATGGGTTCCTGAGCTTACCTGTGCTCATGGTTTCCAAGCTTACCTGTGCTCATGGGTTCCTGAGCTTACCTGTTCTCATTGGTTTCCCCAAAGTGGTAAATGTCTGAGACTTGCAGCACTTTCTACCCAGATTAGACATAACTGGAATAGTTTTCAACGTGGTGTTATACCACACTCGCTCACTGTGAAACCCAAGTCATTTACGCTGATAAAACCTACTTCACTTATCTGCAACTCACATGAGGTCTAAGATCACAGAGAAAATCGCAGAATTCTGGCATGTGCATTTTGTTGTGAACATATGTACCTGTTTGTTGATTTTGTTGTGTGTGTGAACTGTTGAAATGATGGTCTACTGAATCCAAACCTGCAAAACAGCAATTGCTGCCTAGCTTGCTTCATATAGATGTACAGTTTCAGAACTGAAACATAATTGTCCTTTTCATTCAGGAATCAGTTAAGAACTTATTGAAGGGAATCAAGTTCCTTACAGTTTATTAAAACAATGCAACAAACCCGTTAGGCGTGTTCCAGATACCTGTGTTTGGGGTTCCGAGTTCCAGATTCCAGGTTTCTCACACAGTACCCGTGTTGGGGGATTTCACCACAGTGGTGAACATCATAGGCCTGCATCACTAACACCCCATGATATCACTGGAAATTGTCAAACTTCTGTTGAACAAAACTGACTGTGTAATCTTAAGTCTTTGTTTAGCAGAATCTGAAGGTATGTCTTGAAACTTTGCTCCCAAATCTCTGAGTGTCTGCTAATTAACAACCAATGGGCCTTTTTGTCTTGTCAGGTCAATTGCCCGTCTGGCCAATGTGTCTGCAGAGGATCTGAAGAAGGCTGCAAAGACTACCCTCATTGACTTGAGTCATGAGAAGGAGTGGAAGTTGGCCAAATGTCTGCTACGTTTCCCAGAGATCATCTGTAAAATCCTTGATGACCTATACCTTCACACCCTGTGTGACTACCTGTACGAGATCTCCACGACCTTCACAGAGTTCTATGACAACTGCTACTGCATCGAGAAGGACAAACAGACAGGTGATGCACTAAATTTTAAATTAAAACTTGGTCTCCTCATTTGCATACTCACTCCACAATTACTTCCTTCCTTCATATTTCGGGTGTCCCCACTGAGATATTGCTGGGATATTGCTAAAAGCGGCGTAAAACCATACTCACTCACTCACCTCCCTCCCTCACTCACTCCTGTAGATTGGAAGATGCTGTAAAATGCTCTTGACTTGTGCTATACCTTCAAGAATTGCTCCCCTTGCTTGGTGTTGTGTTTGACCAACTCTCCTGACAACCTATGTAAATCCCACATGTAGGCCCCTCGTGGTGTGTCCCAGTTGGTCCCCAGCAACGCATGCTTGTAGTAGGAGAATACTTGGTGGTCTTCAGCCATGGTCACTTGTTTCTGGTGTGTTGGCACTGAGGCTTTGGATCATATTATCAGTCAGTGTCACTCTCAATCCCCTCTTCACTGAATTTGTTAATGACCACTCTCAATATCTGTAATAATCTAAACCACTCTCTTTAGGCACCTTAATCATTCTCTGAACTGAACCTCATAGTAACTCCAACGCTATCTCTGAAATCCTTTAAGTTTGAAACCTTCCTACTCACTCATTGACATTTACACTCTGTAACCCGCCCGCTACATCTGTAACCCCGCCCTCTATCTCTGTAACCCCACCCGCTATCTCTGTAACCCCACCCCTCTATCTCTGTAACCCCCTCACTCATCTCTGTAACCCCACCCTCTATCTCTGTAACCCCGCCCTCTATCTCTGCATCCCCACCCCTCATTCACCCTCTGGATCCCCCTCACTCACCCTCAGGATCCCTTTCACTCACCCTCAGATTCCCTTCACTCACCCTCAGGATCCCCTCAATCTCAGGATCCCTCAAACTCAATCGCAAGATCCCTCCAACTCAATCTCAAGATCCCCCTCACTCAATCTCTGGAACCCCTCACTCACCCTCAGGATCCCCTCACTCACCCTCAGGATCCCCTTCACTCTCTCTCTCTCTCTCCCCCTCTGGGGAACCCCCTCACTCACCCTCAAGATCCCCCTCACTCACTCCCTGGAGCTCCCTTACTTGCCCTCAGGATGCCCCTCACTCTATCTTGAGAGCCCCCTCACTCCTTGGATCCCTTCACAACTCACAGTGCCTGAACCCTGGTTGCCACAGTCTCTTCTTCAACAGCCACAGACAGGACTTCACTAGACAATCAGCTTGGAATGTGTTTTTATTGATTGAGGAGAAATTAATGTAAGGAAGAACCTGAGTCACTCTTTAAAAGCATGTTTTTCTTCCCCCAGTTAATCACAGTAAATAAATGAGAAAGCCAAGCATTTCTTCCTCAATCGTGTGTAATGTGCTGTGAGCCATGTCATTGTGTGGGCAGCTTGACATGGGGAGACTTGACTCCCCAGATAAACTCAGACAAATGTTCTCAAACCTACAAAAACAAATGGAGTGGATGAGAGTTTCTCATTTACAAACTTGTTCACAATGAATGACAAATGTTATTCAAGTGCAAAATGTCGTTCGGAACATTAAACATTCCCAGGGTAGGTTACAGATTCCTGGCCTGACTGAGCGAGTTCCCAAACATCGTGAGTGATAGTTGTAGAAAGACTTTGAAATGGAAATTTGTGGATGTTTTAAGGTGCGGGATGTCTGGTTCATGTGTTATGGTGCCTGCAATGTATCTTGTAAACTGTCTTGAGACAAAACAGTGTAGCTATCAGTGCATCTCCCTGACATAGTGTAGCTGTCAGTGCATCTCCCTGACATATAGTGTAGCTATCAGTGCATCTCCTGACATATAGTGTAGCTATCAGTGTATCTCCCTGACATATAGTGTAGCTATCAGTGTATCTCCCTGACATATAGTGTAGCTATCAGTGCATCTCCCTGACATATAGTGTAGCTATCAGTGCATCTCCCTGACATATAGTGTAGCTATCAGTGCATCTCCCTGACATATAGTGTAGCTATCAGTGTATCTCCCTGACATATAGTGTAGCTATCAGTGTATCTCCCTGACATATGACATATAGTGTAGCTATCAGTGTCATCTCCCTGACATATAGTGTAGCTATCAGTGCATCTCCCTGACATATAGTGTAGCTATCAGTGCATCTCCTGACATATAGTGTATAGTGTAGCTATCTCCTGACATATAGTGTAGTCAGTGCATCTCCCTGACATATAGTGTAGCTATCAGTGCATCTCCCTGACATATAGTGTAGCTATCAGTGCAGTGTAGCTATATCAGTGCATCTCCCTGACATATAGTGTAGCTATCAGTGCATCTCCCTGACATATAGTGTAGCTATCAGTGCATCTCCCTGACATATAGTGTAGCTATCAGTGACATATAGTGTAGCTATCAGTGCATCTCCCTGACATATAGTGTAGCTATCAGTGCATCTCCCTGACATATAGTGTAGCTATCAGTACATCTCCCTGACATATAGTGTAGCTATCAGTGTATCTCCCTGACATATAGTGTAGCTATCAGTGCATCTCCCTGACATATAGTGTAGCTATCAGTGCATCTCCCTGACATATAGTGTAGCTATCAGTGTAGTATCAGTGCATCTCCCTGACATATAGACATATAGTGTAGCTATCAGTGCATCTCCTGACATATAGTGTACATATAGTGCAGTGTAGCTATCAGTGCATCTCCCTGACATATAGTGTAGCTATCAGTGCATCTCCCTGACATATAGTGTAGCTATCAGTGCATCTCCCTGACATATAGTGTAGCTATCAGTGCATCTCCCTGACATATAGTGTAGGTATCAGTGCATCTCCCTGACATATAGTGTAGCTATCAGTGTATCTCCCTGACATATCCCAATGCATGTCCATGTTATTGTGTCCTGTTGATTGAGGGAGACATCTTGTGATGTGTTATGTCTTTGTGTGTTTCAGGTGAAGTGAAGAAGATCAACATGAGTCGTCTCTTACTTTGTGAAGCCACGACGAACATCATCAGTGCCATCTTCCAGATCCTGGCCATCACTCCTCTGGAGAAGATGTAGAGGACAACCAAGGGCACACCATTATTAGGCTGAAATACTATCACGCAGTTATCTCCCCCTTGTCCCTATACCAGATTGCATTGGCAGTCAATCAGTGAAATGGTTTTTGGTTTATGTCCATGTTCGAATCCGGAATTAATGAGATTATTGCTTACACTATACTCCATCTGTTTTTAGCCCCAAACTGACTTTCTCAACAAATAGGTTCTAAAGAAAAGGAAATGTCAATGTTCTTTAGGTGTGTTGGATCAAATGTTTTATCAAGTTACGTAAGTTTGTCACACAGATTATGTGTTGTTGTAAATTAAACCACAAATAGGGTACTCAGTGCCGAAACACAGATACTGCAAATACCTGCGTCTGGATGAAGATTGTTCAACTGTCAAATGTCTGCTGTTGAAAACTCCAGCCATCCAGAGTTGGATTTACGTCAGAAAATGGTGTAATGTGATGATTTGTATACTTGGAGTATACTTTTGTTCAGAAACAATTGTGAATAAACTGCTCTTACATTATGTGTGATGTGTTTTTGCAAATTTCTGTGATGTACTCAACCGAACCATACTAGAAACGTTGCACTGGTTTGATTCAGTTAGTACAGCTGTGTGATGCAGTCAGTACACCTATGTGTTGCAGTCAGTACACCTGTGTGATGCAATCAGTACACCTTTGTAATAAAATCAGTACACCTGTGTTATGCTGTCATTACACCTATGTGATGCAGTGAGTACACCCTTGTGATGCAGTGAGTACACCTGTGTGATGCTGTCAGTACACCTTTGTGATGCAGTGAGTATACCTTGCGATACTGTCAGTACACCTGTGTGATGCAGTCAGTACACCTTTGTGATGCAATCAGTACACCTGTGTGATGCTGTCAGTACACCTGTGTGATGCAGTGAATAACCTTTGTGATGCAGTGAGTACACCTGTGCGATGCTGTCAGTACACCTATGTGATGCAGTAAGTACGCCTTTTTGATGCAGTGAGTACACCTGTGTGATGGTGTCAGTACACCCGTATGATGCAGTCAGTACACCTGTGTTATGCTGTCATTACACCTATGTGATGCAGTGAGTACACCCTTGTGATGCAGTGAGTACACCTGTGTGATGCAGTCAGTACACCTGTGTGATGCAGTCAGTACACCTATGTGTGATGCAGTCAGTACACGCTGTGATGCAGTCAGTACACCTGTGTGATGCAGTCAGTACACCTGTGTGATGCTGTCAGTACACCTGTGTGATGCAGTCAGTACACCTGTGTGATGCAGTCAGTACATGCGTGTGATGCAGTCAGTACCTGTGTGATGCTGTCAGTACACCTGTGTGATGCAGTCAGTACAGCTGTGTGATGCAGTCACACTGTACAGCTGTGTGATGCAGTCATTACACACCTGTGATGCAGTCAGTACACCTGTGTGATGCAGTCACACCTGCTGGATGCTGTCAGTCAGTATGTGTGTGTGATGCAGTCAGTACACTGTGTGTGATGCAGTCAGTACACCTGTGTGATGCAGTCAGTACACCTGTGTGATGCAGTCAGTACACCTGTGTGATGCAGTCAGTACACCTGTGTGATGCAGTCAGTACACCTGTGTGATGCAGTCAGTACACCTGTGTGTGATGCAGTCAGGTATTGATGCAGTCAGTTGTGTGATGCAGTCAGTACACCTGTGTGATGCAGTGTACCAGTACACCTGTGTGTGATGCACACCTGTGTGATGCAGTACACCTGTGTGATGCAGTCAGTACACCTGCGTGGCATGTCCAGTACACCTGTGTGATGTCAGTACATGCGGTAATACACCTGTGTGTGCAGTCAGTACACCTGTGATGTGATGCAGTCAGTACACCTGTGTGATGCGGTGTGTCAGTACACCCGTGTGACACCTGTGTGCAGTCGTACACCTGTGTGTGTGTCAGTGCACCAGTACACCATGTGTGATGCAGTAGGTACACCTGTGTGATGCAGTCAGTACACCTGTCTGTGATGCTGTCAGTACACCTGTGTGATGCGCACCTGTGTGTCAGTACACCTGTGTGATGCAGTCAGTACACCTGTGTGATGCAGTCAGTACACCTGTGTGATGCTGTGTGTGATGCAGTCAGTACACCTGTGTGATGCAGTCAGTACACGGGCATTACCTGTGATGCAGTCACCTGTGTCTGATAGTACAGTATCTGTGTGATGTCAAGTACATGTGTGTGATAGGTACACCTGTGTGTGTGATGATGCAGTCATGCAGTCAGTACACCTGTGTGCAGTGCACCTGTGTGCACCTGTGTGATGCAGTCAGTACACCTGTGTGATGCTTTGTGAGTCAGTCAGTACACCTGTGTGATAGTACACCTGTGTGATGTCTGTACACCTGTGTGATGCATGTGTGATGCAGTCATGTTTGAAGTACACCTGTGTGATGCAGTCAGTACACCTGTGTGATGCAGTCAGTACACCTGTGTGTGATGCAGTCAGTACACCTGTGTGATGCAGTCAGTACATGTGTGTGATGCAGTGAGTACAACCTGTGTGATGCAGTCAGTACACCTGTGTGATGCAGTCAGTACAGTGCAGTCAGTACACCTGTGTGATGCAGTCAGTACACCTGTGTGATGCAGTCAGTACAGTGTGTACACATGTGTGATGCTGTGATGCAGTCAGTGTGTGTGATGCAGTCAGTACACCTGTGTGATGCAGTCAGTACACCTGTGTGATGTCAGTACACCATGTGTGTGATGCAGTGATGCAGTCAGTACACCTGTGTGATGCAGTCAGTACACCTACACCTGGTGATGTAGTCAGCATGTGTGATGTGTGATGCAGTCAGTACACCTGTGTGATGCAGTCAGTACACCTTGTGTGAGTCAGTACACCAGTGATGTACAACTGTGTGATGTCAGTACACCTGTGTGTGATGCAGTCAGTACACCTGTGTGATGCAGTCAGTACATGTGTGTGATGCAGTCAGTACATGTGTGTGATGCAGTCAGTACACCTGTGTGATATGTGCATGTGTGTGATGCAGTCCAGTACACCTGTGTGATGCAGTCAGTACATGTGTGTGATGATGTCAGTACACCTGTGTGATGCAGTCAGTACGCCTGTATGATGCAGTCAGTACAACTGTGTGATGCAGTCAGTACACCTATGTGATAGTACACTCGTGTGATAGTCTGTACACCTGTGTGATGCAGTCAGTACACTTGTGTGATGCAGTCAGTACACCTGTGATGCAGTCAGTACACCTGTGTGATGCAGTCAGTGTGTTTGATGTAGTGTGTGATGCAGTCAGCATGTGTGTATGATGTAGTCAGTACACATGTGTGGTGCAGTCAGTACATGTGTGTAATGCAGTCAGTACACTGGTGTGATATAGTCTGTACATTCGGAGCTATCTGGTTCTTGCAAATACTACCCGAAATGGTCATAAATTGGTATTACTGATGCAGTCAGTACACCTGTGTAATAGTACACTCGTGTGATATAGTCTGTACATGTGTGCTGGGGTGAACCAGTCATCTTAGGTGCCACATATCGATGTAGTGTCCTTTGATATAACATTTGATTGTGGTTTGACCCTGATTGTGTTTGGTCAGCACCATATCATGGCTTGTGGGTTTCACTAAGGTGGTAAAAGTGTATCACTACAGGCTTTTCTAGCTCATTGTGGTTACACTCATTTAACCTAACTCACCCATTAACTCCATACAATAGTGCCCTACAGTCAATCCTGTTTGTTATTTAACACTAACTTTCCAGCGGCCGTGGTCTGTAAGTAATCGATTTTGGTCCCGTCAATTCAGTCACTGACATCATTAGTACATATAGATCGATATGGATCCAATGACACACCTTGGAAGGTACAAAATTGGTTTGTCAGAACTTCCAATTCCAGGGTCAGGGTCGTAATCTGAAAATCCCACACACACCAATCAGTGGTGGATATTGTGAGCCTCGACCCATCCCATTAGGCTACGAGGACACAATGAACAAAATCGACCAGGAACGGTTGCTGGGAGCCTGTTCTCACTCGAATCCACAGAGGTAATAAACACATAGGGTACATTGAAGTAAATATGTTTCACACCACAGGGGCTTGCTTTGCTGAGAATAATACCTAACAGTCCAAAATAAGTAAATAAGTAATATGAAGATGTCTATCAGCGAACGAGTGTTGGATCTAGGACGTATTATTTTCAGCAATACAAGTCCCTGTGTTTCACACGCAAATCGACCGGATTTTTCGAGCACCCGGCATTCGAATGGTTAGGCAACAATATTCTGGCTTTGTCCCGCTGAAACCATTCTCGTCGTTCATCCCTGCCTCAACTTAATAGTTAGTCAACAAGATGGCGTGAAAGGGGTCCTTGGTATTTCAGGGAGGTCTGCAGGTAATGCCTCTAACAGTAAGGACAATCCTTTACTTTAACACAGACTCAGGACAGTTGTAGTGCTTTGTGAACGGGGTCCAGGACTGTTGTCTAGTGGGACGGTCTACTAGGACGTATGTACGCACATGAGCTTTAATCAAGCACCATCCACGTTTTGGATGTGATACGTATGAAAACTGTACATGCTCTGAAAACCTAATTCTGGCCAGACGAGGTCATCACGGTCATTGGTCTTCCTCGGTGTTCTTGGTGTTCTATGTCTTCTCGGTCTCGGAGGATCCCCAGTGGGCGGCCCCAGAGGTCATCACAGTCATTGGTCTTCCTCGGTGTTCTATGTCTCGGAGGATTACGGTCATTGGTCTTCCTCGGTGTTCTAAATCCGGCCAGACGAGGTCATCACGGTCATTGGTCTTCCTCGGTGTTCTATGTCTCGGAGGATCCCCAGTGGGTACCTGCTTTCTTAAAAATGGACAGACAGACCTGCGATAATTGTTCAAGATAGCACCTATGTTGTGGCAAATAATTCAAATAATATAAGTTCTTATCGAGAGCTTTATTAAATAGACTTGATACCCTGCTTTGCCAATCTGCAATACAAACCATTCATTCAAATGTTCGACTGGTGTAGTAATTCTGTTGTAATTTGTAACAGAGAGATGCTTGGAATATTTCGTATCAACGCAGAAAGTGTTACGGTCGACGTCTTTCTATTTGTGACTTTCTGTTATTTGTATTTTCTGGTAGACCTTCCATACAAAAGTCAAGAGCTGTGAGTGAGCACACGACGCTTGAGAAACATCTACAATTTTATTCATTTACCTAATTGAACCAATCACTTATATCATGTTACTAATGTATTGCAAATTTGAAGCCAATTCCTGGCACTTTTCACACCTACATTGACAACTATTTAAAAGAGAAGACAGTTTCTTAGCGCTTCTTCCGAACAGAGGTGTCCTTGGTTACCCGAACAGGAATGGCTTTAGGTTTTGCAGGTGGGATGGGTTTCTTTTCTGTTTTAAGACTTGGCTTGTGTTTTGACATAAGTCCTCCACCGGAAGTGACCTTCGTCTTGCTCTTACTTTTAGTTGTGACCTTGGCCTTAGTGAGACTGTCTCCAGAGGCAGAAGGATCTTTCGTTCGTGATTTTATGTCGCTGAATTTTGTATTCTTGGACCTTCCTGTGCAGAGTCTGTGAGCCTTCTTTGCCTGGACTGTTGGAGCGACAGCGGTGAGAATTGCCCGATTCTTGTCTTGAGTCTGACAGATCAGTGGAGCAGTCTGTGGACGGAGGGCTGCTAGTTCACGGACAACAAGCTGATGAGAGGATCTCAGCTGCTTCAGCTCTTCCTCTAACATTTTCCTCTGCTCCACTCCCGCCTGTTTCTCTGCCCCCCAGCTGCTGGCGAGTCTGTCCAGCCTGCGTTTCACCTCCTGGAAATCTACGGGACCCATGTTGCTGCTGAGCATGTAGTTGAGATTGTCCAGTTTAAAATCTCTGAGTCCGAGGTCGAGGTCTTGTTGCTCATTCTCCTGTCGCAGCTTCTGGTTCTCATCCAGGAGATGATCAACAACTCTGGAGGAGACAACAATATGTTTCACATGAGTCATATCATCCTTCTCCCAACATAACTACATGCTAATGTAAGACATTATACCATCAATACTTAATACATTTACTGTATCAATAACGTATTTCAGCTAAATATTCCCTGCCAATCACTTTCTACAACGCCGGCTCACAGTGACCACAAATGCCATGCTGAACTAACTAAACTCATGATCTCTGGGTGCTGCGTGCAGGGTAGGACATGCTTCCCTTTTCGCGAACACCAAGGGTCGTCACTGATTTTCAGTGGTCCATTTATGTAATTTTCACAGGTGTTTTGCCAGATGGAATCTGTTTATGAGGATATTCAAAACTGGGTATTTTTTATGATATTTCAAATTTACCTTGTTTCGGAAATATTAAACATTTCAACATTATATCGACACGGGCAAGTCGCCGATACATCTTGTTGGTTTACGGACGCATCAGAATGAAAAAGCTAACGCTGAGAGTATTTATATACTTCAATGAATGCAAGCGTACAAAGAAATATTTGTATAATCAGTATGTTTAGCAGTACGTAAAATATTCGATACAAGTTTGAGTTTCGGAAAACCAAAGTTAGAATGTTGTTGTTTTTACGGTGGGTTTTCTGCCTGCTATTCAGGAATTGTTATGAAAGAGACTACATACAATGAATGGGAAAGTCCGACCGTCTACCCTCAAACAAAGGGGGCGTGGGTGCCCTATCGTCTAAGGCGTTACTATTCGACGCAGAGTTGCGTCTGTTGGGCTCGATAAAAATCAATGACTGTAGGTTCTGTTCCCGGTTCGCCCCAATTATGTTTCGCCATGTTCATCTGATCACTTGAGCACGTTGTTATACACATGGACAGATTTGGGAAGTATCTGTACACATGCTTAGCAAATCCGGCAATCGACAGAAATCTGTACTGCAGTCGCCATGTTGTCTGTGAAGCAGGTGTCGATTCAAATACTACTGGACTATGCATCAATGGGTTGGTCAAGACAAATAAACCTCCAATTTCCAGCCTAATTGGGCAAGAGCTGAAACTGGATTACTATAGTGAGTTACTTTTTCTCCCTCGACCGCCATATAGATGGAATATTGCAGAGTGCGGCGTCAACAAACAAAGCTGCTTAGGTAATGTTTGCACTCTCATTTGTCATGAACGGAAATGGAAGGTTTATGAACCTGTGGTTGCTTACCTTTCCACTACAATCCCGACTTGAAATTTGATGTCCATATATCGAGCTGCAACAACCATATGGATTATATAAACACCTGGACACCCATATGCTGAAGTTGGACACATTGTATTTGTGGCCTTTCATTCAAACCGACCAACACCGTACGCCAACAATATTATGATCAATGAGAAATTCAAATTGATAACGTTTGTTTTATTCATAACAAACACCTCATACCAAGAAAAACAACTGATACAAATATAACAGTACGGTCTCATCTGGAGATGTGATTGAATGGTTAAACTACCAACTAAGAGCGATATCAAACAATAGTCGATATCAGCATAAGTCTTCAAAATGTAATCAAATTTTCAAAATATATATACTCTGCGAGAATAATTACCTTTGCATAACACAGTTTGCAATACACAAAAGTTACTTTACGCAATGTCTTAACTCTGACCTATACAAAAGCCGCCTTCTTTGTAGAATAGTTTGTCATCTGATAAACAAACAGTTTTCTGAATTGTTTCACAATTAAGTAAGCACAGAACGATGACGTAATGAGAAACATGCAATGTACACGCCAACGTTCAGTCTCGCAATGTCTTAGGACATTTACAGAACCATGCATGCATTGGGTTTCACCAGATTCAAATATCTGAGGCCAGCATTCTCAAACCACATCGTGCTTAAACTGGAATATATCAAAGCGGCGGTAAACACACTTATTCAGTTACACCAATTGTAAGCAGTTTCAAAAGCATATAGCTACCAAGTAGATGTTCCCGTATGTCCGATGCCGTTGGGCTAGACGGGCAGGGGTCGGGTTCCTCCAGGACGGGAGAGAGGCGTGCCCCGTATTTCCACCGTTCTACCCGATACTGAGTCATCTGCAGTGATAGTTTCGATTTACATGCAGGTCGCGACAGTATGAAAGACCCACGTTTTAAATGTTGACTACTGAAGTTGTGGAAAACTTCGAAATATAGGATTAGCAATTATTTATACTGAGACAAATAACGTATGTACGAAGATTTTGAGAGAAAACATTGTGAGCAAAAGCATGACCTAAAATAAGATGGGTTTTTACCCGATGTATGTACTGTTCTATTTACATCTCTTAAGCTAGCAGCAAAAACTAAAACTAGTAAAACCCTTTTGAAACCAATAACTTGGCCTTTCTAGCACAATTACGGATTATGTTTTCAATAAGAATTGCGTCTATTCTCAAGCAGGCAAGTCTCAAATTTTCATTCATGTTTTGAGTGTATTAAGTGGTTTTTCAGATGATTGGAGACAGCGCTATCAATAAAACCTTCAATAGTAGCTACATTAGAGACAGTAGAAACATACAAAAGATAACAAGTACCTTCTAAGATTGGAGTCAGATGTGAAATAGCAATAACATCAATCGTGACGCGCAAAACCAAGCCCTGTTGATCCTCTTCGTCAAGGTACTATTCTGTGACGTCATCCCTGTCATTTCTGTCTGTGACGTCATCAGAATTGTCTTTGTTCGGCACTCGGGTCCACTCGGTTTATTCCGTCACTAACACATCCGTCGTTACCAGGGTCGAGGCACATCCTATGTTAAAGCTTTGACAGCACTGTAAATACTGCGCTGCTTTCCTCACACTACTCAAGCATGATGTTCGTTCCTTTACTAACGTTAAAGGTTCAGGGTATATTTTTGTTACAAATTACACAACAAATATTTGAGACCAACAGCATTAGTTCTCAGTTAGTGCGTTCATTGAGCTATTAAAACATTACCATATGTCTGGTAACCAGGCTTCCCTAAAGGTGACCCTACTTAACCAGTTTAACCAGTGTTATACACAATTACTTAGGGTAGTACCCGAAATAGAATACACAAAATGCAATCTTAGATACGATACAAATGGCTGACAGGAGAAATTAAACTGGGGGATTATTTTCCACAAAAACAAAGTAAATATTTTGAATGAGTTTTGTTTGTGTTTTACACAAACATTATGTACGTGTTATCAAATACCACAGATATCGTAACTAAAAGCAGGGAGACTATATAACGTAGATTATATTTTGTATATGTTGTAGATTATCCCTGCTAAAAGCGAGGTCGTCAGCGCCTCACCCAGAGCAATGTGTTTTTCTGGTCAATTGCGAGTATATTATGTTCTCTTATACAAATAATACTATTCTTTATAACTTTGCACAATTTGTAAAACTTGCACTTCTTAAAAGAAAGACAATCCTTGATGTTTAATCTCGCCAAATAATAAGACATAGTGAACATGGGCCAGTGGCCTTTATACTGGAATAAACAATTAAACAACTGAATTGACAGTTATTGATGGAGCTATTGACTATGCGACCGTCAATCTAAGCAGATATACAAACGAAACATGACGCCGAAATAATATTTCGAATTTAGAGGATCGCCCTTTTCAAGGTGTTCTCTTGATGCAGTGAGCCAAGATGATCCCATAGGTGATAGGTGTTCCATAGGAGGCAAGCTAGGGTACTCATCACTGAACATAGCTCGAACCCAGTCCCACGGAATGATGTGCTGATTCCTGCAGAAAGTAAGCGTCTCTTGTTGTGGTCCTACTACTGTGATGACCTAACACCGTCGCCAACGTCGCCGTGGATAACCCATGATGTAGTTGTTACCATAGACTAACAGCTAGTCTCTGAAATGAACATATTTTACAGAAAATAAAAGTTTTAAATTAAAATTGTAAATACAATAAAAAGGAGCCCAGTGACTTTCTTAATTTTCCTGAAGCTGTGGAAATCTAGACTTGCCACATTTGCTAGACTTGCGTGGGCTTTCTTGGATATATTTGCTTCAGGGTCTGTACAGCAGATTATTGTTACCAAACAGATAGTACCGGTGCTGAAGATAATTTGCAAATCATTTCTGACTTATTGAACCGTCATTTACAAGAAAGAGAAATCTGCAACAGTTTAAAGATCGTAAAGTAAACATAAAATCACACCGTCACGAGGTACATATTCCACAAAGCGATCGTTACACCAAGATCCGGAAATCTCGTGAGAAGGAGATGATTTTACAGTCTCTTCTTTGACTTTTGGCAAGATTTTTGACTGATCGAATCATATGATGCTCTGTTTTGAAGTCGCCAACAAATAGGAAGTTTGCTGTTTGTATGTACTCGAAAGCTATCCTAGTCGCGAGAGGCGGCCGAATGGGTTGGGTAGTCAGGCTTGTTGACTTGCTTCATTGCGTGCGTTCCTATCTCCAAGGCGATTGAGGGTGCTCCAACTATCGATCACTGGATTGTGTGGTCAAGACTCGATTATTTTGTCTGTCGTCATATAGCTGTAATACTGCTATGTTAAACAAAACAGTAAATGTGGGCTGTTTAATACGAAAGCATGGTTTATCGTTCATTTAAACGAGACTGAGGTGAGGTGAGGTGAAATTGGGTTATACGTCGTGCTTGAGAATATTTCGCTCATAGGATGACGTGCATGCGTGTGTATGTGTATGTGCGGCTGCTTGTACTAGCCCAGACTAAAGCTGGTTTTATAGTGCTAGCCCACTGAGATACCATGCCGCAGTGAAGCATGAATACCCCACTCAGACACATTATACTGACTCCGAGCCGACCAGTCCTTGTTGTACCCATTAATGCCGAGTGCCAGGCAGGGACCAACAAGTACCATATTTTAACGTCTTTTGGTATGATGCGGTCGGGGATCGAACCCGCGACCTTCCGCTCTCCGGGCGGACGCTCTAACCACTACACCACGGAGGCGGTCTAAACAAGACTGAAATCACACATGTTATGACATCGTGTACATAGGAAAGCACAACAGAGGCTTTTCTTTCTGGCGATCATTTAATGTAGACAATAATATCTTAAAATTATTCTACCAAACATTCATTAATAGTATTTTAACTTTCTGCTTTCATGCCTGGTATGGCAATTTTCCTCTTACACAGAAAAACAAACTTGACAAAATTGTAAACATATCCAGCAAACTTTGCGGCTTCAATTTCGAACCTCTACCTTTTCAGTATGAGTCAAAAGTTAAGAAGAAAGCTCTGGCCATTCAATCGGATCCATCACACTTTTTAAATGAATGTTATGAACTTCTGCCTTCTGGTCGCCTTTTCAAAATCATGTATTACAAAACTAATAGAACTTCAAAATCATTTGTCCCATACAGCATAAAACTTCTAAATCTTCCTTCAAAATTGTAATAGTGAAATCTATGATGAGGCACGAGTGATTATTATATCATGTACTTTGATTATGTTATAATTCAGCATTATATTCTGATTAGCTTGGCATTGTGTATATAAGCTTTAAATTATTTGTTGTTATATGCTTGTATTGGCTCTTTGAATGCAAGACAAGTTTCCCTTGCGGGACAATAAAATTTTTCTTATCTTATCTTAACCCACCAAAGCTAGCCCATCTATCAGGCGTGTTCCAAACGACTTCAACTGAACTGGCTTTCTTATAAGTGTGGATTGAACTAATTTTTACACTTGACCACTATGGATTACAGCAAAATATACTAAAGAGAAAAAAAGGAAAAAGAAAGAAAGTTCACATGGAGTCCTCTATGTCCCAAACATACCCATATAGAACAAAGAGGGTTGCTAGTGGATAAATCTGGTTTATGGACGTGATGACTGTACACTAAAACAGGAGTAGGCACTGAGGTGCGCAGTCACATTTACCAGGGGCAGTAGTGGTGTGTTACCCATGTCCGGGGCACCTTAGCCTCCTGATTTAGCCTGCTTCAGTGTACAGCATCACACTTTTACCACTGAATGTGTCGCCGTCCATAGCAGCTCGGAGCAAATAACACTCCAGTGATCAACACCACGAGCATCGATCTACGCAATTGGGATACGATCTGTCAACTGTCAACAGGGGCGTACCCAGGAAAGAAATGAAGTGTAGGCACAATTGGATGTGCAAGTGCGCGAATTGCACGAGAGGTATACTGGGGTTTGGGGGTGCTAGTTATATAGGCTAAAGCCAATTGCTGCGTGTAGTGTTGTGAATACATATTGAATACTAGAATGCTATCTCCTGGTTACTTTATATATGATGTCTGTCCTTAATTTAAACAAAACGGTTATATACGGTTCATTTCTGAAGGAAACCTATCAATTTACAAAATACATTTTTGAATCCAAAATCCAATACGGTGCAGTAGAATGGGTAAAGCGTTAGATAAAAAAGGCCTTAGCTTCAATCTGTATTGATAGAAGTATCATTTATACGCATGTTATGAATTGCTGTCTTTAGTAACTATATCCTAGTTACATTATCGACATGTTCATACCTTTATGGAAAATTGAACAAATGACAATCTTGCCATTTTGATGCAAGAAAACCTCTCTTTTCCTGATGTGACCACCCAAACCAATTTCATTGACCGGATCTAAATATGGTGGTGCACGGGACTCTGGAACGGATACTTTCTTTTCCTCTGCCTGAGGAGCAAGCTCATACGTATCATTCACAGATGAAATCTTAAAATACTTTTCAATTGTTAGACGCCATGTTGGCATCAAAGTGGCATGAGAGTTATGCACCTTTTATAGAAAGGGGGTGGGGTAGTCCAGTGGTTAAAGTGCCCGTTCACCACACCGAAGACCCGGGTTCGATTTCCTACATGGGTACATTGTGTGAAGGCCATTTCTGGTGTCCCCCACCGTGATATTGCTGGAATATTGCTAAAAGCGGCGTAAAACTAAACTCACTCACTCATTCATAGAAAGTGTGACTACTCTCGAAAAAATAAATCCATAACATACCACATGTTAGAACAAAATTGCCGAAAACATTAAGTGTAGGCACGTGCCTAAAGTGCGTAATGGCAGGTACGCTACTGGTACTCAACCAAGTCAGCGAACCTGACCACCCAATCCCGTTAGTCGCCTTAAAATTACTTCAAGCATAGGTTTGCAGAAGACCAATTCTAACCCGGATCTTCACGGGTTCATTTCAAATGAGACATTTCTTGTGTTAAACTATTCGTTTTTGGTCAGTTTGTACAGAATGGACATACAAACATGTAGTGGGACGGGTTCATTTCAAATGAGACATTTCTGTGTCACCATCCACATACCCCTCCAATCGATTTGAAACTGCATAGACAGAATGTTCACACACGTATATTCAATCAACTATAAACGGCTAAAGATACGGCTGAGTCCCAGGCCCACGACACCCTAGGCTAGTCTGTGCCATTGATTGAGCTGGACCTCCAACCCTCGGTTAGCGAAATTCGTCCAAGATATTGAAACAGGATACGAAGTCTTTCAAAATGCAAGCCCTGGACACACGAAGATGTGTCCCCTGTGGCTTCACCTCTTCTTGACATATATTTCTCCAAACACTTGAACATTGTCACTCACTGTGGCATTTAAAATAATATAAATATCGCTCTAAAACATAATTGTGCTCCAGTTAGACTCTGTTGAGCCACAAGCTGTAACTGACTAGACTACAGTAGTGTTGAAGACTCGCCGTATTTGTGTTCGAACGAAGTTGCACGACGCAACACGAAGATGACCGAATGACGAATACACAGAAATTGATGACGTAGGAAGCTAAACACAAACACCCAAGATGGCTCCGACGGCTATCAATTTATGTTGTTCTGCAGTTAGATGGACTCCTGTGTTGTTTATCACAGCCATTGTAGTTTGGTCTTATTATGCTTATGTTATACAGATGTGTATATGTAAGTTTACATTATTTTGATCCTTAGTTTGTCTTTTGTAAGTACCGAAATATCCGTGTGTTGATTGAACTCGCTCGGCAACAACCTGTCATCACCGATAATGACACAGCGCTGTCAGTCTGACAATTCTCGTTTAATATTAACATTGCATGTAACACATACATGTTTTAGGATATTATTTCTCTTTTGATACTTTACTCGTCCTAAACAAAACTTCACTTCACTAGTGAAGTGTTTGGTGTGTTTTACTGAGACACTTCCTTGTTTGTTTCTAGTGACTGATAATATTCTTTTTTTATCAAAGATGCAGTGGTCATATGTATTTAGATGTTAACATGGTTAATGTCATGGTTGCATGGTTTCAGATCTGTTCGATTTGTAGGACATTGTTGTCATCCAAAATTTCCTCAATGATTTAGATCAATGTCCTATCAAATTTTCAATCTTAAAAATGTCTTAATGTCTATTTGCCTCCAGCTTATTTGATCATTGATCAGTTATGGTCAGTGTAAACACTACAGACTGGGGGTAGTGGTCTTACCTGGACACCCTTTATTCAAACTCCTGTTAGTCAAACATGATTAGTGAGTGAGTGAGTTTAGTTTTACGCAGCACTCAGCAATATTCCAGCTATATGGCGGCGGTCTGTAAATAATAAAGTCTGGACCAGACAATCCAGTGATCAAGAGCATGAGCATCGATCTGCGTAATTGGACCTAAATGGGTAAACATGAATAGGGGATCTCAATGGCAATGTCAGTTTGGAGCTAGGCACATTCACATATAATCACTGCTTGTGTATCTGGTGATGAGTACCTCATGCCCCGTGTGCTAATAATTTTTGTGTGCAAAACATGCAACTTAATTCAAAGAAAAATACTTACTTACCTCAGATCACATTTTATCAATTTTGGAAACATTCATGATAAGAGGTGAAGTAGGTATTACCATGACTCACACCAATCCACTGAACTGACGACGGGCGCCTAACTGCAAGGATTCTCAAGTGGTCCTATATTTAAATAGGACTATTGCAATCTACTAATGCTATGCAGCTGTTCCTCGTAAACAAACTGAAATCTTTCAAAATTAAAAAATAAGTAGCATATATATTTCGGCTCTCAAGTTAATCATCTGAATGTATTTATCATTTTAATATTAATTTTGGTGAAAGGATATGTCCATATATGCTAAGTGTTGTCCTTAAATTGTTGATCATGGGCTTTGAATAATACAATCTCATTATGGCTGAATATTTTGCTGTTGGATGATGCCTCTCTGTGTGAAGACGATACAATTGCTTGTCAACAGGGCCTTTTTGGATGTGCAGGGTTGAATAATACTTGCAATGGTAAAGCTGGAATATTGCTTACTGCAGCATTACACAACATGCCAAATATTGCCTATTAACCATTAAGACAGGTTATAGCCTTTTATCCCCGTTAAGAATCATATATGTGTTAAAAGGCTCATCAGCGGGTTGATAATTTGAAACATCTGTTACTCCGATGATGCCTGTAATTGTTCAATCTGTTGTATTTTAAAGTCATAGTCAAACCATTAACTGATGTAGCAGTATATGTCAATGCTATTGATTGAGAACATGTGTCCTTAATGTGCACACTTATCCTGATAACAGAAGTGATTTCAACAGCTGTATTACATGCATCTTCTCAGTCTTTACTTATTTATGAGTTGTAATAGTGTCTTGAACCAAAAACCAGCATAAAGTGAGAAGGCAATCATACCCATGTCCAAGATACCGATAGGATGTCTGATCATAAAGTAGTTTTAAAATAACCATGGGCATGAGGATGACATATGTGACTAATATATAGATAGATGTAATGTGAGCAAGATGAGTACCTTCTTTGTCAGTCTTTGTGTACTTGAACACGTTGAATACCAATGATTTGTCACTGAACTTATGGCAGTACACTGGGTCATGTCTACAAAATGTGTGCTGCAATATGATAGGTGTATTGTAATGTCATGTATTGGTAGTAAGTGATATGTGAATGTGGACAGTGTGGGGATAGACCTGAGATGAGTGAAGATGTACAGGGACTCGTTATCTCCTCAATTCTAAAATGTGTAAAATGCAAATGATTCCTGCGGTGTTTGTTTGGCTTAACGAGCATGTTCATGTGCGTTTCTTCCACTCCTGCTAATGGGCAACTGTCTTCTGATGAGTTTATAACAGAATAACAGAATGGATAGGCCCAGTGTTGTATAACGTATTATTTCACACAACAATGTCTGCCATTGTCTACCATTTTGTATTTTGTAATATTTAGGTTAGCAGTATGTCAAGATATATTATTTTCATATTTATAAGAACTAGACTAGACAGCATGCACACCTTTTTTCATGTGTATTCCTCTGGATAAGTGAATTATTGAATAGAATTGAAGCCAGTTCTTACAGAACCACTTGGCCTAGCTGGACTAGTTGGATATGACCTTTGGTGTCTCACATAGTCATAGTGACCTGTTTCTTCTGCATTTGCAATGGGAGTTGTCATTCTACTCATTTGTTATCTTGGTTATTTTCTTTCTCATTACAGTCACAGTGGAAAGTATAGCAGAAAAAGGTAATGTTTTCCGTTTTTCTTTGGGGAGGCAGTCGGAATATTACAGTCATGATATGAATATCATATCATGGAAGAACAACGTTTGTTATGCTTATATTATCAACTAGTACAGTAATTTAGATTTAGTTTCTAAAGGTGTTACATGTACAAATGAGTTATAATAGATTTAATTAATTGTTATTATTGCTTGAATGGTCTCTGAAAATAAGCAAAGGCAATAAAAAATCTGTTAAAAATCTGTAATAGTCCAGATAATGACTCTGCAGTGTTCCATTACAGTGATATATCTCCTGCTGTATCATCCGGTTCTCTTTATGTTTGCCTGGGCCTATTGGCAGACAATATTCGCAAGAAATGGACCTGTGCCAAAAGAAGTAAGCAGTTCGAACTCATTAGAAAACTTTCTTTTCATGTTTTTACTTTTGATGGTAATATTCATTATGCTGATAAAGACCTCAGGCCAGAAGAGATCCCCAGTACCCCATCCTGGTCTCATCAAGGAGACCTCAGGCCAGAAGAGATCCCCAGTACCCCATCCTGGTCTCATCAAGGAGACCTCAGGCCAGAAGAGAAGTACCCCAGATCAAGGAGACCCAGTACCCCATCCTGGTCTCATCAAGGAGACCTCAGGCCAGAAGAGATCCCCAGTACCCCATCCTGGTCTCATCAAGGAGACCTCAGGCCAGAAGAGATCCCCAGTACCCCATCCTGGTCTCATCAAGGAGACCTCAGGCCAAGGAGACCCCATCCTGGTCTCATCAAAGGAGATCAGGCCCCCAGTACCCCATCCTGGTCTCATCAAGGAGACCTCAGGCCAGAAGAGATCCCCAGTACCCCATCCTGGTCTCATCAAGGAGACCTCAGGCCAGAAGAGATCCCCAGTACCCCATCCTGGTCTCATCAAGGAGACCTCAGGCCAGAGTACCCCATCCTGGTCTCATCAAGGAGACCTCAGGCCAGAAAGAGATCCCCAGTACCCCATCCTGGTCTCATCAAGGAGATCTGGGCCAGAAGAGATCCCCAGTACCCCATCCTGGTCTCATCAAGGAGACCTCAGGCCAGAAGAGATCCCCAGTACCCCATCCTGGTCTCATCAAGGAGACCTCAGGCCAGAAGAGATCCCCAGTACCCCATCCTGGTCTCATCAAGGAGACCTCAGGCCAGAAGAGATCCCCAGTACCCCATCCTGGTCTCATCAAGGAGACCTCAGGCCAGAAGAGATCCCCAGTACCCCATCCTGGTCTCATCAAGGAGATCTGGGCCAGAAGAGATCCCCAGTACCCCAGATCAAGGGAGAGTACCCCATCCTGGTCTCATCAAAGGAGATCTCAGGCCAGAAGAGATCCCCAGTACCCCATCCTGGTCTCATCAAGGAGACCTCAGGCCAGAAGAGATCCCCAGTATTCCATTCTGGTTTTGACATGGACCTCTCAGGTCATGTTGACGATGTTAACAAATTTGAATCATTTTTCATGTCCGTCAGTGGTTAGGCTTCTCCACATCCGATTATGTATGTGTTACTGCTGTTCTGCTGATGACAGCAGTATTAGTACTATTACAGAGCACTCAGCCCATAAATGTACCTTTGTTTGGCAGTTTTACCTGAGTCTGGCGGAGGCAGACCAGCTGGAGAGAGAAACCAGTGAGGACAGGCAGAGAGAAATGCTCAAACAGTTTGCGAGGAACCTGCCTATTCTGAACAGAACGATGTCTGGATGTAGGTGGAACACAGCATGCATAATTTAGGGCTATTCTCAATTACTATTCTAGTTTCATGCAAAACATTCTGCCATGTTGTATGCAAAACTAAAGTAAATAAGTGTTTAAACTATTCATGATGAATGAAGTTTAGTGATACCCCACCATATCTGTTTGAATTGAAATACAAGCTTTTTTTATGTCATGTACAGCAGAAGAAAGCTTTCTGTGTTGGTTGCCTTGTACAGATCAGTTGTCAGCTGTCAATGTAAAGAATTACTTCAGAATTTCTCTGTTCCTGTTGTTTCCAGGTCCGAGATACTGTGAAAAATGTCGGTGTATAAAGCCAGACAGGTGTCACCATTGTTCGGTCTGCTCAAGGTATGGAGAACAAATAGTGAAACCAGCATGAATATGTTTCATATTGTTTACAAGGTCAATTTCCTTACAATTCATACTTTCTGAGCTCTATGGGATCTGATAGTTACTAAGCCATGGGTTACCTCAGAGATGACTTTTGTCTATGTCAAAGACGCAAGTACCCCTACTAGGGGAGGTAACCCACATCTTCCCATCTTTAACATATTGCTGACATGGATCAATAGCGATTCAGAGTCAATGTCTGAACAATAATTTTAATCAGAAAACTCAGCTGGCATTAGTCTAATGATAACATCAAACTATACATGAAATAATGCCTACATGCCTGCTCTCACCTATGTCTGTGAGAATATCACCACATATGTATATCAATTTCATTTTTTCAGGTGTGTTCTCAAGATGGACCACCACTGCCCATGGTAAGCTGCGTGTTACTGACTTCATCATTTACTCTCAGTGACTGTGGGGTTATGGGTAAGGTGTTCACCCTACATGCTGAAGGTCTTGGTTTGATTCCCAGATTCCACACATAGGCACAGTGTGTATCCTCTTCTGTGTCAGGACTAGAATGATACTAGCAGCATAACCTGCAACTCCTCACTTGTGTTGGAAACAGTGAGTGAGTATGGTTTTACGCCGCTTTGAGCAATATTCCAGCAACATCACGGCGGGGGACACCAGAAATGGGGGATCAAATCCTAGCCTTCGGCGTCACGAGTGAATGCTTTAACCACAAGGCTACCCCACCGCCCCGTGTTTTAAACGGGAAGTAGTGGTATTTAAATTGGTTGTGATCATAACTCCAGTAGCAGCATCATTTTGTATTGTCTCAGATGTGTGATGAGGTCTTGTTCACTGACAAGTAGCATCTGCACATGTACATTTCTTTTAAATTTAAACTACCTCAAAGTGTCATGAATATGGAATCATGTCAAGAAAAGTAGAAACAGTTAATACACACAGTCATTAAAGAAGTATTCCCTGTGAAAATGGTATGCTGTCAAAACATTAATAAGAAATCAGCATGTTTGTTGCCATGGTTACAGGGTGAATAACTGCGTGGGGTTCTCCAACTACAAGTTCTTTGTGCAGTTCCTGGGATATGCCCTCCTCTACTGTCTTTATGTTGCCATCACTTCCCTCAAGTATTTCATAGACTTCTGGAAGGTAAGTGACTGTTGGTATGGTTTCGTTGCAGAATGTGGTAAATTCTGGATGTGGACAAACTGCAATATCTGGGTAAAAGTGTCCTAAGTATCCCCTTACTTTAGGCAGCTTTGAAATGTTAGGTGCCACCATATGCTGTGCAGAGAAACCTGTGATTGTTGGTTTGAATCTGGTTAGTGTCTACATAGATTAGATGGTCCGACTTGGGGATGCATGTCATTGTAAGCTAGTGATGTAGATGATTGCTGACAATATCAGTCTCTGAAGTGTATGGTTCAGACTTGAATGATTTTACAAACCCTTGAATATTTACAAACCCACATCATACAGCTGGAACATTGCTGAGTGCAGTGTTAAACAAGTTGAAGTAACAAGGAAATCCCTCAGTACGGATGGTTGCAGTGACTGCTGTATGAGATAGCGTTTTCTGGAATCTCTAGAGTCGGCTCAAACTAAGTCTCTGTTGTGAACTGCATGATTCATCACAACATCGACAATGTATCTATTCAGCCTCATGTGTTGCAACAGTAAATCTCCCCATGTGGGACCAGGAAGTTGTATCGCTGAATCATGTTTTAAAACAACCATGAGACCAAGGGGAGAGTATGTCATCCTTATTGATCATTTATTTTATAGGCTAGTGTTATGTTTAAATTGTGTGAGAGCTTGCAATTTACTTTGACAGTTCTGAAAGCTCCTGGATGATCACTGAAAAATAAGGCTTGACATTTTTGGGATTGGTGGCTAAATATTTGGATTGAAAAGGGTCATGTTTGTTTATAACAAATTTATGAATGGAAATCGCCAATATCTTCAATCTTAAAATGACAAGTTCCACATCAACTTCATAAATACATTACAAAAGAGATTCTGCTTAATATTCTTCCGTTTGCAAAATGTACCATGTTTGCACTTGAGGTCCAGGGCCCTGTTCCACAAGGCGCACTCGACTATCGTGAAGGATCACTCACGACTGTCGTAAGTTACGATCATCTTAGCTCTATGTTGAGGTCCAGGGCCCTGTTCCAAAGGCAAAGCACTATGACGTAGTTCACGATCATCTTAGCTCTATGATCGTGGAAGTTACGATCATCTTAGCTCTATGATCACGTTGTGGAACAGAACCCTGAATATCTGACTCTTCCTTCATCAGAACAGTAGTTTAAGATGCTGCTATTAGCTGTGCAGAGTTGGGTTCCCTAAGCCAGCAAGAAACAATGGTCCTGGGTTTGAATCCTGTTTCACCCTGTTTGTTTCTAGGTTTGTCTGAAGCTGACTTGTGTGGAAAACTCCCACACTGAGCTGACACACCATGGTATTACTATCATTCCTGGATATACTGTTCAAAGTGGTGTTAAAAACAACTCACGGATTTGCTTGCTGATTCACTCACTCACTCATCTGAACATGCCTCATGATTAGTTCAACCTGTCTTTATGTAAGAATACTAAGATTAATGATGAACCTTTCTAGTTTTTCTTGCATTAAGCATTCCTACTTCTCTTTCAGGGAGGAGCTGGCAATGGCATGGGAAAATTTCATCTTTTATTCTTGTTTTTTGTGTCAATAATGTTTGGTATCAGTTTGATATCCTTGTTTGGGTATCATCTGTACCTTACATGTAAAAACAGGTCTACGTTAGGTGAGTACCGTAAGACTTGAGGCTTGGATTAGTACACTGTAGCCACAGCAGGATGTGTGTCATACATTCAACCAAATTCAGAGGGATTCTTACACTTATTTTCCAAAATTATTGTGTGTTGTTTAAGGAGCAGGTCAGTTCACTCTGATAGAATGATAGGTTTTATATGACAGAGCCAAATGTTGTTCTGTACTATTAAAACATCCCTATTATCAAAAACACAGCCAGTGCAGAATTGATTGTGAAGTGTAAATCATCATTTCAATAAATTTTGTAATACCTCAATGCATTGTTTCAGCTGTAGCAGCTGATCATAGTAAAATGTAAAAATAATCTTAAAAGTGACTATAAGAAAACTGTTGGTGCCCTCTTTTAATATTACTACACTAGTAAGTAAGTTTTTAGTTACATAGAAGCATATGTTGCTACTCCAGTGCTCCTTGACCTACGTAATCCGCCTCCGTGGTGTAGTGGTTAGAGCGTCCGGCCGGAGAGTGGAAGGTCGCGGGTTTGATCCCCGACCGCGTCACACCAAAAGACGTTAAAATATGGTACTTGTTGGTCCCTGTCTGGCGCTCGGCATTAATGGGTACAACAAGGACTGGTCGGCTTGGAGTCAGTATAATGTGTCTGAGTGGGGTATTCATGCTTCACTGCGGCATGGTATCTCAGTGGGTCTAGCACTATAAAACCAGCTTAAGTCTGGGCTTGTACAAGCAGCTGCACATACACATACACACACATGCACATCGTCATATGAGCGAAATATTCTCAAGCACGACGTTAAACCCAATTTCACCTCACCTCACCTTGACCTACGTCCTTTGTCATTCAGATTGCCCAGGACATTCATTACATCAAATGCGGTACATATATCCTAGGATTCCAGTAAACTATGTTGTGACGTATAACAACAAACAACAAACACACAATGCAAACCTAACTTGATTTGTTACAGAGGCCTTCCGAGCGCCAATTTTTCAGAGTGGGCCCGACAAAGAAGGCTTTAGTCTGGGTAGAGGAGGCAACTTCCAGGAAGTGTTTGGGGACCAGGTTAAGAACTGGTTCCTCCCCATATATTCCAGGTAAGCCTGGTGCTTTGCTCTACAGGTAACTACTCTACACTCGGTTTGTTAGATTCTAGGCTGTGCACTTCTCTTGGCATTGGATGAGCTAAGTTACCAATATTGTAATTTGATTTCACTTGACTTTTGACGTGAAAAGGATTCTCTGTAATGTTTTCTTAAGGGAGAAAGGAAAGAATGTCATGTTTTTTAACTGAAACACTGACTCAAAGCTGAAGTTTGTTTTATAATTTATTCACAGTGTCATACAAATTTTGGCCAATCCAATGTGTCAATTCTTCTCCGACTGCACCAATGGGAAGAAGTCACTGAAGCATGCATTTCAGCTGATCATGTTGATCATATGATCATTTTCAGTGATTTCCTTTAGAACTAAACTTTCTCAACTTTTTACCAAATTTGACATTTTGTAGTTCTAGATGACCAGGTATAGCCAATCTAGTTCATTCATCACACCTTGTCTGTTGACCTAAACTATGGCTGATTTGTTCAGCTGGGGGGGTGATGACCAGCTCAGCTAGGGATCATAACCATGTCCCAGACACCATTGTCGTGCTCTAATGTAATTAACAATGAGAACTTGTGTGCTCAAAAGAATTCTTGTAATTTTGTTACTTTTATTGAAAGGAAGAAAGTGTTTCTCAGTTGTCATGCCACTTTAAATCCTATGCATCAGTCACTTTTATTGTCAATGAAAATGTTTCACTGCTATGTGAAGCAGATATTGTTATCCGTGCTTGCCAGCTGACATTGTGTTAGTGACCTGAGTTGTGTTCACTTGTATCCTTGGTGTGCCAGATATAAAGTGTCCTTTTGTTTACACCTGTGTGAAAAGATTTAACCCATGTGCTTGTTCTTCCTTGTCGAAGAGGCGACTAACGGATCGGGTGGTACTTTTGACTTTTACACATGTCTCGGTGTGCAGAAGATCTTGTTGATCACTGGATTGTCTGGTCCAGACTTCGATTATTTACAAGCCATGCTGGGATATTTTGTGTAAAACTAAGAGACTAACTGTGAGGATCTGGGTTGGATTTGGTCAAGCCATGCTTTTTGTAAGAGATGACTAAGAGGATCGGGTGGTCAGGCTCGCCGACTTGGTTGACTGACACTTGTCATTGTATCCCAATTGTGGAGATGGATGCTCTTGATATTAATCACATTAGATTATTTAAACACCACCATATAGCTGGAATATTGCTGAGTGTGGCATTAAACAAACTTTTCAAAATGAAAGTCCTACCTCCTTCACTTTTAAGAAAACATTGCCTGAGAAACATTTTCTTTATACAGGCTAGGATTTGTTAGTTTGTTGTATTATTATCGTGATAAGAGGAACAATATGATAAGTGCCAAGGTAATTGCCCTTGAAACTTTCATTCAGTGTATTGACTGAAAACAATGTTTAGTGTGGTAAATCTTATTGCTTTGTGCCAAGATGTCATGCCAACTACTGCTTTTGCTAAATCATATCCATCTTTATGACTATACAAAACAATAATCTATTGTTACGCTTATTTGAATTATTTATATGGGCCAGTGCTAAAATTCTAGTCCTCTGGTACCCTCTTGAAACTTGTTAAATGTAATGAAATATGTACATATGTTGTTGTCTATTTTTCTGGTGAAGCATGTTTCCCCAAGATACTTGGTGTAACAAGTGTAAACCAGGTCCCATTACATGAAGTATTCTTGGCATAACAGTGTTATGACATGGTGTTTGAGCTATGGTGGACACATTCACGTATAACCAATGTAGTTATCACTCCAGGCTTTTAATCTTTCCTGTCTGTGAGCCTTCAATACTGGAGCAGTTGTTGTGGTAGTAGGCTATCTCCAACATTAGTTGCAGGCCATTTTGCTCATATTTCTCTTTGTCTTGTAAATTTTAATGTCTAAGGTTCAGACATACAACACATGCCATGCCACAACAGCAAAGTAAACAATAAAGTCTCGTCTCTTTGGGGTCAATGAAGGAACATGTCACGTCTAGAAAGCAGTAACATTAGTAATTAGGGCTGGAACGGGTAACCTGGAATACCCGGGATGGGTGGGTAATGAGTTGAACCCGGGTTGCCGTCTCAGTACCTGGACACATTATGATCATGTGACTAATAGATTAAACAATGTGATATGTTATTCTGTTATAATTTAAAAGTTGTATTGTCTTTGAAGATTTAGACATAATTACAGTCACCTCTTTTGAATATAATACACGGTTAAGATATTGAAAAACTCAATATTTTAGCCTCAGACCTGAAAAATGTATTGCCATTTCTTACACATTTGATGTCAGGAATTAACATAATGGGTATCCGGGGTAGGGTAGGGTAATAGTGGGTTGAGTACCTGGGTAGGGTAGGGTAATAGTGGGTTGGGTACCCGGGTAGGGTAGGGTAATAGTGGGTTGGGTACCCGGGTAGAACAGTTGGACCTGTCCCAGCCCTATTAGTATATTTTAATTGACCTGCTGTTGCGGACAATGTTAATGCATTGTAGACGTGGACATGCGAAATATTAAGTATGTAGGAGTTCATAGAGGAGTGATTATTACAAGGTCCATCTTAGCTTCTCAACCATCAGATGTTAATGAAGGTACATCTTCGCAATTTGACATCCAGTTTATTTAGCTTATATGAGAGTTTGTAGTACTGAGATCACATTGTGGAACATAGCCCCGAGGATTAGCTGACATTCTATCACAATGATAACCATTTGATTGTGATGTTTTGTAGCCTTGGTGATGGGGTGTCCTTCCCCTCGCAGTCGTCGGCGACCATGTCGTATCAGACCATGGGCAACACCCCCAGGTTAGCTGCCACAGCCGGCTTCTTGTCTCTCTGTCTCACTGTCTCTCTGTATGCAACCCACTCACTTGCTCACCTGCCAGGTAGTTCAGTCAGGCCTTGCGTTTCTTTTGTTTGCTTTGTGGATAAACTTTCCTTAAATGTCAAGTTTGGAATAATATAATAAATGCCTTTATGTTCATATTTAAGTCAGTTTATAGAAAATTGACCATTACTAGAATACTGAAGTAAAAGACACTATGGTACCATAACCAGACTTTTCAATGTCTATACTGACCCAGTTTAGCTTCAGTGCCCCTTAAAGATATCAGTTTTATCAAATATTACATATAAATGTTTTCAATGATGAAATTCCTAAATCAAACAAATGAGTGTGGCTAAGCCATGGTTTCAGTTACTCTTGCTGTGAAGCAAGCCCTAAGGGTCGATTAGGATGTTTGTGTTGTCTTACTAACATGGTTAAGGGCTGATTTTAAGATATCTTTTTATATATTGCAAATGCTAACCTTTCGTTAAAGAATGGTGAAAAGATATTTGGGTATTGATAATGCCTGGCTTGATGGAATGTGTGTGATTGTTGTATGATGACAGTCATGTATGCTCATAGTATTAGCCCCTGGTTTGGCCACCTCAGTTATGTATAGGGGTTTGGGTGTAGAGCTGTCTCCAACTGGTCATCAAAGGCAGCTAAGGGACCAAATATCATGGTACGTTATAGGCGTGGATTGTTCCTCGCATTACCAATCACTGGATTATCTAGTTTAGACTATAAGTAATGGGCCTCTAACAGCTGGAATATTGCTGAGTGTCGGGTTGGGTAAAACCACACAGATCAACACTGTAAACTTAAGTCTACTTTATAGCATAGGACTTTATGATAATGCAAGCATGTCACGTTGTATCTAAAACCCTGCATGGTTTCACATGATGCAGAAATCTTGTGTACTTGACAGTCCTTCATCTGATACTCCGAAATCCTAATTATGTTTTTGTTGAGTCATATTTCATACATTTCTTTGCCTGTCAGTACCACTTCCAACAGAAACAACCAAGCATCTGTAACCAGGGTAACAGAAATGTTTATTGTTTACATGGTTTTATCAACAGTTTGTTTGGGGTTGCCTTTGACTTTTGTCATTTCCGAGTTCATAAACATGATAAAGACGAGGTTGAAATAGAAACTTTTTACAGGCTAGGTCAGTTCTAGATTAGTGATTGTACTGATATTAAGTGATTATGGCATCTCATACATGATGGATAGTCATGGCCATTAAATCTATTTCAAGACCCCATTCAGATATCAAATCCTAAGGGTTTTCATTTTTTTATGTGAGATATGGAGCTTTTTTTAATTGTTCTGTTGTTTTATAAGTTAGTTAAATATTCATTACTCATATGTTTATGACATGATTATCTCACAATTGTGGAATGGAAATGCATGACATACAGTACACGGATGCAGTTGCTGATCCTGTGTGTAGAGTAGACATCATAACAATGTTTCCATGGGAACATTGTCGCGAACTAACAACAAATTGCTTATCACTGGTGACTGGTTGCTTGTGTATATTGGATTTTTTTTTTTCATATATTACATAGATACATAATAATCCCAGTTCTTGTATGAGAAGCTTTTGTAAAAGTGCAGTTCATTTTGCAAACTTGTGAAGACTTAAGCTTTTAAACTTAATGAAATTATGTTATGTGATACAGCATTTACTTCAACAAAGATGATGTATTTGTGCTAAGTACAGAATCAGTTTGTGCATGTTTCACAAGTACTTACTTTATGTGCAAATGCAAGCATGATGAATTGCCAGGGATTGGTAGTAAGCATGTGTTTGATTGGCTGATAGTTGACCAATAGTCACTGGTTTCAGATACCATCACCATCATGCTCACCGAAATGATGGTAGACATGTAAGTAGACTTGCTACAAAGTCAGCGTACTGCTAACTTGCAGGGTAGACGTATAATGGTAGCACAAGTCTAGGATACTGAGCTGTGGATACTAACTTACATGACTGAGTACAGCTTTCACAACAGTGCTACGTGGTGAAACAGTCCATCAGCATGAAGCACAGGAAGTTTACAGACGGATACACAGGCACAGACAATCAACAGACATATCTACAGACACTGTTGCAGACAACAGATCTACACACATGACAAATCTACATGACGCATATATAGAAACACATGCACAGCAGATCTAGAGATACAGACACTGTCACATTCACAGCAGATCTGCAGACACTAACACTGTTTTCAAAACTAATCTACAGACACTGTCCCAGCCAGCAGATCTAAAGATACAGACACTGTCAGTCATAGCAGATCTGCAGACACTAACACTGTTACAAAGCTAATCTACAGACACAGTCCAAGCCAGCAGAAAGCAGCTCCATTTTCACGTTTTGACGTATTCTCACCCCATGGTGTACTCACTTTGGGCCTCCGTGGGGTCAAAATATGACTTTCACCGAATCGTGTTTTGCACCCCATGGTCTAGCACTCCATCCGGGGATCAAAAACCTTCCTCTTTCATTTGAGCCGGTCAAAACATGTCTAGCTCCATTTTCACGTTTTGACAGTCACAGCAGATCTGCAGACACTAACACTGTTACAAAACTAATCTACAGACACAGTCCAAGCCAGCAGATCTAGAGATACAGACACTGTCAGTCATAGCAGATCTGCAGACACTAACACTGTTACAAAGCTAATCTACAGACACAGTCCAAGCCAGCAGATCTAGAGATACAGACACTGTCAGTCATAGCAGATCTGCAGACACTAACACTGTTACAAACTAATCTACAGACACTACAGACACTGTCCCACAGTCACAGCAGATCTGCAGACTGTTACTGTTACAAAACAGCAATCTACAGACACTGTCACAGTCACAGCAGATCTTGGACACAGACACAGACACTGTTACAAGGCTAATCTACAGACACTGTCACAGTCACAGCTACAGACACAGACACTGTCACAGGCTACTCAGATCTTTGGAGTTATTGCACACATTTCTATCTTTCACAGTAGTTATTGCACATTGACTACCCTGTTAATTCATTGAAACAGTCCACAGACTCACACCCAGCCAACTCTTCCCTCCTTGTTTGTGGACAGATGAGAAACAAGCACTTGTATACATTATGGGCTGGCTTCTTAGAATTGTTATTGGCCTGTTTCTGAACTCTGGGTCATCTTTCATGAGACTTCAGATGCATCACATTTGCCTAAGCCATTGCATACTAATAAGCCTGCGTCAGAGGTTCACGTCAAAATTCATACCACTTTGCAGTTTCTTAAAGTAAAGTTTGAAACTCATTGTATATAAATTATAAAAAGTCTCAAGTTGGTTGGAAGATTTTAAGGGAAATAGGCTGGGTAACTGATCTTACTTTATTATTCATTTCTTGTGTATAGATAAACATTTGAAATTGATGAAATTTGTAATATTTAGTCAACAAACTTTCAGAAAATAGCAAGACAATAAATAATATCTTGACACTACTTAGCACACTTATTTTTAACTAAGAATCAACTGGTTTGACACAGTTTGATGAGCATGCTGACATACAGTTATTTCGTGAATAATGATGGTCATGTTTCCAATAGACTTATATCAGTTTGCTTGTATATTTTTATCAGATGTGTCCACTATATTGATAGGTGTTTTTGGATTGATAGAAAAAATGTTCTTTAATATCACATTTTGACATTTTCTTCAGTAAATAGTTCTGATGCTCAAAAGCCTATGCTTTATGTGATTGTTCTGTTGAACATGTTCAGTTTAGTTAGGGCAGCCAAGTGACTACTTCACGATATTATAACGTTACACTGATAGACTTATTTGCTTCACTGTCTGATGTCCCCCTGTGCTATAAAACTGCTTTTCTTGCACTGTATACTTGCTGGGCATACTCTAGCTGTTGTCTATGTGCTGTTAACCTAATAAATACTTATCAGTGCTGAATTAAATTGAAATATATTGTAGGCTGTGTATGAAGGACACCTCATTACTAAGTTTTTTGTTGTTTTTATGTTTATTTTTCCTCTTTATTGTCAATTAATGTCTGACATGCTTTATATATATTCAGCCATGTTTATTTCAGATGACATTTTCATTTAGAAAACAATGCTTGTTTTTAGGGATATGGTATCAGATAATGAAGAATCTGTTGCAGTGTTTAGTGGACTCTGGTTTGGCTGATGGTTATTTAATGTTGTGTAGATGTTTCTCGGATAAAGACCTGAACATGTATAGCTTATCAATGTCGTCATGTTTCTCGAACCATTATTGCTTTGGAAATGTTAGTGTTGTCTGTAAACAGTGTGATTATTTCTATGAGGTAAAATTTACATACCACTTGCTTAATGTATGGCATTTCTGATTAACAGCTCTTCATAATCTGATTTTTTGTCTCATGTTTAATTTTTGACAGATTGAATTATCAGTTGATTTCAATATAGAACAAACTTTATGGATAACAACTTCTTTTTATTCGTTAGTGATTTCGATGAGCATTGCAGACACATGATGCATTTATGGTTGATTTTCATGAGACAATTTTAAACATTTTCTAGTAAACATGCAAAACATTTCCTTGTACCTTTTTCAAACAGTAAGCATGATCTGGAGGTTACTGCAGTATTGTTATCATTGCCGAACAGAGCATGTTTCCTAAATGTCAATGTCAAAAAAATATCAGTGACGTTTTTGTCATATAATGCATGGTAGTTAGTGTGTATTGGGCTTGCTGTTGTACTAACTCCTAGATGTAACAGTTGACAAGATACTTGGTTACCTTGGATAATTGTTTCACAAAAACGTTACGAATAGTTCCTTAACCTTGCTCTGGGAACACTGTAAGAATTGGGTCCCAGCAAAGGTCTGCTGATGAAGGAGGCCATCATCCCACCAGTTGTCTTCCTAGATTGGTCAGCATCATGCGTGTTTCTCCCTCTTAGTGAATTCTCACATTACTACGTAATCATCAGACCTGTCAGCTGATCAGAGTACACCAGATTTTCATTCTCTACTCCCTGGGGAGTATACAACCCATGCTGCCTGTGAGATGCTAGGAGGTTAACAGTCGCATATTTAGCCTAATCCTGCTGGGAGTCATTCCCCTACAGAGCAGTACATAGAACAATGTCACAAGTAAAACATGTTCACTGTCTGAAGAATGGGGTACAAAGTCTCCTGTGGGTGCAGTGGTAGTGGGTTAGTGAACATGAGGGAAAAGTTTAAAATGAAATCGTTCAAAGTAGTTAGCAAACACAGGTATGGTGCTACAGGCAAAGGCAATATCTATCTATCTATCTATCTTATAATGAAGGCAAATCTGGGATTTGAATCCATCAGCAGCAGATCCTTTAGTGGTAAGGGACACAACTCTGCATGTTTTAAAGCACCCATTTCACCCAATTTCAAAATAAATATTTTTCAAATGTTCCTGTTAACAACACTCCACGGAATAAAGAACCTTTGGATTATGTGTGAGAGAGTTAAGGTCCGTTAGTGTCTGTTTCAAAGATAAATGAATAAAACATGTAAATACAAAAGACATTTACAACAGTGCATGACAAGGAATTGTACATTTCAGCATGGGGGACGGGGTCACGTATCCTACCCGCACCGTGGATCTGGATTCCGACAACCTGCTTGGACAGAGACAGAGATGGATGGAAGAAGGGGAGGAAGAAATGAACCCCACAGGTCTGTTTCCATGGCAATACAAGCTTCAGCAGCAGCATGAATATTCATTAATTTCTTTCTCTCCTTTGGGAACAAAAAGACACAATTATTATGTCTTCTACCCATTTCTAATAATTGTTGCCTTGGTGACATTGAACTTAACCAGCTATTGCCATGGTTCTGTAACCATACAAGCAGCTATTTTTCTGCTGTTGTTGAGGTATGCAAATTTTAGCAGATATATTGGAGTATATTATTGCAACAAATGAAATAGTTAAGTTCCATAACTTCTCACCATTTGTTTTCCATGATTAACATCTTTCTCTTCTGATGACCTGACACATATGGAATGTTTGATGTCATCAGTGAACCAGCCTGTTCTCTTTGCTGCAGCATATTCTGTGGAGTCCTGAAGCAGCTTGCTTTGTTCCGTATTGCTTTGCTATTGCCCACTCAACACTGAAGGCATGATCTTGTTTTCTGTGATGAAGCTCTCCAGCGAGTTGCTCACGAAAATATTTACATGCATGGCTGCTATTCCCATCAATGTTCTTAGGTGCAGCTGTTCACTTGACAGAGTTGCAGCCCTTAGTCATGCCAGGATCTGCTGATTTGAATATCCTGAAGTAGACACAAAGAAAACAAACACATAATACATTTAAAGCAGATATTTCCGTAAAGCCTGAGAGTCCCCTGTGTGAATTCTGCATTAGAATAGGTCCCCAGCAACCTATGCTAGTCATGTGATATGACAATGGATTGAGTGGTCTGACTCCATGGCTTGGTTGAGAATGTGCCATTGTACTCTGATAGCTTAGTTTGTACTTGGAAAATAGATTCTGATTCTGTGTTAGAGATGAACTCTTATGTGACATGGAGAAATCCAATTTGATATTTGCAATTTTTGACAGTCATTTTGACACCAGACACCCAGATCAATACATACAATATGTTTTCAATGCATTCGATGTGTCATACATAGTAACTGTAAGCAAACTGATTTAGATGTCTCTAAAATAGCCCTAGTCTTTGTGTGTGTCACCGATGCAGCTTTCTATCTATTCCAGTAGAAAATCCCAGAAACAAAATCCAACTGAAATCTGTATTTTGTGTTTGAACACACCACAGGAAGCTGTGGCCTTGTGAAGAGGTGCATTGCTCTGGGCATAGCATGGGTGGCCGAGACACCTAAGGTGTCTCTATTTACTGTTAAGAATTTTGCATCCCTCAGGAGAGCTAGAAACCTACCATCATTCGTTGACCTTAATGACATTTCCAGGTTTGTCAGTACTGTGCTCATGCTTGTTACACAAGTTTCACAAGACATGCATAGCTTCAGGTTTTGGTCAAACCTCAAGCTGACATACTGTGATGTAACTGAAATACTGTTCTAACAAACAGTTACCCAACTCACTCACTCACTCACTCACTCATCTCATGGGCTGTTTCAGGGAACTTCCAAACGGCTAGCTCGCAACTGCATCTAGTCAGCTATACTGATGACTGAGCTGGCCAGTCACTATGGCCACTGGACACTGTATGTCTTTCTCTCCCTCCACTCTCTGTCTCTCTCCATCTGTCTGTCTGTCTGACTGCTGGTGATCCATAGTGTCCGTCGTTAGTGAATGTCACATTGTGGAATGGCATACAGACTTGTCAACCATGACCTTTTGCTGACTGCATGGCGTTTAGAACTTCTAGAGTTATCTCCCTTTGTTTATTTTTAGGTTTATGGATTTTTCAGCTTATTCACCCAAACATAATCGAAAGTGGATGAAAATATATCTGCGAAGCGCTAGATTTTATTCCACTAAATGTGAAATCATTCATTCATTTAGATTGTTTTCTGTTTGCTCACTCAAAAAATCAGTACAAGAATCTATAAATGAAACATGTTGATTTCCTTTTTTGGAGATTTTACAAAGATTTGTTTGATCTGGTTAAATGGAATTGAATGTGACCAACCTCATTATTGGCCGAGTGGAGGCCTTTGTCAAGGGTTAAGTCCAAAACTATAACCACAGTCACCTCCCTCCCATTTATCGTTCATCCTTCTTGACACAGTTACTTACGGTGGTGGTATGTTTCATCAATGGCAACAAAGATGGTATCAGAATACAAATTTTCCATCTCAAAGGGAAATAACTAATTATTTCTGAGTTCAAGATCGTTGTCCGTCCTTGAAGGTGTCCTGGTTGACATGTCTGGACGTCCAGGTGTTGTACCTCCTTACTGGAAGCATGATGTATTCCATGTTAAGGACATGCTTCAGGACCACAGTGTTAGATGTAGTTTTGTCTTCTTTTTTTTCTTAGTTCTAGTGATAAGTTAGACTTGTTTATGAACATGAAGTTTGGATGACCTCTGACACTCAGATGTCATCATCACGACTCTATGCAGCTGCACCCAAGACACCAGAGCATGTATGTGTTTTGTTGAAATACACTTCACTTCTGATTACCAAAAAAACATCAATTAGTATTTAACTGTTGAACAGCATATGATGGTTCCAGAGAAAATTTTGTTAGCAAATAACTGAATATGAAATGATTTAATTAATTACACTTCTGTTTCAAGACAAAATTATATTCTCGACGTCAGTAGTTCCCTTTCTGGACAAATTGGATGGACGATATATACAGTATTTCAGTTCTCTCTACCAGCAGAAGGGCTGCTAGAGAGGCCTCTGAAACTCTACATAGCCCAGTCTTTATAGAACATGCATGGGTGGATAGTCAACCTCTGTAGTGTTGTGCATGATGGAAATGATTTCTTTTGTTAAATTGAACTGGATGGTGGCAAATAGGATAGACCATGTCTTTACAAAATAATTTAATGATATATGACAATGACATGTTTTGGTCATGGCACTGTTATATTAAATAGTTTATCCAGAAGAACACTGATGATTTGTATGATACCACAACCCTCCTAGATTCATACTGACTGTAGGAAATAGATTGGTTTCTACTGTGTTTAATGTTTGATGCTATTTCAATCAGTAAAGACAAATGAATCTATGTTATTGACATCACTGCCATGGAAGAAACTTGACTTTCATGCTTAATTCAACACTGTTACCTGCTTGAGTGTTGTATTGTGGTTGGTGTGCTTCGCTGCTGCTTGCATCATCAGAATTGTATTTGTAGGTGATGGACATGAATGTCAATTGCATGTCACATATTACTTATGTTTCTTTTCTGGTACTTACAAATTCAGGGTGTCAGTGTTGGATTTCCTTCAGTCTCATATCATAAGATTTTGGAAATAAGTGATGTGTGCTACTGGTTGCCTCTTGTACTTGTATGATTATTATGGTACTCCAAAATGGATAGACCCAGGTTAAAATACAGACTCAGGTAAGGTAACTAGATAGACCCAGGTTAAAATACAGACTCAGGTAAGGTAACTAGATAGACCCAGGTTAAAATACAGACTCAGGTAAGGTAACTAGATAGACCCAGGGGAAAATAGATTCAGGTAAATAGATAGACCCTGGTAAATAGATACAGTGATACACTCGGGTAAATAGATTCAGGTAAGGTAAATAGATAGACCCTGGTAAATAGATACAGTGATACACTCGGGTAAATAGATTCAGGTAAGGTAAATAGATAGACCCTGGTAAATAGATACAGTGATACACTCGGGTAAATAGATTCAGGTAAGGTAAATAGATTCAGGTAAGGTAACTAGATAGACCCTAAGGGTAAATAGATACAGTGATACAGGTAGATTCAGGATAAATAGATAGACCCGGGTAAAAATAGATCAGGTTAGATTCAGGTAACTAGATAGGTTAGGTAAATAGATAGACCCAGGTAAATAGATACACTTACGGGTCAATAGAAAGACCCATGTAAAGCTGTGTGTGACTGGGTGGGTACTGGGTGCTCATAGTGGCTGTCTAGATAGGCAGATTTAGCTTACTGTGACCAGGCTGCCTTTTCACAGTGTTGGCTCAAAGACCTGGAACTGGTCTAGTAGGTTTCACCAGAATGTTTGGCTGCTATTTAATGCAGCAGTCCGTGATATTTGATCACGGCAACATAGAAGTTATCTCAGCCTGACAACCAGTGATTAACAGAATTAGCAATAGCTTGGTGAGGTCTTCATTATGTTTTTCAGCTTAGATAGAAAAACCTATTTTAGTATTTGTGTATGACATCGTTATCAACTTCATGGCATCCCTGTGAAGTAAGCTGAACACTGAAGGAGAGTAACTTTTAGAAGTGTAACACTGACTTGTCTGTTGCAGGCAATGGCCATGAGAACAAAGGCATGAACCACCATCTGTGAGCAACATAGGATGAACAGGGACCTAGGAGCTTGGAGACATCAACATCCGTTCAGGCCTTGCTGATTTGTACCATCAGACTCAAGACACAACAAATGATGGATTACTGATTCTCTCCAGTAACCATATTTCACTTAGGAAGTCGTGTCTGGGCCAGCTTCATGAAAGGAACTTGATTGACGTTCTTTTAATCAGTTGATTTTTGTAGGATATTGATTTAAAAATTCTTGACAGGATCTTCATCAGTGGATGCTGGACAGTATTTTAATCCAAGGATTTCTAGAGAAGTTTGTGAAATATTCCTGAATGTATCTGGAAATGTGTGAGAAGGTCCGGCTTGTTTAAACCGATTGTATGATGATGGTGACAGCTATGTACATACATTGACATGAAATAACACAGCTCCCTGACAAGATGTCCCACACTGGTATTTATGATTGAACACCTCATTCTCAAAATCTGTCATTCTGAAATCATACATTCTGTATCCCTGGTTCCCAGTCCACGAAGTGATTTTGATGCCACAACCACCGTAACTCCTACGATGGCCATTGGGCTAAGATCACTTTGTGGAATGGGGTTCAGGTGCTCAAGGCAGCCCTTGTGCTGCACCTTCTACTCCTGCACCGCACACTCCCTACTGATGTCGCACTGGTGGAGTGGCTCGGCGGTAGTTGGATGATGATGATTATGTTGTTCATGATGATGATGATGATGCCACTCCAGGCTCCTGAACAAGCTCCAGTAACAGACCTTGACCCTTAACGGATCATCTATACAATAGCACCACATGGATTTAGATTGCCCTAATGACAATGGTTTCCTGAAGGTATTAAATAGCTGTTAAACTTAATTACATAGGCACCTAAGCATTGTAAGGGGTGCATTTAATTAACAGGGATTTTTATTATGAAACTGATTCTTTGTTTAGAGAAAAGTGCACTGTTTGGATGTTATTTATTTAGGCACTAAGCCACAGATTTTATTGTGACCAATACCATAATTACCACATACTTTGACACTTTTCATCAAAATATTTCTTGAAGTTGTCAACGAAGATTGAAACATATTCAAACACATTCTTCATCTGATATCACTGTGGCCATTTATTTATTACCTGCTAGTGGGAAGATTGGGAGCAGTAATGGACAGGCAAATGTTTTAATGTGCATCTTGAAGCTTGTCTGTATAGTGTATGCGTGCGTATCTCCATCCAAGACTCCTCAAATTCTGCTGTGACTCATCATCCATTTTGTTTAGAAAATACTCTTGGTAGTGGTTCATTTCTCAATTTCATTCTGAGTCTTTTGAACGTGGGCTCATTATCTGATGTCTGTACACATCTTGGTCTATAAATTACAGGAATATCATTGCTTGATCTGTGGAATCTATGGGTTCTGTAGCCAGGTGGATTGGAAAGACTTCTTGGGTCCATTGTGCTTTCAGTTGAAATCCAGTTTGGTTGGTCATTGATTTGAATACTTAAGAAATTGGAAACCCTTGATCCCTGTCAAATTTCATTTGGTATGTTAAGAACTGCTGATACTAACCGATATATAGTTGTGTATACAAAAACTAGTATAACCTGAAAATATTGTATATTTGGATTTGTAGACTCATAAGTGTTTGGTGAAGATTGTTCCTACTCGGTGTTGGTGTTAATCCCAACTCAAGCTCAGGAAGAGATTAAATTTTATTGCTGGATTTCGTTCTGACTTGACTTACAAGAAAGGTATTGTGATAAGACCACATGTTAAAGATGATAGGTGCCTATCTGTGTGTTCAGTTGTGTGTAGAGATATTCCTACATTGGACATTGACATTCCTGGCTACGAGCTCCATAGAAACCACTGTTTGCACACATTGTCCTGGAAGCGTTCCAAACGGAACAGCTGAATGTATTGTCTCTGCATGAGTGAAATGCTCATCTTGTTGAGATTCTCTGTCAATTGTCAGTGCGGAATGTGAATGTGTTTTACAACGTGTTTTTATTGTTTGTGTACGAGAAATTGATCTAACATGTTACCTCGGACCTGCGTGAGACATAATTCATGGTACGTTGAGATCCACTGATGCTGTAACAGAATTGAGTGAACATTTGTCAGTGCTTGTGGAGCACCTACAGCCCACTGGTATCATTGGGAGGAAATCAATCAATGACAGTGCCAGGAAGATGTTATTATTGGTCCATAGATACTGCAGACAGGCCAGGAGTTGTTTTCTCAGACGGTTTTAGTGCCATGTTATGGATGGCTCATCCCTGATGTATTACATCTCCATTCTAGAATGATATGTACCCATATCACATTGATATGTACTCAAAGACCCTTCCTTTGTTTTAGAACTGATTCCACCATCTTCATCTGTTCATCCTCATTCATCTGAATGATTTTTGACAAAGACCTACCAGGGCTCGGTTTAGTGCTTTGATACTTGCACTGGTGCAACCTAATATTAAAAAGTGCAACCTTGTTATTAGTCTAACTTGCACCAGGTGCAAGTCAATTTTGAGTGGGTAAACCTCTGAATAAAACATCTAAATAATTCATAGCATATTTCTTTCATTACATATTCCAATAAAAGCAGTGCAACTGGAATTGGGCTGGTGCAAGTAGGTTTTTATCTTAGGTTGCACCCAGTGCAAGTTAGTTAACATCTCTTAAATCGAGCCCTGCCTACATTCTAAGGGACCTCTCTACATTTAAATGTTACGTAAGTGTATGTCCACAGTGATCTTGTCTGCTTCACCTTCTCTGATCAATCTCCTACCATGGCCATCATTCTGTGAAAAGGATACAGAATGATTGACAGAATGTGTTAGCAGCTTAGGTTTTTTATCCTATATTGAACTTTTGAACTGGTGGTCCCTTGTGTCATGATTGTTGAGTCAAGTTAAGGGAAATAGCAGAAACACTTGTGTATGTCTTTTTGATTCATAAACTTGTAACATCATATCACAGATTAACTTTGTGTAAGATTATCATATCCATGCCTAGTTGTAGGGAGGTATACAAGTTGTTAGGTAACTATCATATGTAATCCTCTGTAAGGTCAAGACCATGCTTTCTTGTTCTGACATGCCCACCCATGAAAAATGTTGGAGCGAAATGCTACTTGGATTGGATAAATGTTTAGAAGCATTTTGTTCTTTTTTACGTCGATGCTAGTTTTCAGTTGCTAAAATCAGCCATGACAACATTATTGTCTCTTTAATTCCCTCCTTTCGGCATTTTGTTTGAGAGATCCTGTGAAACAAGAAATGAAAATGTTTTGGCTAGGAGTTGATTGACTTCATTTCATCAATGTTTTCACGGTACAAAATTCATAGGTCACATTGTTGTATATGTCTCATACTTGCGGGGCACAGATTTACCCCTTAACTGTAGCTGTAGGTGACTGCTGCTTCGTATGTGCTTGTTTCTTGTTCTGGGGTGTTTAGACAGCATTAAGACTTTTGTAATTTTCACTTTCAGTAAAAATGTTTTGTTAACTGATACAGGGATAGTGTTTTGGAAGTGTGTTTATATTCAATATGTAATGTATCTACATGTATCAACCAAGTACCTATGTCCTTTCATGTTGCCATAGTGTAAAAAAAGTCACTAAGGACAAATATATAAATTCCTTTCACTGTCTTTTTTTAAGGTTTTTGACATGTTTTTGAATTGACTTTGTTGGAAACAGATGTGAAAAATACCACTGTCAAATTGCTAGGCATTGTATGAAATGTACAATGTATCATGTGACAATCTGTCAGAAGGATGAGTGTTGTACACTATGGTCCGGGTGAAGATCGAAGTTTAGAGCATATAGAGGCTTGCATGGATGATTTGTATTGTATTTCCAACGACCTTTCAGGGATTATTTCAGATGTTGACCATTAGATGACCAAGGTCAACCATTATGTTGCTGTTAATCTTGTTGATAAAAGTTGCTGCTAAATATCCCTTACCTGAAATGCATATTCAGCACATCGATTCGCGTGTTTGAATAAACACCCCTAACCTTCTGAAAACAAAAGAATCAAATTTTCTGTAATAGGATATCACACAGAGGTTTTCATTCTATAGTCCATGCATGTAGATAGACAGGAATTATCAGAGCAGTTTCACTGTTGTTTTGAAGTTGTTCACTTATGATTAACAGGTGTGCTATCTTTAAGGAAAGCTTCACCTGCCTTGGTTTGCTTGAGAATAATATGTTGCATATCTATATCTTCATGTCCTGCTCAAATGTGCCCAGGATGTTCATGTAAATACATATACAAGTGTAAATTATCCATTAATCTTTGTGCTTTCGTATGTGATGAGAATATTGAGAGTTGAAGAGTTGATAGAAGTCAATGATAACTGGGTATTGCTTTGTGTGTCATTTTAACAAGAGAGGCTTTGCTAAACTGTTTAGCATATAAAACCATCTGTATATGACTTGTACATAGATGTTGTTTGCCTGTGATATGCTTTCACATTTCATCTTCATAGCTGAGTATTTCAGGCCACCAGGAACATACTGTATCTTCAGTGGTAGCTAATGAGGTGTTTATGACCTTCAAGAGTAATACAGTCATGGGTGATCTCCCTTGAAGGGTGATGTTTGGGGGAAATTCCATGTAGCGTCTTCTCCTTAAGCATATTAGAGACATATGTGACATTTCTGGAGAATTTGGAATCCTATCAGTAGAGACCTTGAAAAGTAACCCCACTCCACCTGTTGTGCATGATATGTTTCACAAAGAGTTATTCCCCATTAACATTAAACTTCTAGAAGAGTTATTCCCCATTAACATTAAACTTTCTAGAAGAGTTATTCCCCATTAACATTAAACTTCTAGAAGAGTTATTCCCCATTAACATTAAACTTCTAGAAGAGTTATTCCCCATTAACATTAAACTTCTAGAAGAGTTATTCCCCATTAACATTAAACTTCTAGAAGAGTTATTCCCCATTAACATTAAACTTTCTAGAAGAGTTATTCCCCATTAACATTAAACTTTCTAGAAGAGTTATTCCCCATTAACATTAAACTTCTAGAAGAGTTATTCCCCATTAACATTAAACTTTCTAGAAGAGTTATTCCCCATTAACATTAAACTTCTAGAAGAGTTATTCCCCATTAACATTAAACTTCTAGAAGAGTTATTCCCCATTAACATTAAACTTCTAGAAGAGTTATTCCCCATTAACATTAAACTTCTAGAAGAGTTATTCCCCATTAACATTAAACTTCTAGAAGAGTTATTCCCCATTAACATTAAACTTCTAGAAGAGTTATTCCCCATTAACATTAAACTTCTAGAAGAGTTATTCCCCATTAACATTAAACTTTCTAGAAGAGTTATTCCCCATTAACATTAAACTTCTAGAAGAGTTATTCCCCTATTGACCTACAAATTGAAGATCAGTTTTGTGTGTGTAAATTGGCCTCAATATCACCTTACCTCATATTAAGCAGATAGATTTTATTACTAATATATGGCATTACTGAGGTATATTCTTGATGAGATGACCTTGAAAAATAAAAGAACATGCTGAATTTCAGACAGGTTTCGTCTTTCTCAAAAGGATTTAAATGTCTTCTGGTTGGTTTCCTGAAGACCTACATTTGCCAAGGTAAGGTTTTGAGAGGATTGTTTGTATGAAGTATATTGTGTCATTTCATGTAACACATGTTAAGAGAATGATTTGTATCAGATGTGGTGTGAAAAGATTTTGTGCAATAGAAAGTGAGTAAATTTGTAATGCTTTACTACGAGGTTTGTTGAACTTTATAGATGTGATCAAACATATATTTTCGTCTAGCATTAAACTGTTCGTTGACTGGGGTGTGGGAAGTTTATTGTCTCACAGACATGTAGTGTTTTGGACTTTCATATTCAGTATGTCCCTCAGTGAAAAAACACATCATTATTAGTTTTCAGTTATGATGTTTTTGCCAAAATGACTGTCTCTAATAACTCCATAATATCAAAGTATATAGGCCCTTAGTAACCATTAAAAGTTTTAAGTTTTATGACCCTTTTAGGTTTGGTGGTATAATGGATTTGACTGCTGAAAGCTGTGTTGGTGTCCGGATTTCTTCACCAGCGGAAGGACAATAAAACTTTTTGTGGTGCAGTGTGAGGCAGGTTGGGATGGAAATCTAATCATTCATTTACTATGACCAAATACTTTTCAAAACTAGTAAGCTGCATAATTGACAGGATTCATTATTTTCGTTTGTCATGTTCTGCTTTCCCCACACCTCATTTTGTTTGGTTTTGGATCAACAAACACTAAGGTTACTTCACTTTTCCAACAGTTCTGGCAGTATGTGTAGGTAAGCTGAGTAACTCACACTTGTGGTGTTTTTATAACATACATGTTAGAAATGTGTGAATGAAGTAGACTAATGATCATTAAATATTCATGATATTTATTATGAAAACTTGCTGTTTGATATCCATTTGTACATACTGCATTGATACCTTGAGTGTTGACATATCTCTGTTTGGAAATTGGAATGAGTGAGTCAATGTATGGCTAATACAATGTAATTATTTGTTATATGCTAAAATAGGACGAATTAATTGAAAACAGATGCTTACAAGGTTGTTTCTGAAGTAATCATTATAAATCTCAAAAACAATTTTTTTTTTGTAAATAGAATATTTCACCAATAAAGATTTTCATATTTGATCAACAAAATATACTGAGGGAAAAAAATAAGGGATCACATGAAAGCACAAGTGTTCCTGTATTTGTTTCCAGGTTTCTTCACAAGCAATGCAATACAATGCTTGTGAAGAAACCTGGAAAAAACATAGAGGAACACTTGTGCTTTCATGTGATCCCTTATTTTTTTCCCTCAGTATATTACACCACATTATAGATTTAAGGGTGTGTATGACTGTGGTTTCCATGTCAATTTATAAGGACATCAATTATGCAGCTATTTATAGTAAATAAAAAATATAGTTGTCATCTTTGTGCAAATAAAATTGGTTTCAGAGAACAAATAATTATTTTGCTAAAGCCAGTGTAATATGTCAGTTGATCAACAGCTCCATAGTTTCTCACGTCACGCCGAAGACCCGGGTTCGATTCCCCACATGGGTACAATGTGTGAAGCCCATTTCTGGTGTCCCCCGCCGTGATGTTGCTGGAATATTGCTAAAAGCGGCGTAAAACCAAACTCAGTCAGTCAGTCAGTCCATAGTTTCTCATATAACCACTTTCTTTTTGCCTCTGATGTTATGAAGCTGCTATCAATATTTGTATGATATTCAAGCCACTTCTTTTTCATCTTGTCATCATGGTTCATAGTAGAAACCCATTGTTTGTGTTTAATTGAAAACATACCTCATAACTCTGTGTTCTATTGATCCATCAGACTATGTGTTTTCATCAGTTTGTTATCTCTGATGGATTCCCTGAAGTTCTCTTCATTGTGCTCATTGGTTTTCGGTCAATTTTCGAACATAAACATTGATGTAAGTAATCCTGTGTGTTGAATTTAATGAGTCAGCTTGTCATGTTTTGCTGAGTCAGCATGATCTAGTTTGATGTACTTGTGATCCATATGGTTTCCAAAGTCAACATACTTTATGAATATTTATTATCAGCCATTTGTCCAACCTATAAGGGCTGTCACCATGTTCTATTGCAAAACATCTAACTTCTGAACTTTAAATACTTACAGCACTTATTATTGTTTCAGAAACTTTCCTATCCAATATAAACACCCACTTTAGGGGACAGTGGTAATTATTATGTACAGCAAAATTGTAATTTTTTTATAATAGAGTTGTTTCTCTTTAAGGCATTAGGTTATTCGTCAGCCATTCAAATGTCAAGGTCTTTCCAGACAGTACTTGATTTTATGTAACTAATGTAATATTGCAACATATCAAGTGCATCTCTGAGTTAGCACTTTCCGAAATCTTTTAAAAGTGTCTTTTCATTTCTATGTTTGTTTACCTGAATTAAAAAATAATGGCTATCACTGTGGCAAATATAAATTTTCTGGTACATATATCTCTCCAGGTGAGCAACATGTGACAGTTTCCCCAACAATCCTACACTCTCACTGTACTCAAAGTTCCTGGCATGTTTGAAACTCCAAATACAAGTGTATTTCATAATGTGTTGATTTTACAGTTTCATGTCTCTAGTTTTCCTGAAGATGATTAATAAATTAATTGATGCCTTTAAATGTTATTTTAAGATGTGCATGTCTTAAAGTGTTTGATTATTCCTCCCTGAAATTAAGTGTATGTTATGAGGTGTTCTGTGTTCTGGTTGTTTCATGAAGAACATCATACGTACAGTGTGGATGTATGGGGGGCTTTGTTCCTTACTCGGCTATGTCATGAAGAGTCTCACTATGAATAAAACATTCTTATGTCCATGGTTGTTCTTGACTCTAGCACCCGTGAAGGTCGGGTTAGAATATTTATCTTCAGTAACCCATGTGTGTCATAAGAGGCGACTAACGGATCGGGTGTTCAAGCTCGCTGACTTGGTTGACACATGTCATCGATTCCCAGTTGCGCAGATTGATGCTCATGCTGTTGATCACTGGATTGTCTGGTCCAGACTCGATTATTTAGACCACCGCCATATAGCTGGATTATTGCTGAGTGCGGCGTAAAACTAAACTCACTCACTCACTCTTGTCACTAGATTCCCCCATGATGACTCTTGATTGTCAGCACTACATGAGACTTGTTGGTTCCACCAAAATAGCATATTATTGATTAATGGTGCTTTCTTCCTTGAGAGCATGGTTTGACCATTTGTCTAAGGTGCTGCTATTCCCCATTAAGGGCTGCCTCACTTTGAAACAGCAGAAACCTATTATTGTTGGTTTGAAGTAACCCATGCTTGTCGTAAGAGGCGATCTGATGGTCGGGCTTGCTGACTTGGTTGACACTCATGCTGTTGGTCACTGGATTGTCTGGTCCAGACTCACTTATGTACAGACTGCTGGCATATAGGTGGAATATTGCGTAAACTAAACTCACTCACTCACTCACTTGAAGCAACGTTTGCCCCAATCTTGTTTTTAGATTTGTCAGAACCATTCCCCTGGGTTTTACTGAACTGTTCAGGCCTTTCACATTTAACTGCCATGCTGACAAGTGGAATACTGATAGTGACATTAAACCCAAATCACTGTTATCTATTTCTGTTTGAAAATGAAAACATTTATACCAGGACTGACTTTTTTCCTGGAATTGCAAAACGATCTGGAATTAGCTGGAATTAGAGTTGGAAACACTGGTTGTAAGTGTTAACCTTGGAATGACACAATAACGGCCCTTGATCTGTTCCTTCTCATCACTGGTTTTGCTTTCCTCAAAGCTTAACCGAGGCACTAGTTGCTCAATCCCTTGCGATATGAGTAATAATATAAGTTAGCATAATATCCCTTGGAGAATAAATAGACAGGGTGTGGTGTGGGGGTGTCAGGCTTGTTGACCTTGACGAACGCATCGCATTGTATGCCACTTGCGTGAAGCGATGTACATGATGGCAATCACGGGATAGACTGGTCCAGGCTCGAAATATTTAACTGACGTTTGTCTAACGCTGGTTTATTGCTGAGTCTGGTCTTAAGTGCCAAACAAGCTATTCGCTGAAATATTGAAATAATATGTAATTGCTTAATGTGACAACCAGTGTAGGTTTGATTGTTGAAAAAATTGTGGATACATACAGAGGATCTTCCTTAAATTGTTGTGAGTGAGTTTAGTTTTACGCCGCTTTTAGCAATATCCCAGCAATATCACGGCGGTGGACACCAGAAATGCGCTTCACACATTCTACCCATGTGGGGAATCGAACCCGGGTCTTCAGGTGCCGTGTGTACGCTTTAACCACTAGGCTACCTCACCGCCCCATTGTAGCCAAGAGATACAAGGTTGGCTCTATACACACACAAACTCGCTCAGTTATGTAATCTAGCGCCTCACTGGTGAAGTGAATAAAACCTCAAAACATTGTCTTTGAATTTTTGGTTGCTTTTGATGGCGTCTGGACCAGGTAATCTGGCGATTGACATCATGGGCGTTGATCTTCGCGTAAGTGATACCAAGCATCAAAATTGTTCTCAAGCCTGATCACCCATTTAAGTTGGTGGCCTGTTATAACAAGAACGGGTTGCAGAAGTTGCTGTATGTTCACATTAAATCCTGAATGATGACCAACGAGTAGTTTTTGTTTCAACATTTATTTATTGAACATCACTATACAATAAGTTATGTATGTACAATAATTCAGTCATTATCACATTTCAGTACTTCCCCAACACGTTCGAAGCTCGCTGAAATGCCGAAGTCGTTTTCGATGTTGAATTGAAATGCATTGCCAGAGAAGGACCTCAATGTCCTTCGAAACCGTTTGGTGCTGATATGTGAATACGTGGAGACGAGGAACCCTAAAACAAAGAATCTTTGTTTTACTTTGTTCCTTTTTTAAATTTATGACACAAGTTTTAAAAGATGCCTGCGTAAAATTTCCGAAAGGTTTATGGGAGACACGTGAAGGACATTTTCAAATCCCTGAAAATAATTCTAGAGTGTTTTAAAGGTGAACACTTGGCAGTCATGACAATGGTTTAGTTGCTTTTATTGAAATATAATTACTTTTCCCTTTTACACGATAAAGAGTGCATGGGTGAGCATAGTTTTTAGCAATACTAATAACAATATTATGGCAGAGGAACACCGAAAAGAGGCTCCATACATTGTACCCATGCAGGATCGGACCCTGGTCCTTGGCGGGATGAGTGAACACTTTAACCACTTGGCTACCCCATGGCTTCCACCGGTAAATTTCAATGATAGATTCATTTGATTAACCTGATGCGAAATACCAAATTGTGTTGAACGTATAATACCACAAGGAAAATCAATGGAAATAATGTTTAGTTGTAATATGGTATGGCATTATTAGAAGGGTTTTTTAAACTCACCTGTTTCTTTACTCATCCTCAACATGGATATGAATCCTGACATCTGCATTGCGGCAAAGGTCCCTCGTGGGTCCAGTTACATAGTAGTCACCAGGCTTGACAGAATAAACGTGGTTCAGTTCGAATCCGTGATATGTGAATGGTGGTACCACACAGTTGAAGAGAGCAGTGTAGCTTCCAAGATCCACAACTGGTCTGGTGACTGATTCATCGACTGGATGGAACTCGATGCGTGTGCCTCTTTTTGACGACGACCTTGGGAGGGATGTGAAGGTTACTTCCTACTGGGATAATAAGAACATCGTAGTCATGATGAGCAGGTCTGTAGATGATGAAAGGATTGGGTAGACTCTTGTTTACCACCGTTCCGTCGTAGGATGTGATCTCCAGTCGGAAATTAAAGGTGTCCCCATAACCTAATTTAAGTCTGTCTGCAACCTCTGTGATGTCGTACTTGAAAACTCTCTCATAGGCCCATGGCATCTCTCTTTCTCCTCCCAGGACAGTGAAAGTTCCAACCTTTTCGTCATTGTCATGGGTTCGGAGATAGATCTTGACACTAGCAGACGTCCCGATGCCGGCCAGAACAAATCCTGCGTAGATTCTGTCTGTGTTTCTCAAGTCATTGATGATGGTATTGAGTTCTTGAATGTTGTGACCTCGAACATTCAGGTTGTCGTAATGGTAGCCGAATTTATGGCTGTCAAAAACTGTAGAAGGCTTGGAGTTGGCACGGGTGAAGTCGTCCTGGTTGACAGATGGGTAGCTGAAAGGTGCCAGTGGTTCTTCCATCATGTGATAGGCACATGTAGCGAAGTTGTATGGCTTTCTCCTGATCTTCTGAAGTTCTTGCCAAATGATCCAAAGTCTGTCTAGACCCGAGTGAAGGATCATGAAGACAGGGTCAAAGGCAGAGTATTCCAGAGTAGACATGGAATACTTCTGGGATCCTCCTAGCCAAGAGTGGACAGCGTTGTGGAGAATCTCGTACTGAACCTCAAAGTCACAGTAGTTGTCTTCTTCAAGTGTTGTCAACGCTAGGTAATAGAGGTAATCATAGCCATGGATCTTTGGCTGGTTATATATAAGATCATTTGGCTCTCTTACGGTGTCATGACCAACACCTGCAATGTGGTACTTGTAGAAGGGATTGTTGTTGCTAGAGTCGGAGAAGAATGATGGCAGTGAGGACAGGTCCTTGGTCCAGTCCCAGTAAGGAACACCAAGCAGTGCACCATTGCTCTTGAGAGCTCTCTCCAGTTGGATCGTCAGGAGTCTGTGCCAGTGGGGGAAGATGGCCATGCCGTGGACACAGCAGGGGTATTTGTCATCTCCTTCTGCAGGACACAGATTTGGGTATCCGTGGTAACCAGAGATTGCTTCATATCCCGTTAGACTGTGATCGTTTTGTAGCTTGTAAAGAGCATTCTTCAAGTTGTTTGCCTCATCAAGGGAAAGAGAATCAACCTCCTTACGATGGTAGTGTGCGTGACCGTCAGTATGTGAGTGAGTGATTTCTGTTTCTTCAACTGGTCCTCTATGGGCTGAAAAAAGTAAATCGTGTGAGTTAGAAATCCATCATTACTTTAACGTATTTGTGAGTTATTGTAGCTCTGGATATCTATAAACGTACTTGTATACCACATTAATGTCTTAACATCTAAATCTGTATCAAGTTCATCTTCCAACATTAAGCTGTCACGACACAACTGAGATACTGTTTTAAACGATTATCAAAACTTTTATATTTTTCACTGTTAATCTGATTTCAGCCACCAAAACTTGATCACTTCTTAGATCAGATTAAAGATGTATTTTTCGAACTTGGTAATGCTTGACTCATTTTCATCAATATCACACCAAAATCATCAACAAACCATGAACTAAATGCTGGCCAATCAATCATCAATATGAAAACGTCTCTAGTATCTGTCTCCTGGTGAGGTGATGATAAAATTACATACCTCCAAGATCATGTTCAATTGTTGGTGACTTTAGCAGGTCTGACGAGAGCTCAGTGCCATTGGTGGCAACAAGCTTCACCTTAAACGTGAAATCTGAATCATATTGGAGATGGAGCTGTTTCATGACTTTAGTGATGTCATAGCGGAATAGTCTGTCGAAGGACCAGGGCATTTCCAGTTCCCCTCCCAGGACTGCAAAGGTTCCTGCAAAGACACAGTCACCATTGGGTCGGCAGATGTCAAAGACGACATCAGCACTGCAGCGGATTCCACGTAAAAGGAAGGCAGCAAATGTTCTCTCTTCTCTTTTCCTTTCCTCAAGTAGGTCATGCAGTTCAGGGATGCTTTTACCATGGAAACTAAGAGTGTCATACTGATAGTTGAACCTCTCATAATCAAATGAATCGACAGCCCTGGCATTAGCCTTAGTGATTGGATTGTGGTTGATTTCATCGCTGAACGGTACCAAAGGTTGTTTTAGGACCTGGATTTCACAGTGTGCTTCGTTGTATGGGAGACCTCTGTACTTCTGCAGTGCTTGCCAGACAGCCCAGATTCTGTCGGTGTTGGAGTGGTGAAGCCAGAAGAGAGGATCGTAGGCAGTGAACTCGAGGGTAGACATTCCATAAGGGCTTCGTCCACCTGTCCAGGAGTGAATAGCGTTGTGGGTCAGCTCAAACTGGACTTCGAACTGGCAGTAGTCAGTCTGTTCCAGAGCCAGGAGGACTTGCCTGTAGAAGAACGACTCTGATCCCTGCTCTGGGTCGTTGAACAGCATGTCTCTAGGGGATCGGGACGTTGTTACTCCGAGATGATCAATGTGACCCTGACAGAAGTGGACAAAAGAAACATGTGAGTGAGTGAGTGAGTTTAGTTTTACGCCGCTTTTAGCAATATAACGGCGGGGGGACACCGGAAATGGGCGTCACACATTGTACCCATGTGGGGAATCGAACCCACAAGGCTACCCAATCGCCCACAAAGGAAACATGTTACGACGTAGGTAATTATATATAATTAATAGTAAACCGTCGAGCACTATGAAACCACACACTGCAAATCGGATCAAGTAATACTCCAAGTGTTACTAAGTTGGCTGTAAACAGGCGCTCAAACATTACTCAGTTCAGGTCCGAAAACCAACTATCGTGTCCGGATCCAATACATTACTATCGAAAAACTATTCCTTATTTGTTTCACGTGTAGGTGTATACTTTCTTTAGCTTGACAGTTTATTATAAATACATATATTAGTTGTATGTAGGGGTGAGATAACAAACAATAGGCATAACCATACCATACTGGCTTATCGAGATACTGTCAGGAATTGTTTTAATGTGATCTCATATACTTGTGGCATTCACCGTGGCTCTCATTCTACACTCACCGTGGCTCTCTGAAATAGGAAAAAGTTATTATTAGCTTCTAAGGGTTCAGACAAGAGTGTAAACTCACATGATGGAAGGGATTATTTTCTGAGTCTGTGACCAGGGCGGGTAGCTCTGTGAAGGCAGTTGTCCAGTCCCAGTATGGGATACCGATGTGTGATCCATGGGCAGCCAGAGCATCTTCCATCTGTTTCACGAACAGTCTGTGCCAGTGAGGGAAGGAGGCCATACCTGTAAGAGATGGAGGTTGTAGACAAGTCTTTCTAAATCCTGCGCTGTCCCCCTCTGTATCCGATCATTTTGAAGCACAATGTACTGTACTACTTACACTATCCAACATACACGTAGTATAATATTACACGACAGCATTATTTAAAGACCTGTTATGTTGTCTTTATCAAACCATCGTACACTGACTTCACATCTAAGTGAAGGGATGGACAGTTGAAGGGATCCAGCTAGGGTCCATGCAGGAAGCAAATGTACTGTAAGTCCCCATGGTCCCTAGTATGGTGATCTACCTTCTGTTGTTGGCAATCTATAGCCTGTTTTATGTGTTTTTATTGTATTGTTTTCTGTAACTAAAATATCTTAGATTTACATACTAGTTTTATATTCATGACTGATATTCTAGTTGTTTTTACTGTACATCGTCGACAGGCTTTTTATAATTTACCTATATTTATTATAAAGTTAAACTTGTTTTTAGTCACGATATGGCTGAAATAATGCCGATGTGACTTATAATCTTAACTCACTCACTCACATCTAAGTGTATTCTGTCAATTACCGTGAGCGCAACACGCAACCTTGTGGCCGTTCATCTCGCACATTGGAGGACTTCCGTGGAAAGATGCTATTGCTTGGTAACCATTGGGACCAGTGTCATCGATGACACCTTGAAGAGCGTGTCTCAGGTTCTCAGTCTCAGATACAGTGAGTGTCGTGACATCCTTCCTGACTCCAGACCCAGCGATGTCAGCAGAGTGTGCGCTGTCAGCAGCGTGACCTGGTGGACGATAACATCAGATGTGTGAGCTGGTGTCAATAGCGTGACAATAGTGTGACAACGGAGTGAGCGTGTATGGTTTTACACCGCTTTTAGTAATATTCGAGCAATATCACGGAGGGGAACACCAGAAAGGGGCATCAAACATTGTACCAATGTAGGGAATCGAACCGAGATCTTCAGCGTGACGAGCGGACGCATTAACCTCTAGGCTACCCCATTGCCCCCATGACAACAGAAGCTGGCATGATGGGACAGGGAATATGTCAGAAGTCATCTAGTGACGTCATATTTTTTATATACATTACCTATTTCACGAGCAATAATACATGTTCATTAAGAAAAGTTACTGTCACTTCAAATTCGAAATGGCACTCACATCAGCGATCTTTCAGCTCACTATAGCGTGTTTAAAAGTAGGGATAACATATGTGGTAATTTGTTGTAGAAAACATTCTAAGAGGGTTTGGTGGACGATTTTATCAGTGTTTTAAGAATGTGAGCAGTAATAACGTGTTAACGTTGGAGAGCACTCGACAGCTAAACGCATTAAATGGATAACCGCATAAGCTTAAGAAACTTATTTTTTGTAATTGCTCCACATTATTTCAACGTGGAGGAAAAATACATTTTAAATTTCATTTTGATAAATACGAGGGTTAAAAATTGGAACGCTACTGAATATTCATGTTTTTCTCATTGTATGACAGTAGTGAAACAGCAAACGGTTCAACAGCCGAGCATTGGTCACTATATCTCAACATGCCACGTGTTGGTCCATACTTGCAGCCCTTACGTATATATACTGCCTGTTCAGGAGGTCTGCTTGGCATATTGGCAAGAGAACCTGAAGCTGACCCTTTCGGAGGAGGAACAGGAGGAGGAGGTGGAGGAGATGACAGCAGCCACCGCCCTACAGTCAGGTCTTTAAATGAACACATTCTTTGCAGACAGTAGCTATTACTGGTTCTCTCACCTTCCCCAGGAGAATAGATGATAGTTGGGGCTGGGATCACAGATGACGGTATCATGGTCTTGTTGACAGCATGGATTTCAACCTTGATATAGAATGGTTCCTCAGCATCAAACACATCCTCTGGATGGATGTTAGCTTTCTCGAGTACTTGGGTGATATCAAACTTGAAGTTTCTGTCAAATGACCATGGCATTTCCTTGGCTCCACCCAAGATGAAGATTATTCCAGCCCTGTGGCAGTCATTTTCATTTCTACAGATCCAGAACCTGACATCAGCAGAAGTTCCGATTCCACGAAGCAAGAAACCAGCAAAAACACGATCGTGGCTTCTCCTTCTGTCAATTTCAGCCTGCAGCTGGTCGAGGGTCCTGCCACCTAGTTCGAGGTTATCATAGCTGTAGTATAGTCTCTCATAGTCATAGAGTGTGTTGGGAACTGCATGTATCTTGGTAAATGGGTTATGATTCATATCAGAGTCAAATGGCCTCATTGGTTTGGTCATGAGGTTAACTGCACAGTCTGCTCGCTTGTATTGAAGTTTCCTCCTCTTTTGAAGAGCTTGCCATACTACCCAGATCTTATCCACAAAGGAATGGTGTATAAAGAAGAGTGGGTCATAGGATGCATAGTGCAGAGAAGACAACGCGTAGGTCTGACGTCCACCAACGAGGTAGTGGATCACGTTATGGAGTACCTCAAATTGTACTTCAAAATCGCAGTAGTCGGTTTGCTCCAGAACAAGAAGAGTTTGCTCAAAGAGAACTGATTCTCCAGTTTCAGCAAGGTGGAACAGCATGTCCTGTGTGTCTCGGACAGTGTAGGTGTTTGCAAATTTGACAAAACCTTTGGAGAATGGGTTGTTTACAACAGCATCATGCCATGGATCATAATATTCCGGGCTGGTGAAGAGATCGGGTAGTTCGGAGATAGGCTTTGTCCAGTCCCAGTAGGGGATAGCGACAGATGACCCATGCTTCCTGAGAGCCTGCTCCATCTGTAGGGTGTACAGTCTGTGCCACTGGGGGAAGGTCGGCATTCCGTGAATACAGCAGGCAATCTGGTACAACAAAGGAATGTTTTTGACATTTGGTGAAGGGATTTATTGGACGCGAAGTCATGCAATATACATGCATAAAAACTGAACACGGACGTAAAACAACGAAAGATTACTGTCATCGGGATGCTGAAAACGTGTTTGTATGTATTGGAATTGCATAATGTTATACCAGTTAAAATACCGCATACAGAATCAAAGGCGTCATAATCTTCAAGTGATAGCATTTAGGGATTATTTTCAGTGAGGGAACCCTAATCCATATTTAAAGACCATAATCTTCTGTCAGTGTATTGTAGTCCACTTTGCTTGGGGGTAAACCCAGGTGATTGTATTTAAAACCTTATTCAGAAGTATGCTTCTAGGCATGACATATTTTAACCTTTGGCCATGTTTGGAACCCCACCAACACTGAACTGAAATGTTCCAACAGTTCCCAGGATTAAAGTTGGTTGTTGTTTACCGCCGCACTCAGCAATATTCCAGCTGTATGGCAGCGGCGTATAAATAATCGAGTCTGGATCAGACAATCCAGTGATCAACAGCATGAGCATCGATCTACGCAACTGGGATACGGTGACAAGTGTCAACCATGTCAGCGAGCCTGACCTCCCGATCCCGTTAGTCGTCTTTTACGACAAGCATGGGTTACTTTAGATCAATTCTAACGCGGATCATCACGGGTAACATGATTAAAGAAAAAAAATATATAGTGTCAGGGTATCTGTAGCCTAACGTTTTGAAGGAGTGAAACATGGAATGACTACCAATCGGAAACAAACGTATCTGTCATTGGTTTATTGATAATGAAAATTACGAATACATCTAATTAAAATGACTAGAAATACACACTTATTGAGACTGCTTAATAATAGATATGTACACATCAGTTACTCTCTCTGCTTGGCTTGGTGGTTATATAATGATTTATACATTTTAAAACGATTAATAGGGAATGTCACATTTTTATTGTCTTTCAAATGGTTTTCCATAAACAAACCAAATCCCATACATTCGCCATAATCATTACCCCCCCGCCGTGCTGTTTAAATGGCTTATCTTTAGAGAGCACATGGTGTCCGTTTCATTCAAGGACTAACACAGTAGTGAGTATATATGCTTCTTACAATCAACCAATATGATCACAGTCACCATAACAATGAGGCATATGAAAGATGAAATACTCAAAATATGTAATAATACCTCATGTCCTTGACTGTCATGACAGCCAGCCGGTAGACCGTGGAAGGCTGCAAGAGCCTGGTATCCATTCGGACCATCGTCCTCTTGTAGGTCTCTCAGGGCCGATTTCAGACTAGACAGATCCCTCGCAGACAGATGACTCAAATCATGGCGAACACGGTTAGGTGGCATGCTCCGGGTATTTATGTCACCTGTGAAAGTATATTTTAAATCATTTTGCTTTCCATCAGCCACTGAAATGTTTGAACCGTTGTTTTTTTTAACACGATGCTAAATAATCTCTCACTTACTCGAAGCCAAAGGCTTTTAACAAGTCGACTCCCTTAACTATGGTGTTACATTTCCTATGTGAACACTATTATTCAATCACTATTACTTTATCCTTTTTTAGTGGAATAATTAACTTATGATATAAAAAAATGACTGAGCAGTTTTACAACTTACGATGTCCACGTTGGAAAATAACACTTGGTGTTGGGATTAGACTGCTGCTCAGGGCAGTCCCATTGTTGGCGGTCAGAGAGACAGAGATTGTGAAAGGATCATCATATCGAAGGTGCATCTTCTCCAGAGTATCAGTAATGTCATATTTGTACAGCCGGTCAAATGCCCACGCCATCTCAGCACTGCCTCCAAGTACGGTGAAGTAACCAGCATCCTGACATGTGGAATCAGGTCTACAAACCTGGAAATTAACCGATGCAGAACCTCCAAATCCACTCAACAGGAACCCAGCGAAGACTCTATCATGTTCTTGATGTTCAATAATGTATTGATCCAGCTCAGCAATTGACATTCCCAGAAATTCTAAGCTGTCATATTCATAACCAAACTTCTTATAGTCGAAGGTATCCTCTGGCCGGGAGAAATCATGTGTTAGCTGATTCAAGTTATAAGGAGCGCCGAAGCTGAAAGGCTTCAATGGTTCTCTCATCTGCTCGAGAGCACAGTGCGCCTCATCTCCCGAGAGCCCTCTCTGTTCCTGGAGTTCTTGCCAGATTGCCCAAATACGGTCTGTCTGGGAGTGATGGAGGTAGAAGAGAGGGTCATAGGATGCGTAATGGAGATGTCCCAGAGAGTGGGTATGACTGCCTCCAACCCACGTGTGAACACCATTGTGAAGAATCTCAAACTGAATTTCAAAGTCACAGTAGTTTTCCTGCTCTAGCGCTAGGATGGCTTGTTTAAAGAACCAGTTATCAAAAACGTGCCCTCCCTTGACAAAAAGCTTGTCTGCAGTGACTTCTCTCTGTGTTGTAATGCCTTCTCCTTCAAACTCAATATTGGCTCGGAAGAAAGGATTTGGAAAATCTCTATTACTCCAAATATCATGGTATGTCTCCATGGTGACAAGCTCTGGTAGGTGAGACTGTGGACGCAGCCAATCCCAGTAAGGTACACCTGTCTTAGCTCCATGTCTTCTCAGTGCATCCTGAAACTGCACAGTGTACAGCCTGTGCCACTGGGGAAATGTAGCCATACCGTGGACACAACACGCATAACGGTCAGCTGCAGATGGTGAAGGGCAGAGTGGTGGCAGAGCATGGAACGAAGCAATGGCCTGGAACCCATCAGGTGAGTGATCTTCCTGCATACTTCGTAGAGCATGGATCAGAGATGCAGTCTCCCTGGTTGTCAGACTGTTCACTTCTTTTCTGACAAGAATGTCTTCTGTATGGCCATCAGCACGCAGGAAAGAACCTGAAATATTTAAATAGAGGTTTTCTTCACTGAATTGCGGAAGGTTTGTACTATAACCTACGGATAGGAAAATGTTTCATTAACATATATTATGTATTAACATCGCTTTGTTATCAACTGAAGTATTTATGGTACCGTCTTAACATTTCCTGTTACACAAAGTCACAAATAGCTACAGCTTCAATGCAAGTGTAACAATATGAACTTCTGACTTTAATAAACTTTAAACAACTTTGTTCATCTGTCCAATTGTCTCCACTTCTCTACACTCTACTTTACAAAGTGAAAGTTTCTTACTGGAACCGGGCACAAAAATCAAGGATGGCTCTGGAAGGATGTGTGGATCAAGGTAAGATCCATTTACTCCTTGGATCTTGATGCTGAGGTCGAAGTCGTGGCTGTCCAGTTGTATGCCAAGGTCTCTAAGAGTTTCACTAATGTCAAACTTGTAGAGTCTGTCAAAATGGAATGCCATCTCTGTTTCTCCCCCAAGTACAGCAAATGTTCCGGCTTTGTTTTCACAGTTTTGCTCACCGTTGCTGGTTGGCACACATACAAAAATCTCGACAGTTGCAGATGTCCCAATGTTGTGAAGGAGGAATGCTGCAAACACACGGTCTTGACGTTGTCGTATGCGAATAATTTCCTCAAGCCTGGGAATACTGAAGTGATTGAACTCAAGGTTGTCATACTTGTATCCAAAATGGTTCTGATAGTCAAATCCATCAGCTGGTCTTGAGTATTTAAAGGTTACAGGATCATGATTTAGCTCAGGGTTGTCGAAGGGATGCAGAGGTTTGCGCATCAGGTTAATGGCACAATCAGCTTCATTGTATGGCTTCTTTCTGTATCTCTGCAACTCCTGCCAGATTGCCCACAATCTATCTGTGGTTGCATGATGGAGGAAAAACACAGGGTCGAACGCGGAATAATCAAGAGAAGAAATAGAATAAGTAGCTCTTCCACCAAGCCAAGCATGGAGAACATTGTGAACCATCTCAAACTGTATCTCAAAGTCGCAATAGTTGTCCTGTTCAAAAGCCAACATGACGTTTTCATAATAGTATCTGCTATTGTACAGCTCAGGCTGGGGATCGCGTGTTGTAACAGCATTCTCAAAACTGATTTTACCTCTGAAGAATGGATTAGGGTCGAAAGATTGTTGACGGGAATTGAAATAGGTAGCATCAGCAATCAAAGATGGGAGCTCCTCAAATGATTCTGTCCAGTCCCAATATGGCACAGAGACGGCAGATCCTCTCTCCAGCAAAGCATTCTCAACCTGGAGGACATAGAGTCTATGCCACTGAGGAAATGTGGGCATGCCATGCACACAGCAGGCAACTTTGTGACCGTTGTCATCACACAACCCAGGCTTGCCGTGGAACTTAGCAATATTCTCATAGACACCGTCGTTCTGAAGTTGCAGGAAGGCAGACCTCAGGCTCTCAACTTCTCCCTCAGACAGATCTTTTAGATTTTTTCTGATGTGACTTGCAGCAGTTACAACCTCATCGTACTCGTCAGCCTGATGGTGACCTGAAAGACAAACACAACAACGTAACTGTCTGATTAACCAGATACATACACGGAATTTCACACTTTACGTATTAATCACAACAGAAACAGATTTGTAAAAGACTAAATTGGATAGCCTAGTGATTAAATTAGGGAAAATACATTTCCTGGTGTCTGTTGCTGAATGAATAGTTTTACGCCACACTCAGCAATATTCCAGCTACATGGTGGTCTGTAAATAATCGAGTCTGGATCAGTCAATCCAGTGATCAACAGCATGACCATCGATCTTCGCATTTGGAATACGATGACATGTGTCAATTTAGCCAGCAAGCCTGACCATCCGATCTGGTTAGTCGCCTCTTACGACAAGTATGAGTCAATTCTAACCCGGGTCTTCACGTGTCCTGTTGCTGAAAGATTGCGGGAATATTGATAAAAGCATCAAACGAATAAAGATGGTAACATAATTATTAGCATTCTATGTATCTTAAGTTACAACTTGCATCGGTTACATTTCATTTGAACTATTATTAATTTTCTCACCTGCCCCTTCTTCATGTATGACAGATGGTTTGGGGAAGATGTTGCTTCCAAGGCTTGTACCATGAAGGTCAAACGCTTCGTATCTGATGAAGAATCTGTCTCCGATGTGAAGATCCAGAGCCGTGAGCTGCTCAGTTATCTCATATTTGTAAAGACGATCATAGCCCCAAGGCATTTCAGCTTCATCACCAAGGATGTAGAACTCACCAGCATAGTGGTCACAGTCATCATCTGATTTGCAGACAAAGAACTTAACCAGTGCAGACTGCTGAATACCGTGCAGCAGAAATCCAGCAAATGTTCTGCAATGAGACTTTCTCCGTGACAGTTCACGGTCCAGCTGGGAAATTGAGAGTCCATTGAAGTCAAGGGTATCATATTCATACTTGAAGTTGTTCTTGTAATCAAAGACACTGAAAGGAACAGCATGCTGTCTCGTCTCCTCATCCGGGTTGATCTCATCAGTAAGGCCAAATGGTTGTAGGGGTTTCCTCATGGAAGCAATGGCGCAGTTGGCGGAATTGTAAGGTTTTCCTCGGTACTTTTGTAGAGCTTGCCAGATAGCCCAGAGTCTGTCAGTGTTAGAGTGATGGAGGTAGAAAATTGGATCATAAGTTGTGTAACGGAGTGATGCCATACCATATGGTTCGCTTCCGCCGACAAGAGCGTGGATGAAATTGTGAGCTATCTCATACTGGATTTCAAAATCGCAGAAGTCGTCCTGCTCCAAAGCCAGAAGGACTTGCTTAGCGACCCCAGTGTAATGACCGAATCCAGGAGCTTCGTACAGTTCGTCACGTACGCGTCTTGTTGTGTCAGCACCAACTGAATCAATATGGCCGCTGAACCAGGGGTTTCGGGTGTCCTGGTTGGAGGTGGCATCTGTGTAGTTCGGCTGACTAACCAAGTCAGGGAGGTGAGACAGGGGCCTAGTCCAGTCCCAGTAGGGAAGAGCTCCGAAATATCCATGCTTTCTCAGGGCATTCTCGCCTTGCACAGTGAGGAGTCTGTGCCAGTGGGGGAAGACAGCCATTCCATGAACACAGCAGGAGAACTTCTTCTCAGCATCGGGACTTGGGCACCATTTGGGCTCCCCATGAAAAGCAGCAATCTGCTGGAATCCACCAGCAGTTTTGTCTGATTGCAGGTCTTCCATTGCCCTCCTGAGAGAATTAACTTCCTCGGGTGTAAGATGATCAACATTTTTCCTGATGATTGTGTCATGATGATGATCATGATGATCAACTGGAAAGTTAAATAAAGAAAAAATACAAGCCATATTACAATGTATATAGTAATTGGAGAACTAATACAAGTAGATATACAAGTAGAGAAACATACTATAGATATTTAACTCTATGTATGAAAAAAAACTAGTCAATATCAATTCCTTTGGATATAGGCAAATATCTGGAAAGGGGTTTGCATGTTCCAGCGGACATTAGTGATAGGTGTTTGCAAAATAGTAAGCATGTCCTACCCGCGTGCGGCCTTAATTCACACAATGTATGTGCATAAAACTGTATGCTTGGTGTCTGTTATTTGAGTTCGGTTTGCGAAAAGAAATCCGAAAAAGAGTCCGATTTGGTTTTCAGTCATGCAAAACATTATTAAAATTTTTCAGGCTGAATGAATTGATTTGTAAAGCAAATAAACAGATATCTACTTACTATGGCCTCGTTCGAAGATGATAGCTGCAGATGGGATGAGTTCAGAGGACAGCAGAGTACCATCAACATCAGTTACTTTCACAGTGATGCTAAAACCGTCATTAGCATGGAGATTAAGCTGCTTCAGTTCATCTGTAATCTCATATTTGTACATACGATCAAATCCCCATTTCATCTCCTTCTCTCCGCCAAGGACAGCAAAAGTGCCGACGAGGGTATGGTCCGTTCCCTGGTCTATAAAGATTTCAACATTCGCTGATGTACCAATATGCGACAGAAAGAAGCCAGCAAAGGTCCGGTCTCTCTGTCTCTGCCTATCGATGTATTCCTCAAGCTCACCCAAGTCCATGCCACCGAAGTTGAGGTCATCGTAAGTATAGCCAAGAACTCCTTCGTAATCGTATACGTTGGTGGGAACTGAGTTTTTGTAGGTTTTGTCGTTGTTGTTTAGTGGGGAACTGAAAGCGAACGGTTTCAGAGGCTGACGTTCGTCAGACCAAGCACAATGTGCCTTATAAGGTCTGTTTCGTCTAATCTGCAAGGCTTGCCAAATTGCCCAGAGACGGTCAGTGTTGGAGTGATGCAGGTAGAAGATGGGGTCGAAGGCTGTGTAGTGTAGAGAAGACATGGAATACTTTTCGCCTCCACCAATCCAGGCGTGGATATTATTATGGGTCAACTCAAATTGAACTTCAAAATCACAGAAGTCATCCTGCTCAAAAGCATAGACCATACTGTCGAAAAGACGCGTATGTTTGCCAAATCGGGGTTGTTCAAACAATCTTGCATCGGGGTGACGCTCTGTGCGCCCATTTTCAAAGGCAACGTCAGCATCGTGGAAAGGGTTGTGCCTGCTTTCTCCGTTGATGGGATCTTCATACGTGTCGTTGTCAGCAAGTCCTGGGAGATGAGCCATAGGCTGCGTCCAGTCCCAGTAGGGGACACCAATAGGAGATCCCCGTCTGATCAATGCATCTTCCACTTGGGTAACGAACAGCCTGTGCCAGTGGGGGAATGTTGCCATGCCGTGGATGCAACAGGCGATTCTATTTGTGGCCTCGGGGAATGGACATCGAGCAGGTAAACCATGATACTCAACCGTAGCCTGGTAACCATCAACAGACTTGTCGTTCTGGAATCTCTCCATAGCTCGGCGCAGCTCGTACACTTCCTCACGTGTCAGATGGTTGATGTCCTTCCTGACGGCGAGGTGGGCGTTGGAAGAATGGGGTGGGGGCTCTGTAACAGGAAATGCGATTTAAAGTAATTAACACTCGGGTGTGGGGCACCTTCATCAATATACTACAAACTGATCATTTTCTTTTTTGGTATATGTTATCATAAACTGAAATCATACACTTTAACGTATAACTGATCCTGACTGGGCTGTATTCTGCCCAGGGAGTTGAGAATGAAAACTGTGGTTACACTGGTCCATTGACCCGGATGTTAATATAGAGCTGTACAATTTGCTTCAGGTTGTGCATTTGGCGCATTTTGAAATATGCACATTATGATTTACTCGTTATAAAATAGAGGTCCCTGGTCCCGTGCTGTCTTGTTGTGTAAACGGTATAATAAGCAGTCTAAACGGGGTGTAAACGTAATGCCGATGTGATCACTGAAGTAATGCTTGAATGTAGACAAAGTTTGCACCCCGGTTTTACATTTATAACACCATGAACGCAAAAAACATATTGAGGTCAATTTCTAAGTAAAGAGGTACTGGTCACAACAGACAAAGATGGCGTGGGATGGTGTAGAACAACCGCATACCCAGGGTAGTGGGATACATATGGTAGCAAACGTGCAAACAATCCTGGATTTCCCATATGTTTAGGCCACTAGGATGATAACCACCCGTTCTGACAAATAGACCCAGATATCACAGGATGTATGGGTAGCCTTGGGTGTCTCTCTTCTATGACTCCGAAAGCCAATATAACCCTTCCAGTGACCATTTACTGGCACTCAACCTGACCAATTTATTCTGCCTCAAACAGCTACGACCTGCATCAGTTTGATCTTCCCCTCCTCGAACCTTCCATAGCATGACCTTTTACTCTCAATGATGCACATCTTACTGATCAGGGGAACGGCAGCACAAGCCGGCACAATTCTCTGGGCACATTCCAAACATCCGGATTTGCCATTAGTATATACAATGTGCTAAACGTTCGACACATGCCTGAATTCCCGTGTTCATGCCACATTAAGCTGACATCACGTGGAATAATTGAACACCATGCAGAACGGTGTTAAACCTTTCTCACCCGCCCACACCAATCATAAACCCACCCATCCACCCAGTCAGTCAGTGAACACCCACTCACAAAATGACACTCACTCAAAGTCCAAATGATTGTATGTATGCAAAGACCATTTACCATCAACGTGTCCACGGGCTGGCCTATGTGCGATAGTGGGTTGAGGCAGGAGATCATTTGGGAGAGCACTTCCATTTACACTAAATAATTCCGCCTTTACATAATAGTGACGGTGGCTGTCGGTGTCGATCTCGGCGATGCTGTCAGTGACGTCGTAGTGGAACGCTCTGTAAAACATCCAAGGCATCTCGGTGGGGCCGCCCAATACAAAGAAATCCCCGGCTTTGATGCACTGATCCACAGCTATTTCGTCGTGAGCGGGGCGGCAGGCGTAGACAACCACGTTGGCAGAGCCGCCGAAACCTGAGAGTCGGAAGCTTGCGAAGACCCTCTCCTTGCCTGACCTTTCATGCAGGTATGAGTTCAATTCCTCAGGTGTCATACCGTTCAAGGTCAAGTCATCATACCTGGACAAAATGTAGTGTTGGTTAACAACAAATTAGAAAATTTGCGATTAGACATTCCCTATCAGATTTGAGACAGAATGAACTGTCTATTCAACGGTTGTTTGCCTTTAGTGTCGAGCTGATAAAATACATAAAATATTGGTTACTATGTTGATGTCCGAGGGGTGCATGGGTCTCAGAAAACGTTGCAAACACTCCGAAACCATTCTATATTCGTTATAAATAGCCTAAAACTAAATGAATGATTGAGTAAGTATGGTTTTGCTCCATACCGCAATATTTGAGCAACATCACGGCAGTGATGGACTCCCTACATTGCACCTATGTGAGTTCAGAAATACAAATAGTGTATCATTTCACAATGGACTGCGATCTATGAGACACGAAAGCAAGACTGGTGGAGGCCTGGCAGTACTAGTTGTCTCAGGCATCCTCGGTGCAATGTCACAAGGCGTGACCATAGACTATGATGTTGGTGGATCAGTACCGCTCCCGAACACTCTACTCTGTTTCGGGGTGGCACAACGCCATCCGCTCTAAAGAGTCACGCCCCTTTGCATGCTGAATACCGAAGTGGAAGGTTTGAACCCAAACTTCGCCCTGATGATGTTACCGTGTTTCTCAGAAGCATACCTGCCTTCGAGGGTTTCTAAACGTCTGAGACCGGTACCACACAAGGCACTTCTCCCTTGGTAATGCTGAAAGACTGTTATAATTGGACGTAATACCAGACGCATTCATTATTATAATCATACATACTGGTAGCCTAGGTGGGAGTAATCAAAGGTGTCAATTGGTTTGGAGTTTTCCCTGGTAAGGTCAAGAGGGTTCGTGTCCCGTTGGAACGGTTCCATTGGCTGGTGGATGAGGTTGTGTGCACAGTTGGCGGAGTTGGGGTCCTTTCCTCTGAGCTGCTGAAGACGCTGCCAGATGGCGAAGATGCGGTCGGTGTTGGAGTGGTGGAGGAAGAAGAGGGGGTCGTAGGAGGTGTACTCGAGATGAGACATGGAGTACCTTCAATGGTAAGCACGAACATCCATTCAGAACACAGTATTTGCATAAGTAGGGTGTCCTCAACGAAACTATCAGGTGTTATTTTGGTACCTGATGATATGGTTCTTGGGACAAGAGAAACAGGAGCTGACAGGAAATACTAAAACCCTCGTGTAGTCTTCACGCTCGAGTAAGTGAGTGAGTGAGTATGGTTTTACGCCGCTTTTAGCAATATTCCAGCAATGTCACGGCGTGGGACACCAGAAATGTGCTTAACACATTGTAACCATGAGGGGAATCGAATCCGTGTCTTCTGCGTGACGAGGGAACGCTTTAACCACTCGGCTACCTTATCGCCCACTTTCAAGCTTGAATGGTGTTTTCTACACTGATATATTTTCTTGTCGACCTTCATAAATATAATTAATAAAACAACAAGAAGAACACTATCCTGCGTGGACCTTTCATTGTCGAGAGAATTTGATGGCTACATGATAGAAAATATGACTTCAATACAGATTTGCAGTAATTTCTCATGGAAACCCGGGTTAGAAAGATAAGGAGACTGGTGAGACTTTGAGACTTCACTCACGACCAACAGAGAGGGGGACTCATAACGGACAGAGAACGTGACTCACGTGTGTCGACCGCCAACCAGGTAGTGGATGGCATTATGTGCCAGTTCAAACTGGATCTCAAACTTGCAGAATTCGTCCTGTTCAAGTGCATCGAGAATTCCCTCAAAGAGTCGGGTATGCTCTCCTGGTCCAACCTTCTCGAACAGGCGGTCATCAACAGCTCTTGCAGTCTTCTGATGCTCAAACTTGATATTTCCGCGATACCATGCGTTGTCATGGGCCTGAAAGATATAGTCAGTAGGTTATACAGATGTTATACAATTGCGTACAGTCCTTAATGTTCATCTAACGTGTGAGGGCGGTGGGATAGGTTAGTGGTTAAAGCGCTCGCTCGTCACGCCGAAGGCCCGGGTTCGACCCCCCCACATGGGTACAATGTGTGAAGCCAATTTCTGGTGTCCCCCGCCGTGATATTGCAATATTGCTAAAAGCGGCGTAAAACCCAATTCACTCATTCACTCATTTAACGCGAGTAGTTACATATACAACTGACAAGTCTCTGTCATGATAAACACCCAAACACCGCGGCTGATGGGGCCTAAGGGACAGAAAGACATAATGTTAGAGGTTTTCAAGTAACACGACCTGTGAGGATCCGGGTTAGAATTGATCATCAATAACCCGTGCTTGTCGTAAGAGGCGACTAACGGGATCGGGTGGTCAGACTCGCTGACTTGGTTGACACATATCATCGGTTCCCAATTGCGTAGATCGATGCTCATGCTGCTGATCACTTGATTGTCTGGTCCAGACTGGATTATTTACAGAACGCCGCCATGTAACTGGATTATTGCTGATTGCCAAACCAGTTCGGCGTAAAACTAAACTTACTCACTCACTCAGTAACAACTGACGTTCTTCGTACACCTAACATGAGGCGGTGGGATAGCCTAGTGGTTACCGCCGAACACCCGGGTTCGATTCCCCACATGGGTACACTGTGAGAAGCCCATTTATAGAGTCCCCCTCCGTTCTATTGCTGGAATATTGCTAAAAGCGGTGTAAAACCTAACTCACTCACTCACTTGTACACCCGACAACCTCGGAGTTACCCTATTAAAGTGTGTGACGTATTGTTACGCCAGGTATTTCACGTCATTGTCTGTAACCTTCAGTTTCCTGGTGTACCAATCCCTTAGGCTCGTACAAATCTCGTGAAAAATATTAAAATGCCTATGTTTACAGATGCATTTAAATTACAACCATTATGAAATACGTTATCACAATGTTACTCACAATGGGAGTGCAGGTTATTTTCAGTAGTATTAGGCGTAATGAATGTGATAATCAGTGAATGTGTGTCTTAACAATTCTTGTTGTAAAGCGTGAGTATTGCTCAGTGTGGAAGTTCACGTATTATCTCGAAGCACAAACTACAAGGTGTAAGAATGCACTGGTATCAGACCGGGGTAGAATAGGTCTTCATAACCCATGCTTACCACAAAAGGCGACTATGCTTGTCGTAAGAGGCGACTAACGGGATCGGGTGGTCAGGCTCGCTGACTTGGTTGACACATGTCATCGGTTCCCAATTGCGCAGATCGATGCTCATGCTGCTGATCACTGGATTGTCTGGTCCACACTCGATTATTTACAGACCGCCGCCATATAGCGGAATATTGCTGAGTGCGGCGTAAAAGTAAATTCACTCACTCACTCACTCATTGGTATCTGCCTGACAGAGACAGTTGCGTCAGTTCATGCATGTGTGTGGAAAGATGGTACTTGTTGTTACCTCGCCTGGCGTTCAGCATTGTTGAGATACGATAAAGACTGGCTCGAGTATACTGTGGAGGTTTCCATGTAAAACTACTGAATGGTTTATCACTGGACACTCTAAAACCAACATTAGTCTGAACTAGTGCAGATGCACATGGATGTATACACGCCCACACCCGCGCAATGCGCTATAGAACTACCATGACCTTGAACACGGCATAACCCACTACTCCTCTTTTCGTTCACTGACATACCTTCCTCATGAACACCTTTGGCCTAGCTTTAGTTGCTGCTGGTCCATACCTCGTGTTGTAATATTATTAAATATGACATCGATTTGTTTACATACATACAAACATACATACATACATTTGTATAGCTCCGATATCCAGTACAACTGCTCAAAGGCGCTTTGTTTTCCCTCGATCATTGGATGTCCATCACAACGGCATATCGTATTTTCAATCTCAACTCCCTGGGGATCATACACCTCTTGCTGCCTACTAGGCGCACCAAGTTAATGAAGCTTTCCCATCCTTACGAGGTACCCATTCACAGCTGGGTGGACTGGGACACATAGTAGAAGTAGAATATGTTAAAATTAAAAATGATTAATGTTTAGACTCGAATTCTGTGAAATGTTAATGTTTTACTGTCCTTCGTGAAAGCTATTTCTCATATTTACTCATATTTACTCATATTTACTCACTCACTCACACACACACCCAAAACTCACCCTGCCACTCACTCACATAACTAAGATATAGCCCTTACCTTTCCTCCTTCCGGGTCCACAAACAAAGGATCTGACACCAGATCTGGGAGGTGAGTTAGAGGCTGTGTCCAGTCCCAGTACGGGATGCTCACAGTGGACTTGTGCCTCATCATAGCACGCTCCAACTGCACAACGTACAGACGATGCCACAACGGAAACGAGGGCATGCCGTGGAGACAACACGCCACCTTGCGGCCGTGACCGTCAACACATCCTGCCGGCGCTCCGTGATAAGCGGCAATGGCCTGGTATCCCATGGCACCCTCATCCTGCTGGATGTCATGCATTGCTTCCTCCAGGGCCAGGAGCTCATCTGTGGTCAAGTTGTCCACATTCTTTCTGATAACGGTGTCTGGAAATATAAGGTACAACAGCTATTGTTCAATTCAATAACGTGCATCTAATCTTGGCTGAAAAACCTAAACTTCAGTGTTGTGAAATAGGTTAACTCCTATTTCACAGCAAGTGAGTGAGTTGTCTTTTAAACAGTATTCCAACATTGTTATGTCAGAAGAAAGCCGGAAGTCAGGTTCCAAATGTTTACCACTAGGAGAACGGGTATGGGGATCAGAGACCTAGAAACAGAACCAAGGCTAGTCTGGTTTGGAGCCCACAACCACAAGTTTCTGGCGTCCTCAAGGCACGCAACTCTGTACAGGGAATTACCGATGACTGGGTCGCCCGAAGGTTCCTTCCCTTGAATCGTTTTTTCAGCACAGCACTGAGGTGGTTGTCGCGAATGGACAATACAGGATGCGTGTGCGTTCGCGAGATAAGCCTGCGCTTGGGAAGGATCGTATAGTGCTTAAGTAGACAACAGCCAAAATATATACATGTTTACATACAAAACCCTGGTGTTATTTCATTCTCTTTGTTTTATTTACTCCATGCGAGATATGCTACAATGCAGACATGATAAACTTGACGCAAACAAGTTTTACACATTTAATAATATATAATAAGTGCATTTTTATGCGCTGTTTTACATCCTTTGCGCGGGTATCAAGGGTAGTACTTGAAGAAGAGATGTGTTTTAAGTTTGGACTTGAAGACAGCTAAAGATGAGGAAGTTTTGATATACATAAGAAGATATTTCCAGAGAGGAGGGGCACAGAATGAGAATGATCTCTGTCCGAAGGATTTGAGATTGATCTTCAGGATGGTTAATAGAATACACAGTGCCATTTAGAAAGTGGTCAAATGTTAACAGATGTTATATTTGGAATTACACTTCCTTAGCAAAGTACAGATTCTAGTACTTTTGTTGGGTTGAGTTCCATCCAGGATTCGAACCCACACCCGGATGGGACTCAACCCAACAAAAGTACTAGAATCTGTACTTTGCTAAGAAAGTGTAATTCCAAATATAACATATGTTGGTTAATAGAAGTTGATCATTGGATCTCAGATTTTTGCTTGAAGTATATGTCTGGAGAAGTTATTTCAGATATGCTGATGCAACGTCATGGTGACAGCTGTATGTCAGGGATTGAACTTTGACCTGGACTCTAGCTTGTACTGGCTTGTTCTTTGTAATGTTGGTCGTGCATGTTCCAGGCCTTCAGCTTTCTTATTCTGTATACGCACCACCTAGAAATATATCTCCGCCATTTCGCGACGTTGGAATATACACGTCTTTGAAAGTTAGCTTTGCGACTGAGCTCTCGAATGTAGTGCACATCATTTTAGTGAACACGATGAACGAGTCCACAGCGAAGCCTGGAAACACAAGCTGTTCCGCTGATAATACAGATTGACAGCAGAGTCATGTGACAAGTTACATGGACAGACGCTTCTATACTTAGGGCTTTAATGGCCACCGGTTATTGGTGGTTTCAACAGATGTGATGTGTCTATGTAGCATACAGATAATATCAGATCAAATAGTTCCATGGCATCAGCGTCCTCACGGTCGACACGGTCAGTAAATGAGTTTGGTGTTATGCCGCTCTAATTCGGCAATTCCACGGCTCTTGACACCAGACATTAATTTCACACATTGTATGAGTGGGAATCGATCCCGGTATTTTGGCGTGATGAGCGAATGCTTGAACCTCGAAACTACCCGACGTCCCGTCAAGACAAACTATCGCCTTACCATGACAAAATGTGCCGTTATAAAATGAAGAATCCCTGACTTTTTCCATGACAAGTTAGAAAAGAAGTTAGTTTCATCAGCAGACAACGATATTTCCAGGGCTAGGAATAGCGGTCCGGTTATACTTCCGGTTTCAATATGAATTCTTTGTATATGAAGACTTTTTGTTGGACAACAGGTATTATCATTAAGTGACATTCATATCTCATAGTTGTCCCATGGGCTGACATCGGGGGACAGCGTCAATATACCCTGTCTGTACCACCCATTCAGTGGGTATTAGTGAATCTAAAAGGCGGTCATAATGATATAATAACCAGCCTTACTGACAAAAGTGACTTTGGTTTAACGGCTTTCTAAACAGTATTGCAGTATATCTGTTTGTTTTTGTTTGTTTGTTGTTTAATGCGGCACTCAGCAATATTCCAGCTATATGATGGCGGTCTGTAAATACTTGAGTCCCGTGATTGGCATCACGAGGATCGATCAAATGAGATACGATAAAATGAGTGTACCAAGTCATCGCATCTGATCCCCCGATCCCGTTTGTCCACTCATACGACAAATCTGTGCTCGGTTCTAACCCGGGTATACCAGTACAACATAACAGTACGAAGTAAAGCATACCTGTTGTGTAAAACCCACCAGTAGAGGCACGGTGCTAAAACATCTAGTGACGAACCGGGATTCGAACCCGCGATCATTGGTCTCTGTCAAGCCTAATGAGCACAGCACAGACGAAAAGGGCCACTGGTGCCCCCATATGGAGTTAGAAATTCTTATAAATGTTAAGTTTAAATTCACATGAATTCGAGATTTTCATTTCCTAAACACCCTTGTTTGGCCTTAAATGTAACACGTGATTGTGAAGTTTAAGTTAAACAGTTTAATTTTGCTATAGAGAAGCACTTTTGTATTTTAAGAATTAAACCGAAGTTCATCTCTTGAAGTTCTATGAAGACGGCTTTTCTGCGCATTTCAGCAACGCTCCTGTGCTCGAAGGTACCAACACGTATACGAATCAGGTAATAGTCAGGCATGAACGTGTCCAAAACTGTTCACGTTAACTCAAGATATGAAATTTCAAATGTCTAGTCAATGTCATTTATACGCACTTCCTCTTTCAGAAACATTTGTATTTCTTACAATAATCTGAGGGTACGGTTTTATGGAATCTCGGGATATGGAAAATGAGCGCGATGGTCCTTAATAACTTGGCTATTCCCCTCTCCCTTTACAACCTATGGTTAGCGAAAACCACGAACGTGTTTAATCACTAAATGTGTTGGCACATGCCTCAATCAATATGGTACTTACCAACTGAAGACAGGGTCCCCTGAAACGCAATCACAGCAGAATTAAGCACTAATATATTCCACATTCGGTCGCTAGGTAACTAACTAGAACTCAACCAATTCGTCTACTTGCTGATCGGGTAGTTGTTGGATTAATGTTCGGACATTTCTAGTACCGATACTACTACTGCTACTGCCTCGCCTTCCACTGCCACTGCTAGATTGGCACTATTTTGAAATACCTTTTTGATTCTTATAATCCGTACAAAGCTTCACACTGCCCTGATATTGTTAAGAATAAACCCTGTTGTGTTGAATTAAACTTGAACCGTGGTATGTATACATTTACTGACCATGGCGTTTCCCACAATCATCATGTTCAACGTATCAGAAACTGATCTCAGGGCTACGAAGATGTAGAGCACATCGCACAAAGTGCAGGGCTCAACACGCCAACCTTAACTTGTCAGACTCTGCACGTCAGGCATAACTAGACGTAGGTCTAGACGTTACACTCAGGATGGCGGTTTAGATGTTCATGAATGAATCAATATATTCAAGCAGAATATAAAATCCGAGCTAGTAGTTCCTGGTACTACCAGGGTAGACAATTCTGCAGAAAGCGCCTGTGTCCGATAGAACGCCAAACTAAGATACAGAAACAATAAACCACTTACCCCAAAGAGAAGGGGGATCATTAACAACGCCACGACCGTCCACATGATCAATCCAGTAGTTTCTGGCGATGATGCTGACCCCTGAGACACAGTCTTTTATAGGAACCCCTTGTCACGTGACTCAAACATTTGGGTTAATCTATCTTTTAAAGGGGAGCGGTTGCTTACACACGTGATTATGCTACATATATTATTATTGTTATGTGTAAATACACCTTCGTATATGAATGTAATATCTTTTGCAAATATTCCCTTTTTTATATTATCACATGATTGGCTTTTTAAGATTGCTAAAAACATATCGAAACACATGGCATAGTCCCAATCCCCCTGTAGGTCCAATATGGACCCGTTCGTTAGGTTATCAGCGTCACCCTTGTCATATTACGACCGATATTTCTCAATGAAGCAATTCGTGAATGGGTCAGTTAGTCACTCATTCTCTGCAGACGAAGGAAACGATTTCTAAATGGAAAGAAAAAATAATCGTATATTTCACAGCAGAATATGTACTTTATAATGGTTCCAATCAAATTTAATGATAAGCATTTTAGTTCTTGGCCTCTGATGTTTATTTGACGTATGCAAAGGGTATTAGTTTTCCAAGTGTGCGTAGATATTTGAAGTGAAAATAAACTTCTATGACTTTTAAAATTGATTCTTTCAAGAGAGAAATGGGTAGAAACACGGCTCGGGTTTATATATAACATAAATTAGAATATTAATTATTTATCCATTTAATTATATATTATTTATGACAAAACGTATTAGGTTTGAATTATTATAACAGAGACAAATCTGATATTCAAACCAACGGTCCTGACAGTGCAAACAATTAAAACCCCTTCCCACAAGTATAACAAATCTTTGCTTATTTTCACAATTTTATTTTATTTTTTTAAACTTCCATTATCAAGTAGTGATGGGACCAAGTGTTAGAGAAATCGTGAAGTAACCTGCCTCGCCGGTGAAAAAGGAGCATATTATTTGAATTTGAATTTCAACGCGTGCTACGTTTCACAGCCGTTGCATTGCTTGAATATTGCCAAAGCGGTGTAAAGACAAGCTGCATCAATCATTCATTTTCATAAGTCGGTCATCAGACCTGGTAGTTCACTGACAAAAGAGAGAAACAATTTGACGCTTCAGCCAATCTTATAATGTTCATATTTTGTTGGCTTGAAGGTACCGAAACCAGACCTGTTAGGGTAATTTTGAATGCTTTTGTTTCGTTGAGGGTGTTTATTGGTCCGTGCTGTCCAAAATGCTGGACAAATACAAAGATTGTTTCTGTAGGTCATAGAACACGTGTTAACGCAGAATGTAGTTAGTACCGGCTCAATTTCAAAAGTCCATTTTTCAAAATATATTGTTTCCTTTATTCCATGTTTTCAGAAGTTACTTAATTTAAACCAAGAATTTTAAGCAAGATCAGATATTCTTTTAAATCATATCTATAAATCTCAAGCTATTGTTCATATCTTATGCCATTCAAAGTCGTTAGAATGTATTAACTCTAAAAGTGTTTCCCATTAAACTGAAATCGAAAATATCTTAAGTTTACTCAAAAGGGTTATCTGTTATCTGAGATAGATTTATCATAAAAAGTCTCATTGAGACTGACATGAGGCTTTTGTTACAAATGGTAATGTCCATATTGTTGATAGGTATCATCACGTTATTTCTAATGGTTAGTTTCCAGGGTATAGGCAAGATGTGTATAACATAGTTGCAATCCAACATTGTTCCTCTAATATCATACATATGTTTTAATGTTACAGAGGTATTAATCCAGGTTTATCACACATATCTTTGATAGTTAAGATTCCTTTATCAGCCAAGTGTTTTATGAAGTGATGGGTATCTGTTAATCTGTGATTAAACCATAAAGGCTGAGCTAGAATATGACTAATATTGTCTGCATCAACTTTAGTCTCTTTACAATATTTAGTCTATGTTTTAGAACATCAATCCAATAACGGTTTTGGATGTCAAAAACTTTTGAAGCATTTGCCCCAAACTTGAATATATCATTGAAGGGTATATTACATGGATTACTTGCAGCGATTTTTCTACAATGTAATCTCAAAGTGGAGATTTTTAAAGCTTCAATAAAAGTTTGTATATCAATCATCCGTAGCCCACCCTCTTATTTAAAATCTTTTCATAGTTTCTCTTATAATTTTATCATATTTGCGATTCCAAATAAATTTGAAGAATAATCTTTCAAGTTAAGTAATAAAAGTTTTGGGTGGATTGGGTAATGTGTTAAAAATATGTACTAATTTTGAAACTGCTAATGTCTTGATAACTGTAATCTTTCCTGTTAATGTTAAATGCCTTTTTCTCCAGACTGCCAACAGTCTATTAATTTTGTCAAGCCTTTTTCTCTGTGTCATTCTATTTTGATATCATAACATAATCTTTCATCACACCCCGCTTATGATCCTAACCAAATTGCATTAGTTTTATCAATATGCCCTGGTTCCTCTTATTGATGCTTCGGGTAATGCTCTATGTTCCTCATACTGAGGCTCCAGGTAATGCTCTGGGTCCTCTAACTGAGGCTTCAGGTAATGCTCTGGATTCCTGTTCCTGAGGCTCCAGGTAATGCCCTGGTTCCTTTTACCGAGGCTTCAGGTAATGCCCTGAGTCCCTGTTACTGAGGCTCCAGGTAATGCTCTACGTTCGTCTAACTGTGGCTTCAGGTAATGATCTGGGTTCCTCTTATTGAGGATTCTGGAAATGCTCTGGGTTCCTGTTACTGAGGCTCCAGGTTATGATCTGGGTTCCTGTTAGTGATGCTTCAGGTAATGATCTGGGTTCCTTTTACTGAGGCTTCGGGTAATGCCCAGGGTTCCTCTTACTGATACTTCTGGTAATGCCTTGGGTTCCTGTTACTGATGCTTCAGGTAATGCTCCACGTTCGTGTAACTGAGTCTTCAGATAATGTCCTAGGTCCTCTTACTGATGCTTCAGGTAATGCCCTGGGTTCCTGTTACTGAGGCTTCAGGTAATGCCCTGGGTCCTCTTATTGATGCTTCGGGTAATGCTCCGGGTTCCTCTTACTGTTGCTTCAGGTAATGCCCTGAGCTCCTGTTAGTGATGCTTCAGGTAATGCTCTGGTTCCTCTTACTGAGGCTTCAGGTAATGCCCTGGGTCCTCTTACTGATGCTTCAGGTAATGCCCTGAGTTCCTGTTACTGATGCTTCAGGTAATGCCCTGGGTTCTCTTATTGATGCTTCGGGTAATGCTCTGGGTTCCTCTTACGGTAACTGTTGCTTCAGGTAATGCCTGCTTTTTTCTTACTGATGCTTAAGGTAATACCTGGTTCCTGTTACTGATGCTTCAGGTAATGCCTGGGTTCCTCTTTACTGATGCTCTTCGAGGTAATGCCCCGGAGCTCCGCTTTAGGTAATGCCCCTGGTCTCTTATTGATGCTTTCGCAATGCCTGGGTTCCTTTACCGTTGCTTCCAGGTAATGCTCTGCTTTTTCCTGATGCTTAAGGTAATACTCTGGGTTCCTACATTGATGTTCACGCTCCTCTTACTGATACTTCCAGGTAATGCCCTGATTCCTGTTACTGGGGCTTCCAGGTAATGCCCTGGGTTCTCTTATTGATGCTTCGGGTAATGCTCCGTCCTCTTACTGTTGCTTCATGTAATGCCTCTGGGTTTTCTTACTGATTTTTCAGGTAATGCCCTGAGTTCCTGTTACCGAGGCTTCCAGGTGCTTTGATGCTTCAGGTAACGCCCCGGGTCCTGTTACCGATGCTTCTTCCAGGTAATGCCCGGTTCCTCCTACTGATGGTTCAGGTAATGTCCTCCTTCAGGTAATACTGATGCTTCCAGGTAATGCCCTGGTCCTGTTACTGATGCTTCAGGTAATGCCCACGTTCCTCCTACTGATGGTCTGTAACTGATGCTTCAGGTAATGACCTGAGGTAATGAGGCTTCAGGTAATGATCTAGGTTCCTCTTATTGAGGATTCTGCTAAAGAGTTCCTGTTACTGATGCTTCAGGTAATGCCCTGGATCCTCTTACTGATGCTTAAGGTAATGCTCTAGGTTCCTTCTTACTGAGGCTGCAGGTAACCCTCGTCTAAGGGTTCCTCTTATTGATGCTTCCAGGTAATCATTGATGCTTCAGGTCTGAGGTTCAGGTAATGCGCTACGTTCCCTTACTCTGCTCCTTGTTACTTGCTTCAGGTAATGATCTGGGTTTCTTTACTGAGTCTTCAGGTAATGCCCCGGGATCCTCTTACTGATGCTTTCTCAGGTAATGCCCCTGATTCTTTTACTGATGCTTCAGGTAATGCCCTGGGTTCCTGTTACTGATGCTTCAGGTAATGCTCTGGGGTTCCTCTTACTGATGCTCAGTTCTCTGAGTAACTTCTTTAATGATACAGCCACTAACAAGCTCACCACCAATAATAAATATACATCTATATATCAATCAAACTTTAGCAATTAGTTCTATTACTTTTAAAACTTCAATTTTAAAATTATTTAACATTGCTAAAACTATCCTTAACTGTTTTGGCACTGAAATATTTTCCCTTGTAATGGAAAAATGACTACAGTCAAGCAAAACATGCTGGACGGTGATTCTCTTATTACAAAGGATGCAAAATGGAGGACCCTCATCTTTCAATAAAATATTCATGTGTATACCTGCTGTGGCCAATGCGACATCGTTGCATCGTCAAATCTGGACTGACAACCCAAGTAGGTGTAACAAATGGTTGGTTTAATTGCATGTAATTTATTAATACCTACTTGAGTGCCCCACTTCTTTTGCATCAGATCGCGGATGTACGATCTAATGAGAGCTTTGTAATCAAAGAATGGGGTCAGAAGCAGTGTCACAGATTTATTAAGAGATTCAAACATGGCTGGGTAACTAACAGAAGACAATGTCGTATTGGACAGTTGCAAGTTCAGTATATACTGAATCGCAAAAGAAACGCAACTTTTAAAACCCAATACAAAATTTTGTGCTTACAAGGTAGTGTTTTTATTATGATTGTATCGTTTTGTTGGCATGTTTTTCAATCCAAATTGACAGTTATTACCAGCATCAGTGTGTTTTCTGATGAGAAAGCATATCGACCAAACGCACCTACAAAGGCAACGTGGTAAAAAGTTCTGTGTGACATTCGTGAAAAACCAAAATGCACGTGCATATCGTGACAACAATGCCAATGAAAGCTAGTCCTAAACCCGCCTGAAATCATTCTTGTTTTGCCACAATCGCCATGCCACGACTTACGATAGATCAGAGGAACCAAGCCTTGGGACGATTGCATGCTGGCCAGACTGCACGGAAGGTAGACAATCATTTTAATGTTGATGTTAGAACAATCTACCGACTGCAGGAGCGGTATCAGGCCACTAACAGCATCCATGACAATCCACTCACTGGACAACCTTCAGTTACAATCACAACGCCAAGACCGACAGATTGTGCGCAACCATCTGCAGGAACGCTTCACTCGAGCGACGAAAACAGCACGCCATACCACTGGGATTCACAACAGACCCATTAGTGCCGATACAGTGCGTCGACGTTTGCGCGAAAGAAACCTCTGCTGTCACAGACCATATCGTGGTCCTGTCATCACCGCTCGTCACCGCACAAACCGACTGCAATGGGCACCTCCGCATCGTACTTGGCGTTATCGACAATGGAGAACTGTGCTTTTTTTCTGGTGAAAGCTGATGTTTCAACAGCCGATGGCAGAGTGAGAGTATGGCGACAGTGTGGGGAACTGTTTTCCAATGCGTGTATTCTTGAAAGAGACTCGTGGGGTGGTCCAAGCATCATGGTGTGACAGCTGCTCGCTATACTGACCAAGTCATAAGACCCCACCCTGTACCAGATTTTGAACGTCAGAGAAATCACATCTTCGAGCAAGACAACACACGTACCCACACTGCCAGAGCAACACTGGATTTCAAGACAACATGGCATCCAAACCCTACAATGGCCTGCACTCAGTCCGGATTTAAGACAAATATAACACATTTGGGACGAGATTCAAAGAAGACTGACTGACCTCCAACCAAGGCCGACAACTGCGGCTGGACTCGATCAGACATTTCGCAGAGTATGGACCCAAGTGCCTGTGGCCTTCATGAACCGGCTAAGTAATTCCATGTACAGACGATGCAAGGCCGTCATCGATGCCCATGGAGGCCGAACACGATATTGACTTTGAGGTATCCTAATGGTACCATTTTTGGTAATTTTGTTCGTGTGAACTCTGAATGTGATTCCTGAAAATGTGTTAACCATAATTATCAAGTCAGAACTCAATCCTCCGTTTTGTTTGTTCATTAGAGGGAGGTAAAGTGTGTGCTTTAAGAAACCTCTATCGGTGTGGCGTTTCTTTTGCGGTTCGTTAATTTAATAAATTCAACTAAAAGTGGATGTTTATCAGACAGATTTTTTATAGCCTGAAGGCATGAAAGGGAGTCTGAAAATATTATATATACTGAGTCAAAAAAGAAACTTCACAAAATGTAATTTGAAAAATAATGAATAATGTTTCTCTGATGATATATCTATGCATCCGAAATGGGAACCCTATCTTTCGACTCTAGAAAAACGTTAGCAAAACCCACTCAAACCCATCCATTCGTCGTGCAAATGACGTTAGTGCCAAATCAGGTTTTGCACGTGCAGTCGATCACGTGATCTTCGCATCGAAGTTTTCTTCATATGCACGTGTTTGCATTGGCCTCAAAAATTGAAAAAACACTTTTAAACCACAGTTCTAACGGTACTTGAAATGCCACGATTGTCAAATGTGCAACGTGAACGTGCCTTTGGCATGTTGCAAGCGGGAAGATCAGTTATTGACGTCGCAAGAGCAATGGGATGCAGCCGTCGTACTGTGTATGACTTGCGAGGTCGACTACAACAAACTGGCACCGCTTCTGATCGCCCAAGGTCGGGTCGCCCACGTGTGACGTCACGAGCAGAAGACCGTCAAATCGTCCTACGTCACCTACGTGACAGATTTCTGTCGGTCGTGAACGGTTTGCCTAATGTTGTGTACAGGAAGTCGACAGATTCGGGGGCGGAGGTTGCATGGTGTGGGGTGCTTTCTGTGGGAACAACCGTTTTCGTCTTCAGGTCATCCTTGGAAACCTCACAGCTGCTGCTTACCGCGACCAGGTGCTCACCCCTGAACTCGTTCCTTTCATGGCGGCTCATGGCCCAGGTCTACAGTTCCAGCATGATAATGCTCGGCCGCATACCGCGATGTTGACACGAAATTTCCTTCAAAACGCTGGAATCAACGTCATGGACTGGCCATCGCGGTCCCCTGGCCTTAATCCAATAGAGCACGTTTGGGATGCACTTGGGAGAAGGCTTCGTGGTCTTAGGAAGCAGCCTTAGAATTTGCAGGAACTTGGCGCTGTCGTGCAAGAGCAATGGCGCAGAACCCCCAACAACGTGTTCACAAGCATCAGGCAGTCGATGAGGAGACGGTGTTTGGCAGTGGTGAATGCGCGAGGCGGCCATACACAATATTGAACTGAGAAATTTCGCATTTTTATTCTTGTGCCTTGACATTCTGTATACCCATGTTTTGGAACGGCGGTGTAGCCTAATGGAACTGATTATGGCACTGTCAGTGTATTGAGTACATCACACAGATCTCAGCAATGAAATAATAATAATTTAACCATCTTACCATCTCCTGTTCTTTTATAGTGCCCTGAAGAAAGAATGTGAAGTGTTTTTTTTGACTCAGTATATATTGTTTGTACTTTGGGTGTTTTTAAATATATTTAAGGGTTGTTAATATGGCGTTTGCTGCTGTTAAAATAGAGCTGTTATCCGGTATTCTAGAAGATATTATATCTGGATCCAATGACAGTGGCACAAGCAACTGCGCCACCATCCTAGGATTCATCTGTAAATAAGAATTTGGTATGTAATATATTTTCTTTGTAATTGGTTAAATTCTTGTCTATATTGCAATTCGCTTGATTCTGATTTCTTGTAAGTTGTAAGGGTCAGGTCAACTTGTGGCCTTACTAACTTTCAATGAGGAGAAGAAAGAAGACGGGAAGGAGATATAATTTCCTGCTCAATGTTAATAGCAGCAATAAATGGATTTATACGTATTCCGAGAGGTTGAATCATTGAAGATAATTTTTAGGACAGATCACCACGACAGGAAACATTAAAATCATCCACAAAAAGTTATCCATCGACTGAATCACTTAAAATCTTTGACAGACTATTTATTTTAATACTAAATAATGTGACAGACAAAATACTGCTTTGTGGTTTTAGCTTTAGTACACAGCAAATGCTTACATGTATTTCTTATGTAACAATGAAATTCCGTTTGTATCCTCAAAACAGCGTCGACCCTTAAATTTGTTTAGGCAATTAAAATTGCTTGCAATACAACGATTACTACTCCCTTGCTGTAACCCATGTTTGGTGTTATAAACCTGTTTATTTGTCATCATTCACTTGATGGTCAGTTACTGAAATTATAACAAGTATAATTAGTGGTAACACCACTCAGATTAGCCGACAACGGTTCCCATTTATCATTTCTCGTGTCTGGAGCATAGACTCAACATTATTAATTAAGGTCTGATGTGGCAAATTTATTACACACTATGCAATATGCGTCTTGTTAACAAGAGGAATTATCAGCTGAGTTAAAAAAAAAACGTCGATCAAGGGATTAACTGATAACACGCTGATTGATTAATTACTTTTATCTCGCGCAGCGGATTGGCAAAAGTTAGTGTTTACTTACGTATACTGAATACACTCTTTCGTAAAGTGCCTGTGTAAAAACAACGCCCTCCCGTCAAAAGATTATCCGCCAATGCCTTGATTGATTGCTAATTGTTGTCTGTCCAAAGAAAGGTGGACATCTTGCAAATAGTTGGTGTGCTCTCTTGGGGGACCAATAAAACTATTCACCAATGTAAAAAAAAACCAACCCTGAAACAGTCACGTGACCAGTTGAGAAACTATCACTAGTTTTCACTTCTTTGAGTGACATTTTGAAGCTGGGATGATAAACAGGAATAATTTTTTATGGATAGATGTGACGTTTCGGTGTAGATGCCAACACTGTGGTAGCTTCTACACCGAAACGTCGCATCGATTGCAATAAAGAAGTTGTCTATCCATAAAAACCGTTCCTGGTCATCACTTATAGTGATTTATACAGTTTTTGCATATTTAACTATTAAAAGACACGACCTGGAACCATATGTCTTTGTCAGCTGCGGATGAATGGCATTTCGTTCCTTTATGCGGATATTGATTGATACATTCTTCGAACAAGGTAACAGCCTGACATTATTGCTCTTTAGTCGATTTTAATTTTAATATTTGTATTTTTGTCTTATTCATTTGTCGTATTATCCAACAGAATAATTTCACTTCATTATTTTCGCCGTGAAGTTCGATGAGAGAGACAACATACAAAAGGTCGCACTTTGGCGTGTGTGTGAAATATGATTCACATAGGCAATCTATAACATGTCTAAATATTACAGTCACGTTATAAATTCACTAAAACAGACCCTTTTCCTTTTTATGATGTTCCGAAATGCATAAAAATAACACAATAGATTAGGTAGGATTATGAGACCAAAATATAAAGAACGTACATTTTTTCAGTCCTAACATATTTTACCACTGGCAGATAAAGTCAAACTTCAAACTGGTTTCATTTGTTATCATAATGATGAAGATGGAACTATTAGTGTGTAAAAAAGAGTTCATCTTTGTTGATCAATGTCAGGATATACATATCATACATATCATACCAATTGCGCTTGCGGTTGGCGCAGCAGAGATGGCAACCCAGTCAAGGATTCTGGGATATCATCCGAATACTCGCGGGGAAAAAAGCAAAAAGCAACAACCAGTCCACGGCAATTGCCTTGCCCCTTTAGAGGCAAAGACAATATGTTTGTGCTGATGCCCTTTCCAGGTTGTAATGCATAATGACTTGATGTTGCTGTATGTTTGTATGTGCATTGTATTATGGTAAGGGGCGGTGGGGGAGCCTAGTGGTTAAAGCGTTGGCTCGTCACGCCGAAGACCCGGGTTCGATTCCCCACATGGGCACAATGTGTGAAGCCCATTTCCGGTGTCCCCCGCCGTGATATTGCTGGAATATTGCTAAAAGCGGCGTAAAACTAAACTCAGTCAGTCAGTCAGTATTATGGTAATTCTGCAAGATGTTGCGATGATTGTAACAGCAAGGTTCTGTGAAACTTTCTTTTCCTTAAGTGGGAGAGTGTTATGAGAGTGTGTTTTCTGTAAATTGTAATATCACATTGTATTCGCGGGAGGAAAACAATAACAAAAGCAGCAACCAGACCCGGGGATTGCTCTGGATCAGTGTCCCTTTAAACAGCAACACGGCAACTATGTCCACAGTCCTACAATGCACCCGTGGAATGTCGCGTACCTAGACCACTTCATCTGGATTTACTGGCCTTAGTTATATTTGAAGTAGAGATGCAATTGTTTATCATTTGTTTTCTTGGACACGTACGTCGTAGCGTAGGGGTAGGGATAGACACGTCAAAAGGGCAGCTTGTCAGTTAGCCATGAACAAGGATTATTTTAAAATTAACGTCATCGACACCGTCGTATTTCTGTTTTCTGCCTTGGAGTTATTGTCCGTAAGTATTGAATCGAGTATGCAATCGATTTTGGGTGTATTTCAACACAGAGGCGGTGGGGTAGCACAGTGGTTAAAGCGTTCGTGCGTCACACCGAAGACCCGGATTAGATTCCTCACGTGGGTACAATGTGTGAAGCCCATTTCTGGTGTTCCCCAGCCGTGATATTGCTGAAATATTGCTAAAGGTCCCATAAAACCACACTCATTCACTCACTCAATCATAAGTTTTCGATGCGAGACAATGCAACAAAAAAGACAAAATGCAACTTTGTCGTGCTTTGGTTGAATTTGAGAGTTTAAAAAAAAGTCTTTTTAAGGGCTACAACGCTATATAATGCGATGCCCTTCTAGGATTCCATAATTATGACATGTTCCGTTCGGCCTCCCCACTCAAACGCATTAGCACAGTGCGTGCGCGTGCGCGCTTTGCTGACTAGGAATATATATTCACTCATTGGAAATTGAATAGATAGGGCTAACTGCTCCTGAAAACAGGGAGCAACGCCACAAAACAAAGTTCCTTTGACGGTTATTTGGAGTGATCCATGTTCGACATAACTAGAGTAGCCTGTATGTAGATGTATGTGTGATTTAACACCTTGAGGAGCTGGGCCTCCTGTCACAAAGCACTGAGGTGACGTATGTCACTAAGATAACCTTAGTACAATGTTAAAGAATGGGAGTTAAGGTTAACCTTAGTAAAGGTTGCTTCGTGAAAGGAGCCCCTGTTCCATAACGTCACTAAACTCTGCGTTATACCAAAGAAACGCTGTTACACATACACACATATATTTTATTGCCAGCCACATTACATAAATCCATGTGAAAGTAAAGCTTTTAGTTGAGCAAATTGATGACACTGTGTTATCCAACAATAGCAAAGTCTTTCAAAGAATATATTTACATATTTACAAGTCACTCTAGGTCATTAAAAGTTCTAAAATGTTACTCTCCATCATGCGTGTCATCTGTTACATACTTTGTGGAAAGCTGTCCCAGGCGATCAAATTCTGCTTCCAGTTACACGAACTGGAGTTTGAATAGCCTGTGGATGTGCCTCTTGTCCAGACGTTTACGGCAAACAAACTATGTCGCACAGGATGCTATTAAATTATGCCTTAGTACCAGAACACCTAGTCATTTTGAAATCATCATATTGTTAGCTCAACAATTCTTTCGTGACCAGCACGTCACTTGGTGAACTCTGCCAGAGGTGTCTTCAGTGCCTCACTCACCCATATTACGCGGTCGGCATGGCAACCTAGAATAATACAGAATGTATACAGTTTACAGGAACTCGATGAAGAATCACAGCTCAGTACTGAAATCAGATAAGTGGGACAGTGTTACGCTGCTTATAGCAACAATTAAGCTTTATCAGCGCTGTATCGAACTCACCCATCTATATTACAATCATTTGTATAAGTTTGGTGTGATGTTCGCTTTCTCGTGATTTCACATACGAATTAAATGCACAGTTTTTCCATTGAAAATGTTTGAAGACATGATCTACCTATTCATGTATTCATATTTGATAACCTGTGTTTGCAGTATCAAAGTCAGTCTTGTTCTGTTTGACCTGCCACACGTTATAACGAGGACATTTTGGAAACCAGGAAACACCACAGAAACATAAAACAAAGCACAACTTGATGAATCATATTTGATTCTATTATTATTATTATTATTTCAGAGGCAAACGGAAAATCTACTCCCGAAACGCAATTCCCCTTTGTCCAAAATACCGACAGCCAGTGCCGTGTGGATACTGTAAGATATTTACAGTATCAAAGACAGTTTTGTACTTTGACATGCAGCATGCTATAACATACGGTAATCAGGATTAGCGTAAAAACCACAACGGAAACTAGTGCCGTGCTGATACTGCATAACGTGTCCTTACCTGTAAACTACTCGTGTTCCACGTGGATGTTGAGCCTCAGGTTCTGCTTACACAACTCCTTAGTGCCCGCAGTGATGTAGTAGTCCCCGTGATGGACGCTGTACACTTTGTTCAGTTCAAAGCCGTGGTATGTGAAAGGAGGAACGATGCATTTAGCCAAAGCAGTAAAGCTGCCCAGCTCTACCATCGACCTGTCCACCGACGAATCTATTGGTGTAAACTCAATTTTGGTGCCACCCTTCACTACCACCTTAGGGGGCAGGGCATGGCCGGCACCTACTGGGATTACTAAGATGTCGTGGGACACATGAGCTGGACGGTGGACGATGAATGGCTGAGACAGCTGGGTAGTAACAATGTCACCGTTGTAGGCAGTAACGTCCATTCTAAAACGTATGTCTTCATCTTTCAGGTGAAGCTTATTCACAGCATCGGTGATGTCCAATTTTAGCATTCTTTCATATGCCCATGGCATCTCCTTCTCACCTCCCAAAACTGCAAATTCTCCTGCATATTCTTCGTGAATTGTTTCGTTTTTCGAATGAATGAATACTTTCACTGTAGCTGATATCTGTAAGCCCGACAAAACAAAACCAGCAAATATGCGATCTTTGTTTCGTAATTCCTTAAGTACCTCTTCAAGCTCAGGTATGTCATGACCTCTGACTCTCAAGTTATCGTATTCATAGTTGAACCTGTAGTGGTCAAACACTATGTTTGGGTAAGAGTTGGTTCGAGTGAACTCATCTTCATTGACGGTTTCGTAGTTGAAGGGATGCAGGGGGGCCTTCATTAGTCTATCTCCAGCACAGTCTATTGCGTAGTAAGGCTTCATTCTTCTCTTTTGCAACTTCTGCCAAAGGATCCAGATTCTATCCAAACTAGAGTGATGAATCATGAAGACAGGGTCAAACGCTGAATACTCAAGGGTAGACATGGAATACCTTCCACGTCCTCCGAGCCAGGCATGGATGGCGTTGTGAAGGATCTCATACTGAACCTCAAAGTCACAGTATGAGTTTTCTTCCAGGACTTGCAGACTCAGGTAGTATAGGTAATCATGTTCACCAAACTTGGTCTGATTAAAGATTATAGGATTAATTTCCCTGGTTGTTTCATGCTGCACACCCCTTATATAATATTTGTAGAAGGGGTTGCCATTACCGGCATCTGTAAAGAATGCTGGAAGACTCGACATCTTCTTTGTCCAATCCCAGTAAGGAATGCCCATCGGCGAACCATGGTTTTTAAGAGCTCTCTCCATCTGAATGGTATGCAGGCGATGCCAGTGAGGGAACACAGGCATTCCATGCACGCAGCAGGGATACTTGTCGGTACCATGTTCTGGGCACATATTAGGATACCCGTGATAGCCAGCTATGGCCTCAAAGCCTCCTTTACCGTTGTCATTCTGGAGCTTGTACAGTGCATCCTTAATGGCATTGGCCTCCTGCAGGGAGAGAAAGTCAACTTCTTTCCTGATCAGGACATCTGAGTGTCTGTCGTCATGGTGTCCATCGTCGTGTTTCCCTCCGTCGTGTACTGTGCAGAAAGAAAGTTTTATGACATGAAATATGAAACTAAATAAATTTGATTCAGCTGACAAAAGTTCGGATCTTGTCGTAAAAGTCTCTGCCACTCACTCACTGAAAGCGAAACATTTGTACTTACAATGAATTGTCCTTACACAAAAACGAATAACTCTAAGGGTTCCTCAGTGAGCATGTTTTTTTGTACAACAAAGTGATGTGGAAACTAGGTTGGTTGGTTAGTTGTTGTTAAAAGCCACACTCAGCTGTATGGCGGCGGCCTGTAAATATTTGAGTCTGGACCAGACAATCCAGTGATCAACAACATGAGTTGTGATCTGATAAGTCTCTCGCTTAGTGAAAATCAGAATGTTTTTAAAAGTGTACATATCTACATCCATAACACTAAACGATTTAAATAACTCTGTCTGTACATATCTATACCCTTTGTCTGCCTCTTGTTGAACGTTTTTGTAATATACACTTGTAACTATGTGGAGAGGGCTTATTTAAGTTGGATAACTTGTGCCCAATCCGTTTCTTAATTGAATAAAATATGTTTCAATCAATCAACAACATGAGTCATCGATTTACGCAATTGGGATACGATGACGTGTCATCCAAGTCAGCGAGCCTGACCAACCCGATCCCGTTAGCCGACTCTTAAGACAAGCATGCGTTACTCAAAATCAGCTCTAACCCCATTCGTAACTACTCGCCTCTTTCCGTGACCTCCAAGAAGACCTGTATAGTAAGCCATTATTGCCACGGATCGTAGCAAAGCAATCAAATCGTGCGTAGTAAAATGTGAAGTGAGGTCAAATAGTTTCTTTGCGATTATCGATTTTCATTATTATTTCTGTGATTATAAAATTATTTTATTACTGATATTTGTTAACGACATAAGAAACTTACTTAAATTAACTTTCGTTTTGTATTTTAAATTAAATAGGGTAGGAAAATGTTGAGGCATTTCGAAGCAAAAAAATGGCGACACCGTCAAACTTTGAAACTTCACCAAACTATGCAAAGCACAACTTAAACATAAACTTTGAGCTAAAGGATCAGCAACTTTCAACACTGAAACACTGAACACAAATTTGTTCTTTCTGTTTTCTAGGAGTAGCCATATTTGTTTGGAAATGCAGAGTTATCTTTCCTTGGAAATAGTCCTTGACTATTTTCATCTCCCATGCCCTTTGCGCTTAGACAAGGTCCAGTCGTGAACATGGCCACGAGATGGGTTCGAGTCGGTATATAGCTTGCTGGAATGACACGAGTCTCTAACCCGGATCTTCACGGGTTGTGGAAACTGGGGCCGATGGAACTGCAAAGTCATCGGACGCTTACTTAGACGGCACTAAAAGAGGCATCTATTTTCCATGTACGTTTAACAGCATCACCGGTGTGAAATCGAAATATCATTACTATACTAGACGTTACAGAATCATGTTGTTGCTCCAAGATGAGTTATTTTATTACAAAAGTTGGACTTTACTATAAATGCCTGTGGTACTCACCCCCTGGTTCAAATTCAATAGTTGGTGCTTTGAAACTGTCAGAGGGAAGCTCGTGGTCGTCAATGCCGACAATCTTCACCCTAAACGTGAAGTCCGAATCGTGTCTCAGGTGCAGCTGCTTCATGACTTTGGTGATGTCATAGCGGAACAGTCTGTCAAAGGACCAGGGCATTTCGAGCTCTCCTCCCAAAATCGCAAAAGTGCCTGCGAACACACATTCGTGACCTGGTTGGCATATATCGAAAACTACATCAGCACTATGCTTGATTCCACTGAGAAGGAAGGCGGCAAATATTCTGTCTTCCTGCTTCCTTTCTTCAAGCATGTGATCAAGGTCCGGAATATTATACCCATGGAAAATGAGGTTGTCGTACTGGAAGCTTAATCGATTATACTCGAACACATCTACTGGCTTTGAGTTAGCCTTAGTGACTGGATTGTGGTTGATCTCGTCACTGAAAGGTCTCAGGGGCGTTTTCATTGCCTGGATCTCACAATTGGCATGGTTGTATGGGAGTCCTCTGTATTCTTGCAAAGCTTGCCAGATAGCCCAGATTCTGTCAGTGTTGGAGTGATGAAGCCAGAACAGTGGATCGTAGGCTGTGAAGTCGAGAGTGGACATTCCATAAGGACTGTGACCACCTGTCCACGAATGGATAGCATTGTGGGTTATCTCATACTGAACCTCGAATTGGCAGAAATCAGTTTGCTCCAGGGCCAGGAGGACTTGTCTGTAGAAGAACGACTCTGATCCGTGTTCGGGGTCGTTGAACAGCATGTCTCTGGGGGAACGGGTTGTGTCGACATCGAGATACTCAATGTGGCCCTGTTGAATACATGAGAGTAGTGATGTACATGTGGGGAGCTGAATGTGGTCAGTGTTGAGCGTTTTAAAGGGTAGTTAAGGAATAAAGTTAGCTGCTCCCCCTCAAATATAACAGTTCCAAATGATACTCTATTACACTAAACGAAGGGCAGATCACATTTGCAAAAGCCAGATTTATGGCTTGCCGTGTGTTTATAATAGATGGGTTCAAATGGATCCTCAAACTATGCTTATGGACTGTTTCACCCATTTGTCTACACCCTACAATAAACCTCGAACTGGGCTTACTAACGGACTATTCTACCCATTTGTCTACACCCTACAATAAACCTCGACCTGGGCTTACTAACTGACTATTCTACCCATTTGTTTACACCCTACAATAAACCTCGAACTGGGCTTACTAACGGACTATTCTACCCATTTGTCTACACCCTACAATGAACCTCGAACTGGGCTTACTAACGGACTGTTCTACCCATTTGTCTACACCCTACACTAAACTGGCCTCGTAATGACTATTTACCCATTTGTTTAACGGACTGTTCTACCTATTTGTTTACACCCTACAATAAACCCCGAACTGGGCTTACTAACGGACTATTCTACCCATTTGTCTACACCCTACAATAAACCTCGTACTGGGCTTACTAACGGACTATTCTACCCATTTGTCTACACCCTACAATAAACCTCGAACTGGGCTTACTAACGGACTATTCTACCCATTTGTCTACACCCTACAATAAACCTCGACCTGGGCTTACTAACGGACTATTCTACCCATTTGTCTACACCCTACAATAAACCTCGACCTGGGCTTACTAACGGACTATTCTACCCATTTGTCTACACCCTACAATAAACCTCGACCTGGGCTTACTAACGGACTATTCTACCCATTTGTCTGCTAGAATCTTGTTTGACAGCAGCGTGTTGCTAAATGTCCAACACTAACAACGTCATGAAGGCAGTCCAACAGCTCAAAATGAGTAGTTTATCGTAGGCCAAGGTTAATCTAGTGCCTTTGATTTTTTATCTCTGCATTTCAGATTCCAACAATATTATAGACATGGGCTTATTTCACACCTCTGAGAACATTGGCTCTCACCGTGATGGATGAATGCATTAACCACACACTACTCACCAACCCATGTTTGGCATATACATATATTCAGCAGACTAGTATACTACATATACGCATTTGACAATTGATAAAACAGTCAAATGAACATATAATTGTGTTTAAAATAGTGTAACAGTTAGACTGATATTTTATGATAACTTAAAACAGCTTTAATAGCACTGTATACATAAAACATGATCAGTCTTAAGTATACAAGTTATTTCAGAAAACATATCATATGTTACCATTACATTCTTCTCACACCAAGCCCTTTTTGCCAAATTTACAATTAAATATGTGAGAATAATGAAACGATTTAATTTATACTTGAAAATAGAAAAAGTTTGTAAATAATGACAAATGTGAAAAATTCCTTATCTGACATCAAAGTTTGAAAAAAGAATACTTTTATGCTTGTTACACCACTGACGGTTTTTTTCAGTGGATACTTTAAAAAAGTTTATTTTAAAAATATTTTATTACTTTCCTGTGTGCAAATTATCGTGACCGCATTCTTTAAGGTGTTGACCATTCATAACAATTATGAGATAATTCAGTATGATGCTTTGTATTTTCATATTTTTCATAGCACGAATTTGGCCTTTTTTTGAGAATGACCCAACCACCGATTTATTGCGTTTTGTGCATTAGTTATTTCACTATGCACTGAGCAATATTCTAGCTATATGAGGCAGTCTTTAAGTAATCGCGCCAGACAGTCGAAAGACATCAAGAGAATCGATCAACGCAATTGAGAGGCAATACGGTAATTACGGGAGGTAGACGTGGGTTGGTGAAGATCGGTTCTAACCCGGATCTCACGGGGGGTAGGTATTTTACCCATTTCACAAAAGTGTAGATGGAAGTAATAAAACAACCCTCCCCTTCTTACATGGTTGAAAGGATTGTTTTCGGTGTCGATGACAAGTGTTGGCAGATGGGTAAAGGCAGTAGTCCAGTCCCAGTAGGGAAGGCCAACGAGAGATCCATGAGACTTCAATGCATCCTCCATTTGCTTCGTGTAAAGGCGATGCCAGTGTGGGAAGGTAGCCATGCCTGGTCGACAAACGCATTTAGTCAGTATCATAGTCACCATGTCTCAGGCAAATGCCTTGAACACCCACCCACAGCGCCACCCATACTCACCCCAACCCACACACAAACATATACATGTTTGCACACACAAAACATTAATGTGAAAAACAACTGAATGATTGACTAGTTTTTTAACAGCTTCAGAGCTCTTTACTGAAACTCAATATGAAGAACCACAGGAACATGTTACACAATTGAGTCTAAGTAACTTCTTGGATATCAATGTCTTCTCCAACAACGTAATGCCAAAAGACGTGAAGAGATTGTACATTTTTTATTTCCCTTCCAGATGGTCGCCAATTTGGGATATGAGTGGTAGGTTCGAGCCTACATGTTAAACTGCAGTAATGTATTTCAGCTGTCTAAAACTAAAAGAACGTAATAATTATTGCAGATGAGAGCAAACAGCTGCTGATAACGTAAATTCAATGAACTAGAAACCAGACTTTACCAAACTTCTCATATTCAATCTGACCAAACATTCAAACAACACCTACTTACCATGAGTGCAACATGAATAGTTGTGGCCATCAGGCATGGGACACAAAGCTGGCTTTCCATGGAAAGCAGCAATAGCTTGAAAACCATTGGGACCATGGTCGTCCATTACACCTTTAAGTGCTTCCCTCAGGTTGTCAGTCTCAGCCTTTGTAAGGGTGTTCACATCCTTGCGGACACCAGACCCTGCTATGCTTCCCGACTCGTGGTCATCATGATGACCTATATGAAACATGATGTGACCCTGTAAATCCTGCATGGGGTATTTTACCATATTGTGTTATCATTATAAATATAACACCAGTCTCTGAAACAGACTCAGTAAGGCAAACATAGCAGTGACATGCCTAATATATGTTTGAGTTAGCAAAACTGACGAGAAATAAATTCAGAAAGAAGTATTTGATTTCATTAATTAATGCCAATTTTTGGTTATTCCATTGTATTCGTTCAGAAAATATTTCATCTAAAGAACACAACGTTTCTGGACAAAATCCATTTTCCAGATATCTTACCTTCACCTGGTTCATAAATTATTGTTGGCTGGTGAAGGAGAGACGATGGAATGACAGTCCCATTCACAGCAACCACAGACAGCTTCAGGAAAAATGGTTCATCAGCATGGAAAACATCTTCAGGGTTGATGTCAAATTCATGCAGTGCTTCTGTAATGTCATACTTGTAGAGTCGGTTGTATGCCCAATGCATCTCTGCAGAACCTCCCAGGATGAAGATCACACCAGCATGATGGCAGTTTTCAGATGTCTTGCAAATGTCCAAATGTATATCAGCCGAGGTTCCTAGTCCAAACAACAGGAAACCAGCAAAGACTCTAGCATGTGACTTTCGTTTTGTTATCAACGCCTCGATTTCATTCAGGTTCAAACCACTGAGTTCAAGGTTGTCATAGTTATAGCCAAGATCTTCATAGTCAAATACTGTATTTGGAACTGCATGCTTCTTCGTGAATGAGTTGTGGTTGAAATCCTTGTTGAAAGGTCTCATTGCCTTACTCATTAGCCCCACAGCACAATCAGCTGCCTTATACTGTAGATGTCTCCTGCTTTGCAGTTCTTGCCATACAGCCCATATTTTGTCAACAAATGAGTGATGGATAAAGAAGATTGGATCGTATGATGAATACTCAAGAGAGGAGAAGGCGTACGTTTGACGTCCTCCAACGAGATAGTGGATCGTGTTGTGCATCACTTCAAACTGAACTTCGAAGTCACAGTAGTCAGTTTGTTCAAGAGCCAACAAAGCCTGGTCAAACAGAAGTGAGTGCTTTCCAAAAGTTGACATTTTGAACAGACCTTCCTGGACATTTCTCACTGTGAATGCATCTTTAAATTTCACATAACCTCTTGCAAATGGATTGGTTATGACGGCATTTTGCCAAACATCGTAATATTCTCCATCTGTCAAAAGGTGTGGTAGTTCAGTAATTGGCTTGGTCCAATCCCAGTAAGGCACCGCAACACTGGAACCATGTCTGCTCAAGGCCTGTTCCAACTGGAGGGTGTACAACCTGTGCCAGTGGGGGAATGTCGCCATACCATGGATGCAACAAGCGATCTGCAACATCAAGTAATAATTGTTTTCCTTGGCCCATTTTGGAGAATACATTCTGATTTGTACTCTTGACTACCAGTTACAACAATGGGAGACTATTTACAGCACATGTGAATCCATTATCTATGGAGAATCTGCCATGAGTGTTTACCAAATCTGAGGCTGAAAGACAAACAATTCCATAGTTTTGAATTAATGTAGTTTAAAAACAGAAAGAATGATGCATGATGTAAAATCCAAATGACAAAGCATGATGGTCATTCAGCAGCAGATATCGACATTGGTTTCAACATAATGAACAATGGCCACACACGTCTAAAATCACGTCTCAAGTGCAAAGGTCGCCCCCTGCTGCAAGATACGCAAGTACTCCAGTGCACGGAATACGTCAGACGGCTGATATCGTCACGTGAGAGATATTGCCGTTTTTCTTGGTGGGCCCGATACGTTCACTGAAATATCCTCTCTTGCACTGAGTGAGTGAGTTCATATTTAACGTCACATCGGCAGTTTTTCAGCCATATCGTGACGAGAACAATCTATACATTAAACCAAAATAAAGCTACACCTTATAAACCTGTCGTCGAAGGACAGTAAAATTAAAACTAGTTTAAAACTAGTATGTTGTAATACAATCTATTACTGCAGAAAACAATACAAAATATCGCCAGCAACTGAAGGTATATCACCATACCAGGGACCATGGGGACTTTTGACTCCTGCATGGAGCCCAGCTGGATTTACCATCCCCTTAGGTGTTGGCAATATGTTTGAAATTTAGCCGATCATTAAAACGATGGAAGATATAAACTTACTTTGAATGAAATGGGACTTATGTATCCTCTCAGGGGGATAATAACTCTTGCATTGAATTGGTCAAGGACTTAATGTCTCAATGATTGATTTAACGCTCTGTAAACATTACAAAGATTACCATGTTGTGATGCTTTTTTAATGGAATATCCAAGCCTTGCATTCAGAAACGAACCAAAGTGTTTAAAATTTCGATAACTACTTTACTGCAGTTTGTAAGAGTGAAAATAATAATGATAGAATTTTCAAGTCAAATCTGGAGTGATTTGGGTTGGGTGTTAAATATTTTGTCCTTCAAGCCACATGACTACAACTCAAGTGACCAGAAGACTAGCATTGTGTTTGATGATCATTACAGAATGGATATTCTGCTTTGGCCATTCTTGCAAGTTAGATTACTGTTGCAGAAAGGTGAATATTACCAGCACTGTCTTTATTACTATTATCACTACTCTTGTATTATATCACCTTTAAATTTGTACCGCCATTGTTATACCTTTGTAGTGATTCGTATTAATTGATTAACATGGAGTTAGAATTCAGTTGCTAATTTTATCACATTTCGTTTTGGTTTGTTGCTTTCACACCGAGTTCTTTTACGGACTGATTCCCAGTTACGTTTTGGTTTCAGCTTGGGTTCCAACATGTAACACAAGGCATCTAAAACAAGTGAAATCGTCTGTAATACCCAGTATTGGGTATTAAGGACAACACGGCCGCCTCGGTCTGAACACACTTCATAAGGCTCTATAGATATATTTACCTCACGTCCAGATGCATCGTGGCACTGCGCAGGGACGCCATGGAATGCAGCAATGGCTTGATAACCATCAGTTCCATTATCATGTTGAAGACTTGTCAACGCAGCCTTCAAGCTTGCTATGTCACGGGAACTAAGGCTACTTAACTCATGGCGGATCTTGTTAGGTGCATGTTTCCGTGAATTTAGCTTATCTGTTGGTGGAAAATAATGAGAGATCACATCATGAAATGTGTAGGTATTTACGATTTGCTGTAGACAAAATGTTAAACTACACGCACCGGTTTCAGTATCCAGTTTGGATGAATTGAAATAAATTGATATTCTTAAAGTCATTTTTCGGCTACAGAAGTCTTAGTGTAAACAGTTACTCACGGCGCCCAGGTACAAATATGATGGACGGTGTCTGGATGAGGTCTCCCGAGAGTACTGTTCCATTGTAAGAAGTGACAGTTACTTTTACAGAGAAGGTATCCTCGTGCCTCAGGTGCATATCGTGGAGAGTCTTAGTAATGTCGTACTTGTAGAGCCTGTCGAACACCCATGGCATTTCTGCGGATCCTCCCAGAACAGTGAAATACCCGGCTTTTTCACATGTGTGATCAACTCTGCAAATTTCGAATGACACAGTTGCGGAAGTACCAAAACCTTTAAGAAGGAACCCTGCAAAAGTTCTGTCTTGCTCCTGCCTTTCCTTGATAAGTTCATCAAGATGAGCAATTGACCGTCCCTCCAACTCCAGATTATCATATCTGTATCCAAACTTCTTATAGTCAAAAGTGTCCTCAGGCTTTGAAAATTCTTGCGTATGATGATTCAAATTATAAGGTGGCCCAAAGCTGAAAGGCTTCAAAGGTGTTCTCATATGGTCAATGGCACAGTTTGCTTCTGAACCAGATAGGCCCCTGTACTTCTGCAGCTCTTGCCAAATAGCCCATATTCTGTCCGTCTGTGAATGGTGGATGTAGAAGATTGGATCATAAGAAGCATAGTGAAGGTGTCCCATGCCATATACTGCGTTTCCACCAATCCATGTGTGAATGCCATTATGGGCTATCTCAAACTGTATTTCAAAATTGCAGTAATCTTCCTGTTCCAAAGCAAAGAGAACAGTCTCAAAGAACCAGTTATGGTATCCGTCATGATCCCCACTGTGAAACAGGAGATCTGCATCTATGTGCCTCTCGGTATGAACGCCCGCTCCTTCAAATTCTATATCAGCTTGGAAGAATGGATTTGAAATATTAATATTGTGGATTGGATCATGAAATGTCTGCGAAGAAAGAAGCTTGGGTAACTCGGTGGCTGGCTTCGTCCAGTCCCAGTAAGGAACACCCACAAATGAACCATGTCTTCTCAGTGCATCCTGGAACTGCACAGTGTACAGCCTGTGCCACTGGGGAAATGTAGCCATACCGTGGACACAACAAGCATAACGGTGAGCTGCAGCTGGATTAGGACAGAGTGGCGGCAGGGCATGGAAAGAAGCGATGGCTTGGTATCCATCAGAAGAGCGATCATTCTTCATTCCCTCCAATGCTCTGACAAGAGAAACCCTCTCCCTAGGACTCAAATCATTTATATTCTTCCTGACAAGAATCTCTTCCTTATGGTCGTGGTCCAAGATGTGGGTATCTGCAAACAGGACAAACCCTTTCTACTACCTCGATTCACAGATGCGAAGGTATCTGCCTCGCCCGCATGCAGTCTACCAATCTGCTTGATCTGTCTTATAGTTACCATATTAATCCTTATTAGAAACGTCTTTACATACAATAACAATTACCTTTACACTATCAATAACAAAGTCATGCTTTACCACAATTCCAGGTATGCTGTTGTAAATGAAGAAATATATATAATTTAGCATAACAAATAACCAAATAAAAGATGAAAAACACAGGTTTTGTATTAACATGTATGTTTGGACCGAGCTGTATTTGGTTGACATTACCTGTCCCAGGCTCAAAGATGATAGTTGGATCAAAGGTATGAGAATCCAGATATGAACCATTGTATGCCCTGATCTCAAGCTCCAGTTCGAAAACTCCACCATGCAGCTTGACGCCTAGCTTCTGCAATGGTTTGGTGATTTCAAATTTATACAAACGGTCAAAGATAAAAGGCATCTCTGTTTCGCCTCCAAGGAGATAGAATGTTCCAGCTTCATGACTGCAGTCATGACCACGACGTCCATCAGGCAGACATATGTAGATAGTTATGTCAGCGGAAGTTCCTATGTTATGAAGAAGGAAGCCTGCAAACACCCTATCATGATGTTTCCTTTGCTTCAGGGTAACATCAAGACTTGGGATCGATAGATGATGGAACTCAAGGTTGTCGTACTTGTACCCGAAGTGGTTCTGGTAGTCGAAACCGTCCTGTGGTTTTGAGTATTTTAAAGTGATATTGTCGTGATTCTCATGCGGATCGCTGAATGGCTTCAGTGGTTGATGCATGAGGTTGATTGCACAGTTGGCTTCTTCATAAGGAAGATCTCTGTATCTTTGTAGTTCCTGCCAGATTGCCCATAATCTGTCCGTGTTGGCATGATGGAGGAAGAAGACGGGATCAAATGCAGAATAGTCCAGGGAGGACATGGAGTACTGTCCTTTACCTCCCAACATGGAATGAAGTGCGTTATGAACAAGCTCAAATTGAATTTCAAAGTCACAATAATTTTCCTGCTCTAGTGCAAGTAAAACATTCTCGTACATGTAATCTGAGTTGAAGAGCCCTTCCTGTGGGTCCCTTGTTGTCACTGCATTTTCAAAAGTAATCCTTCCCCTGAAGAAAGGATTAGGATCGTATCGTTGTTGTCGGGAATTGAAGTACGTTGCATCATCAATGAAATGAGGTAGATGATCTATGGGAGAAGTCCACTCCCAGTAAGGAACAGCTACACCAGATCCCCTGTTTAGGAGAGCATTCTCAACCTGAGCCACATACAGTCTGTGCCACTGGGGGAAGGTAGGCATACCATGAACGCAGCACGCAATACTACGATGATTCAATTCACATTTGCCTGGTTTGCCATGGTACTGGGCAATAGATTCATATGTTCCGTCATTCTGAATATGCAGGAAAGCAGCTCTAAGGCTTTCCATTTCTCCGGTGTTAAGGTCATTCAAGTTTTTCCTGATATGGCTGGCCCCAGTTACTTCTTCAACATAGGTATGATGTTCACGGGTGCCTGTCGGTAAAAAGTAACACCTATAAATGCTTCATCCTATTTTGAGTCTGTGTCATTTCACAATACATGTCCTAGGCGACTATCCATTGTAACAATTTGAAACAATGCACTATAATATCTCAACATGAAAATACTGTGAAACAGTATCCATGATCTCATTTAATTGTTTATTTAAGTGTTCGATGTACTTTCTTAGAACACAAACACATTTTTCTGAATAATACTACATCTCCAACAAACAGCAACATATTGGCACCTATATCCGTCCCAGCCAATGCCTCCTTTTTAATGCAATGCAATCTCAAATTACTACATGACTTGAGGATGGAATTATTGACATCAGTTAGCATTACCTTATGATTAAATTCACATACCTGTGCCTTTATCATGGATCACATTTGCTGTATGGAACAGGTCAGTTCCTAAACTCGTTCCTTTAAGATCAAAGACTTCGTAGTGAATGAAGATATTATCATAAAAGTGTAGATGGTTTTCTTCCAGAACGTGAGTAATATCATACTTGAAAAGTTGGTCATAGGCCCAAGCCATCTCGTTTTCGTCCCCGAGTAGGTAAAACTCTCCTGCTTTATGGCAATGATCAGGTGGTGTACAGACTTCAAATTTCACAAGAGCAGATTTTTTAATTCCCGACAACAAGAATCCAGCAAATACTCTTTCGTGACTCTTGATTTTATCAAGCTCTCGATTAAGTTGTGAAATTGACAAACCATTAAATTCCAAGGTATCATATACGTAATGGAAATTATCCTTATAGTTGAAGACATCAAACGGTATGGCATGCTCCCTGGTGATTATGTCAGGGTTAATGTCACTGCTCAGTCCAAATGGCTCCAGGGGTCTCCTCATAGATGCAATGGCACAGTTGGCGGTGTTGTATGGTTTGCCTCTGTATTTTTGCAGGGACTGCCAAATCGCCCAGATCCTGTCGGTATTTGAATGATGCAAGAAAAAGAGTGGATCGTATGCTGTATATCTCAGTGATGCCATTCCATATGGGTCTGTTCCTCCTACAAGTGCATGGATGAAATTATGTGAAATCTCATACTGTACTTCAAAAGAACAGAAATCATCTTGTTCTAATGCTAAGAGGACTTGTTGAGCAATATCTGTGAAATGTCCAAATTCAGGTTGTTGATATAGATCCGACCGTACGCTTCTCGTGGTATTATGATTAACTGTATCAATATGGCCATTGAACCACGGATTATGTTTCTCGTGATGGTCAGAAGGATCTGTAAAATGCTCATGAGCAACCAGATCAGGAAGTTTGGAAACTGGACGGGTCCAATCCCAGTATGGTAAGGCACCACTGTACCCATGCTTTCTGAGAGCATTCTCCGCTTGGAGAGCAAGAAGCCTGTGCCAGTGTGGGAAAACAGCCATGCCATGAACACAGCAGGCAACCTTGTGCTCGGCTTCAGGATTAGGGCACCATTTAGGCTCTCCATGGAAGGCGCCAAGCTGATTGAATCCACCAGCAGAATGATCCTTTTGAAGAAGGTCCAGGGCTTTACGCAGCTCATTTGTTTCTTCAGGAGTCAAGCTGTCAACGTTTTTTCTGATACGTAAGCTGTGCGCTTCATCCTCAAAGGAAGCTGAAAGAACATGGATATTACAGTGATTTGTTTGCACAAAGTATTGATCGTTCTTTAACGCCGCATTCAGCAACATTACAGTGAGCGGGTATGGTTCTTTTAGCTTTGTTTCCATCAATATAACTATGAAAATACACAATGCCATTTTAGAAAGTGGTCAAATGTAACATATGTTATATTTGGGATTACACTTTCTCAGTAAAGCACAGATTCTAGTACTTTTTGGGGGTTGAGTTCCATTCGAGATTCGAACCCACACCCTCTGAGTCAGGCACTAAATCGCCAGCACACAAAGTCAGACGCATAGAGCGCTCAGCCACCAGGCGTCTGACTTTGTGTGCTGGCGATTTGGTGCCTGACTCTGAGGGTGTGGGTTCGAATCCCGGATGGGACTCAACCCCCCAAAAGTACTAGAATTTGTACTTTACTAAGAAAGTGTAATCCCAAATATAACATATGTCAATATAACTATTTAACATAAATTCTGGGCCATCAGAAATTGACCACACACACTGAACTCATGATAATACAGACAGATAATTATGACTTGTAAATAATCGAATCTGGACCAGGGAATCTAGATGACTAATTGCTGTCTGGGGACATTAGTATGTTGCTCCATTAAATATAAAAATATATTTTCCACTCATAAATGGTTGAATAATACCGTGTGGAAGATATTTCAGGCATGACATGACGTCATATTGACAATGGGTATGATAGGATATAATAAGATGTTTATATAGCGCACATATTCACACAACTAGTACATGCTCAAGGCGTTGGTATTTTTTTTATTGGATGTCAATCTCAATCACATAGTATTATTAATGTCAACTCCCTGGGGACCATACAACTCTTGCAGCCACTAGGTGCACCGAGTCATTACGGCTTTCACATCCTTACGAGGTACCCATTCACAGCCGGGTGGACTGGGACACATAGTCACAGTACTTTGTCCAAGTTTACTGCACGTTGCTGTACTCGTAACTGGTGTTTGCACGTATTCATGCGGTCACCATCTAGATCTGGCCATATACCAACGAATTCGTGGGTGCACAGGGTTGTGTACTGTACACTAGGGGTTGTGACAACACTGAAAGAGTCTGCACACAAAGTTGACTCCAAGGTTTTCACACCCGGTCACAGGTGGGCTCGATCCCGACACTTCAATCTCGCTGATCACTAGCCTGGCGCCTTAGACAGCTCGCCCACCATGTCCCCCGTTAAAACCACTGTGACGTCATAACTCATTACTTCAACAGTGAGACCGCCTCCGTGGTGTAGTGGTTAGAGCGTCCGCCCGGAGAGCGGAAGGTCGTGGGTTCGATCCCCGACCGCGTCATATACCAAAAGACGTTAAAATAAGTTACTTGTTGGTCCCTGCCTGGCGCTCGGCATTAATGGGTACAACAACGACTGGTCGGCTCGGAGTCAGTATACTGTGTCTGAGTGGGGTATTCATGCTTCACTGCGGCATGGTATCTCAGTGAGCTAGCACTATAAAACCAGCTTAAGTCTGGGCTAGTACAAGCAGCCGCACATACACATACACACATGCACGTCGTCATATGAGCGAAATATTCTCAAGCACGACGTTAAACCCAATTTCACCTCACCTCACCTCATCTTTAGCTGTATTCAAGTCCAAACTTACAACCCATCTCTTCTTCAAGTACTACCCTTGACAGTGAATTTAATAGATTGTGCCTAAACCTGCACACATGATTGTCTGGTCCAGACTCGATTATTCACAGACCATCACCATATAGCGGGAATATTGCTGAGTGCGGCGTTAAACAACGAACAAAACAATGAAATAACACATCCACTACTTTTTTAACTTGTTTGTTGTCGATCAGAATAAATACAATTACCTATACATATATTGCATTATACATTTAAATAAATGAATACGCGTTTCATAGAATTGTAAGAGAAGACCATGTTTTGTCAGGTTACTTACGATGAGCTGGCTCAGATATAACTGCTGCGTGTGGAATCAGGTCTGTATCAAGTTCGTTTCCATGCATATCATGAATAGTAAAAGTGACTTCATAGTCCCCATCGACTTCAAGCGAAAGTATCTTTAAAGCGTCAGTTATTTCAACCTTATACACGCGGTCAAACGCCCAAGGCATTTCCTTGGCACCGCCAAGAATGGCAAAATCTCCAGCTTTGTGCGGTTCAGACCCTGTTTTTTTTATGAAGATATCAACAAGTGCAGATTTCCCTATTCCACCAAGGAAAAATCCTGCAAAGACTCGTTCATGCTGTTGTCTGAGATGTATAGCTTCTTCAATTTCGTCAAGGTTCATCCCACCAAAAGTTAGATCATCATAACTATAATGTAGCTCTTCCTCATAGTCATAAATATCAGTCGGGATAGAATGACTATGTGTCTTCTCGTTGTTGTTAAGAGGTGATGAGAAGGCAAATGGCTTCATTGGCGTCTGCTCTACAGACTGTGCGCAGTGGGCTTGATATGGCTTATGTCTCCTGATTTGAAGAGCTTGCCAGATTGCCCATAGACGATCGACATTGGAATGATGAAGGTAGAAAATCGGATCAAAAGCTGTGTAATGAAGGGTGGCCATGGAGTAATCTTCGGAGCCCCCTATCCAGGCATGAATTGAGTTATGGACTAACTCAAACTGGATCTCAAAGTCGCAGAAATCTTCCTGCTCAAATGCGTACAGGATTCCATCAAACAGATGTGTATGATCCCCATAAGCTGCTGGAGCAAACAATCTTGAATCTATTGACCTGCTCGTGTGATGGTGTCCCTCCGCAAAAGATATATTTGCATTGTAGAATGGATTATGATGTATGTGTCCATGGGGGTCTATGTAGGTCGCATCTGATGCCAACTCTGGGAGGTGAGTCATAGGTTTTGTCCAGTCCCAGTAAGGAACACCAATAGGAGACCCACGCCTTACAAGAGCATCTTCTACCTGGGTAACAAACAACCTGTGCCAGTGAGGGAAGGAGGCCATGCCATGCATACAACAGGCGAACCTGACTTTTGCATCTGGTTGCGGACAACGAGCAGGAAGGCCATGGTACTCCACAGTAGCCTGGTACCCATCAACGGATGTGTCCGCCTGAAATCTCTCCAGAGCCCTCCTCAACGCGTATTCCTCTTCACGAGTCAAATGATCTATATTCTTCCGAACAATAAGGTCGTCATCGTGGCGATGATGCACTGGTGCTGAAATAAAAAGAAACACATCACAAATGTTGATTTAACATATTCTTCAATAAAACCATTCAAGTCCAACGTCATTTAAACACATAATTTACATGCTAAAGTGCGTAATATTAAGCATTATGTCAAAGATAATAGAGAATTAAACATGTTCTGTGTCTGTTCATTCACTTTCAAAGAGGTGTTTAAGGCTGACTGACTGGCTGAGTATGGTTTTACGCCGTTTTAGCAATATTCCAGCAATATAACGGATGGGGACACCAGTAATGGGCTTCACAAGTTGTACCCATGTGGGGAATCGAACCCGGGCCTTCGGCGTGACGAGCGAACGCTTTAACCACTAGGCTACCCCACCGCCCCAGGTGTTTAAGGGGAATTGCTAAGACTATATATTTTCTGTCCTGCCCCACATAGTCTAACAACGGTGTACACATGACACATGCTCTTTCGCCTTAGGCAAGTGAGCTTGTACCAATATAGCCTATTAACCTTCTAACGCCTCACAGGCAGCATTGGTTATCAGGGATAATTATGTCCATCATGTTGTTTGCACTTGGAGTGGAGTTCAGAGCTATATTAGTGGCCTTATTATTATGTTTTACAGATTGAGATGAAAATTCGAGGGGGTTCAAGGGATCCTGGCACAGTCAGGCTGGTAAAGCTTATCATCAGCTCCGGACCCTTGCCTCCTCTGCACGCAGCCCAGACAGCAAATGGGACTTCTCCCAGGACTTCTGCCTAGTCGAACCCACCAAGAACTTTCCTGAAAGTATGAAGGCTCCCCAACGCTGCACCCTTCTGCATTACCCAGAGTGTCAGAAGGGCTGTGCTCCTGGTGAAGAACTCGGGCACTCTCCTGATCTGCGCCAAAAGATCAGTAGGTACCAAACCAAGGGCACCGAGAACAATGGGGAGCCTGACGACAGTGTACTTTGGATGCTACCGAGAGATTTCAAAGGCGAGGTCCGCATATTTAGCATGCTTTTCCTGAATCTTGCCAATCACGTTATTTTAGGTAGCATTACTATTATAATTTTGAGCAAATACTATACGTAAAGGACGTAAAGCCCTTTTTTTATACTAGTCTAGTCTACGACTTTTTGCAACATCCTTTAACGCGGCCAGATAACATTTCATTATACTTGTAAACATCTTCAAGTTTTTTAATCACTATAAAATAGTGTTAACACCTTGTGTTCGCGAAAAGGATAGCGCTTCTTGCCCAATTTTGTTTGGGGGGGGGAGGGGGGGCACCCACCGTAATACACCAAAAGGCAAGTTTAATCCGCCAAAAGATGTGAACAAAAGGTATATTTTTGTGAAACAACAGGATTTCAAAATGTATCGGACACCATTTTGCTTAGAGATACGTCCGATTTGGAAATGGATCACTGTTTCAAACTTTTACAAGAGTCGTAAGGCGCGCCCTGAAATCTCTGAGATCAAATAAGATGGGAAACACATTGTATCTATTACAAATCTTACATTCACTTTAGCTTTCCCTTCAATATCATGTGATTAATGCTTAAGCCTTTCACTTAGACATTGTAATGTAATGTTTTAAGAATGTATCTGACCTCTACTACAATTTTGTGTTTTCATAATATCGTTTGTCATTTTCTATACGTAGCTGTCATAACATCACTATATTATCTGCCTTTTTGTCATTACTTTGATCTTATGTGAAATAAGTATTCATAAATATTATATATCATTTATCAAGCTGTGTCATGATCATTAAGAATATTGGTTCAAGTTTTCGCATTGTCAATTATTCTGCTTTGGAGATTTCCTCGGAAACGTTATGACGCGTTACGTAGTGCTAAATGTAACTGGCAAGGTCCTGCTCAAGTAAATGCTGTTGTATTACTATATTGCTGATTATTCATATAGTTCAAAGGTAAACCATGAAGTAATTCACTTCCATTTAATGATTGTTGAAAGGAGATTAAGTACATGTATGTTCGAGGAAAGTAAAAACATTAACCGAAACAATAATAGTTAAGTTCATGTCATACACATATCCCGGAAATCTCTTTAGTTATAGAATTTGTTTTCATGAACATAAAACGTAAACGCCAGATACCGCCAGCTCAACACAGTTTTGATTATTCGGCGAAAATGAATCCACTGCACGTTAAAAGCAAACTAGCGCTGCGACAGATATGAATGGGTTACTGAAAATCTGTTATGACACCAGAGTACCCAGTTCGTACTGGTTGCACTTTCAGTCGCACAGTTTGCTTATTTTTTTTATTATAACCAAATTCTGTCAATTATTCAGACATTTTCATGATGAACCTGAAATCCCGTCAAAATTGTGATGTGGAAAAGTGCATTTATTAAAAACAAACTTAGCTGTAAACTAGTTGAAGCTCCACCCATCGTGTCTAGCTCTGCCACAAACTAAGTTCGAAAAATAGCAATTAATCTATGGAGCAGAATTATATTTCTCAGAATTGTGACCATACTGGCATGGAGGGGTACACAGATTGAGATTTGTTTTTGCTTTCACTATTGAAACCATTCCGGTTTGACACATTGACACAAAGAATGATTCCTGTTGCGTACAAATGTACACTGTTATTACCCAATTTGAAAAACAAACTTCTGCAAATACATGACATGAAGATCATCAACTTACGGTCAAGGTGACCTTTCCCAGGTCGGTAAGCAACAGTTGGTTGAGGAACAAGATCAGGGGAAAGTGATGTGCCATTCACGCTGAAGGGGTTTGCTTTCACATAGTAGTGGCCACTTAGCGGCACTCCAAGGCGATGTACCGCATCAGTTACATCAAAGAAGAAGGGTCTGTAGAATTTCCACGGCATCTCGCTTGCGCCTCCCAGAATGAAGAAGTCTCCCGCTTTCTCGCAGTAGTCATCGCTGCGTGGATCGTCACCAGGGATACATGCATATACAACCACGTTGGCAGAACCTCCAAAGCCACTTAGTCGGAAGCTTGCAAATGCACGTTCTTTGGAGTGGCGTTCGTCTAGTTCTGATTTCAACTTTTCTGGCGACATTCCATTCAGGTATAAGCTATCGTAGCTGAATAATATAAATACGATACACACATTAATCGTCATAGCGATGGTAATGAATATTGATCAGGAGAGAGAGAGAGAGAGAGAGAGAGAGAGAGAGAGAGAGAGAGAGAGAGAGAGAGAGAGAGAGAGAGAGAGAGAGAGAGAGAGAGAGAGAGAGAGAGAGAGAGAGAGAGAGAGAGAGAGAGACTCACTCACCACTCAAATTCTCACTCAACCTACACAAATAACTGCAAACCACCAACAACAACAAAACACCAAAAATCAACAACAAACCAATATAAGCAAAATGAAGTGCTCAGTCCCTACTTTTAGTTGGTCAGAATCATATCACATATGCCACACATTTAGACGACTACACATGGTCATGTATCGTACACTGGCTACGATTTTAAGTAAACTACTAAAAGTAATGACGTCTCACCTGTATCCAAGCTGTTTGTAATCAAAGAGGTCAACGGGTCTCGAATGGTCCTTGGTGAGCTGGACTGGATTGGAATCCCTGTTGAAGGGTTGGAGTTGCTGGCGAGAGAGATCGTGTGCACAATCCATTGCGTTGGGATTCTTTCCCCTCAGTTCCTGAAGACGCTGCCAGATGGCGAAGATACGGTCAACGTTGGAGTGATGGAGGAAGAAGATGGGGTCGTAGGAGGTGTATTCCAAGTTTGACATTGAATATCTGTAAATTGATACCAGTTTTGAGTGTTAAGGTACAGGTGTTCTGGGGAATAATCGTCACCCTAGCCAGGAGAGCAAAGAACATCAGCTCCACAACCGAAGCCCTCAAGCAGAGTCAGAACACCTTCGTCATGTCTTCATAAACCTTAATTCAGTATCCAGCCAACAAAGTCAGCAAAACCGTCGCCCTTAACCAAAGAGACAAACCATACAACCAGCCATCATATCCGCAGACTACTAAAGAAGCAAGCCAACACAGATACTGTGTTCCAGCGAGGCACATCAATTCAGCATCCTTTACAAGCCAGAGGTAAACCAGCTGAAGGAACAATGAGAATCAACGAACATCAGGCATCTGTGAAGACAAAAGACTCCAAATCAGTCATCTCCGACCAAGCCCATCCGAATCATACCATCCCTTGGAACAACATCAACATCCTTTAACCCGACCGCTAACACTACAAGATAGAGACAATAAAACAACTCAACCCAACAATCAACTGAGATCAAGGTTATTACTTCCCTACAGCTTAGCATTATCTTAACAAGGCCAATCATATTAAGCTTCATAACCATTATCTATAATCACAATGTCATCACACTGTCCATCAACATCGTTGATTGTAGAAACTCCAATCATTCATGTGTATATTCTCCTCGTTGATAATGTTGTGTATCCCTTGCTTGATAACGGTGTTAGCTTCTACCCAGAAACCGCCTCTGTTGCAATAAAGAAGTTGTCTATCCATTCAAAAGTTGTTCTTCTTCATCATACCAGTTTCTTAATACCACTCAAAGAAGTTATTAATCAAGCGAGTTGAAAGGAATATTAGAGATTGAATCTGCCCTACACTTAAAACTGATATATTTATAATTAAAAGAAGAATTTAACCAAACTTACTCGAAATTCCCGCCCACCAAGTAATGGATAGCGTTATGAGCCAACTCGAACTGGATTTCGAATTTACAGAATTCGTCCTGTTCGAGAGCATCGAGGACAGTCTCCATAAGGTGTGTGTAGTGACCGGGCTCCACCTTCTCGAAAAGCCGATCATCTACTGCCCTTGCAGTCTTCTTGTTGATGAACGCAATCTCACCCCGGTACCAGTAATTGGTTTGAGCCTGTTAGTATAAACACTCATGCTACTAAGTTTAATGCTATATTTTTTATATATATAGAGATAGGTGTAAAATTGTGACTAATTTAACACGAATTCGTAAATTTAAAACACAGACAGTGAGATTATCACCATTTTGGAGAAACGGTCACATCGGCAATATTGCAGCCACACAGTGACGGTGTCACTGATACAATCTGATTCTGTTCTGAAAACACAATCCTTACCTCTGAATATTTCTTTTGAATCGATGAAAACATATGCACACATTCAGAAAATATTCCTTGCTAAGGATGGCCTGTTGCATGCTTCCGACTATATCAGAACCATAAGTTTATTAAAACTAACAAAAATGCTGACCTCACTGGACTAATTAAATATGTGTGATTACTGTCAAAGTGTTAAGTGAAAATGTTTCATTGCATTCACGAGCGAAGTCATACAGACTCATTACTCATTGTTCTTGTTCTCTCCACACGATTCGATTGGGTGACATTGATCTTTCGAAAGCGCGATCCTGAACATCATAGACACATTGATCAAAGAACCAATCAATTGTGTATTTCTTCTGTATGAACGAGACAACCTGTGTATTTACCTTTCCACCTTTGCTGTCAATGTAGATGGGTTCAGTCACAATAGAGGGTAGGTGAGTGAGCGTTTGCGTCCAATCCCAGTAAGGCATTCCTACGGTCTTCCGTTGGGACAGCAGTGCCCGCTCGGCCTGGACTACATAAGCCCTGTGCCAAAAGGGGAAGCTGGGCATACCGTGGACGCAGCAGGCAATCTTCCGTCCCTTGTACTCACACGAGGCGGGCGCAGCATGGTAGGTTGTTATTTCTCTGACACTCATTGGCCCTGTTGCTTCAGTGAGGTCATGGAGGGCGCCGTGAAGAGCTTGCACCTCGTCATCCGTGAGATGACTGACGTCCTTTCTGACGACGTTGTCTGCGAAAAGACAGCGGAAGTGAGTTGTGTTTAACGCCGACGTACATAATGTTGCATTCATATCACAGCACGTCAGATTAATGTGGGTTTAAAGTCGGAAGCAATGCAGGTTCTACGTACTCGAGGGTAGGAGAGAGGTGCTGAGAACGAAATCAAAGCGAACCATGCATTTGAACGCATGGCATTGGACTCTGGTATGACCGTCACTGTGCATAGCGAATTGTCTCATCTTAAAGGATTGGCCACCCGTTGCTTTTACCAGAAACAACGAGATTCCTAGGTCTAACGTCAGACTAAACACCATCTCACCAGATTATACGGAACCCAAGGCACTGTTAACATTTGTTCAATATTTACCAAAATGTCTCTGTCTCATTTTGAATATCATTAGAGGGACAATAACAAACAAACAAAGTGAGGTTTCAAAGATTTAATGAATGTATTTTTTTCTAGCGATGGCAATAATGTCTACCTTTTCAAGCATTCAATTAATTTACGTACGTTGTACAACAAAGTCCGTAAATACATTTTTTGCACTATAGCTGTTTTAGTTTGGCCCTGTCCGGTTGTATGTATCTGTCCAACTGCTGTATTCAGGCCCGCAAGTGATTTATACAACCTATCGTCTGTGGCTTTCTTGCTGCAGAAGAAGTCTTTCAATGTTTCCAGGGCATCATTAGCATCAGCAAAGGAAGGGGGGCCCGCTTTTGTGTCTTCGTCGACACAATCAGGAGTATCTTCTGTGTCATCCACTTACAAAGAAAATGACCAAAAATGCTTTCAAAACATCTCAGAAAATAGAATGTGTTTACCATCTCGAGAGGATCTTCGCATTGTTTTTACTTATTCTTCAGAGGATTGCTTCAGCGTTGCCATCACAAACTGTTAGTGCTTAATCTAGAGAAGCTGTTAAACAATTATCTGAAAACCTTTCAGTTTCTCGCATAGTCTTTAACTGATAGGTGTGAGCATGGTGCCACACTATCTTCAGAAATACTCACAAAGTGTAATTACACGCTGCTTGTTGCTATTGACCATCTTGAAAACACTCAGAGTGATACTTTGGCATATTCTTCACAAATTTCTACAGATATTGTGACGTCATCTTCACACCCAGTGAAGATTTCTTTGCAGAGCAGATATGTTGTCCCAATGTTCTGTTAGGGACTGGGTGGCTACTTCAGTAGAATGTTTCCCATGTGGACGACAGAGATCATTATGCCCAAAGCATTGAAGCAGGGTAACCTTACAAAACTCTTATATCCTTTCACAAAGCCATTGCGTTTGGATCACCTGTTATTATATATTACTGCGGAAGTATGTATACCATACTTCACTGTGCATTCCGGTTTCAGTCTGATTGCAAAGCTATGAAATAAGTAAAAAAGGTTGGGTTACTGTACGGTCTGCTTTACTTCCATATCAGATTCAAAACTCTCAAATATATCGCATAAAAGTTAAAACACCCCAAGGTAGGATTAAAACCAGTTCTTAGTTTGAGTGATTAGTCTGAATGACTTATTGAGCAGGAGAAACTGTGGTAGGGTTCTTGTGAAATGTGTATCTTTGTACTTCGTAATGACAACCTGAAGGTAGATTGTACAAGGAGTAAAATATTAATGATCAGTCCGGAGATGCAGGTACGTGAGGAGTTCTCTAACTTCGAAATGGACATATTTGAGGCTTGAAAATAATTATCTGAAAGAAAAAACTTTTCAGCAGGAAATTTGGGCTGCAACCTGCAGTAAAACCCGCCTAAAGCTAGCACTTTGCAATGTTCAAATTCATTCATACGCATGTGTATCATACATAATGTTTTTATCATTATGTGTAAAGGTATGAAGCATACATTAAAGTAGTCTGAATAACACTCTTTGCACACAATAATGAGAATACATAGGGTTTTTATCCCTCGGGACATGAAATATTTCCCGATCGGCGCAGGCTGATACTGTGTCTTTCGTTTTTTAAATAAACTCTCAAAAAAAAAGAAACTTGACATGCTGTTTTGGAGTTTACTTACTGAGTGCATATAACTGATTCAAACATGACATCATTGCTCAGTTTCAGTAAAATCATCACTTTACACATTTCCAAAACATGATTATCCAGAAAGTGTTTGGTAAAACCACAGAGGTCTATTAAAGCCACTTGGTCAGAGTAAAATGTCAGTATCTGGTGTGACCATCATGAGCATCGATAACAGCTTGGCAGCCGTGACCCATAGAAGAAAGAAGATGCTGAATGTTGTCTTGAGGAATGTTTTGATACTCTTGCTGAAATGCTGTGTGCAGTTCTTGTGGTGTCTGGGGGGCGGATTACGCAGGCGTAAGCCCCGACCAAGACTATCCCATAGATGTTCAATTGGGTACAAATCCAGTGATCGAGGAGGCCAAGCTAACAACTGAACATTGCTGGAGGAAGACCTGTCAAACACATGCAATGTGATGTCGAGAATTGTCATGCTCCAAAGATCAACCGTTGACGTTGATGTAGGGAACGACATGACGATGAACTGGTCTTCTGGCAAAAAGTCTGTCTTTCCATAGCCAATTGCGCACTGTCTGGTCGGAGATTCGGCGCAGTCCAGGGATTTGGATTGTTGTGGATGATGCGGCCGTGGTGAACGAAAATGTCTCAACCGGATGTAGCGATCCTTGGCAGCGGTGGTAACTCCAGGTCGACCTGACCTGGGTCTGTCATTAACACCCCCAGTATTTTTGTATCGGGTCCATAGGTTTGAGATGGTCTGCCTGGGCACGTTGAAGTGCCTTGCCACATCATGCTGCGATGTCCGTCCTTGTGAACGGCCGAGGGCGTTGTGTCGTTGAGCTTCTGTCAGTCTTTTCATTCTTTTGTCGTCTATAGTGGCTTAAAACAATGCATGTGGGGTATCATTGATGTGGCTTTTGAAGCCTACAGTCACTGGCTTCAGCTCAGGGTGATACACAATTTCATGATGCTCGTGCATTTCATGAAGGGTGCGTTTTAGCGATTCACTACAGTGTAACGTTACGATTTTTTTAAATGTTTCTTTTTTCAAACGTTTTGTCGTCGGAAACCATTCCCCCACATGCTGGGATTCAGCATGGATTAGTTTGTGTCAAATATTTTCCTAAAATTCAAATTTGTCCTGTGTCAAGTTTCTTTTTTTGAAGAGTATAGTATATGGGGATATGCTATTACACATAAAACCGGTTCCAACAAAAAACAAACACAACCCCCCCCCACAACAAAACCCCCAAAACGATTGGTAATGGTTACATTTATGTCTTCTCTCCCCGCAAAGCCCATTCGACCTTACTGTTAACTTGCTTTCCATATCTTTCTCTCTCTCGTTATTTCAAATTTTTTAAAACCTACATTATGAGAAAATATAACACAATATTCGATGACAGATGCTAATGAATTGGAAATAAGCTACTAAAATGGCAACATTAAGCATTTATACATTACACAAAAACATGGATGAAAATTAAGGCAGTTTATTTCAAAATATAGCCTTCTAAGTCCTACAATCACCACAAAATGGATGAGGAATGAAATATCTAAAACTAATTGTTAATTCAGACACAAACTGAAACAAATTGTAAACGGAATAATAAAATTGTTTGAAATGTTATATTAACATCCGCATGTAGACAAAAACCAAAACACTGGTTCGAATGCAATATCTGTTTACTAGTTCCACTTACATATTCGTTTGAGTGGTATTCTAGAAGTTGGTGGTATAGAGTGAGTGAGTGAGTGAGTAAATAGTTAACGTCACATCGGCAATATTTCAGCCATATCGTGACGAGAACATTTTACATTGAAATGGAAGGTGGTATAGAGATGACAAATCTTTATGGATATTGTATATATTGTATATAAACTGGTGTACCCCAGCATTTTCCCATATGCTTGAAAACAGTATAAGAAGCTATACCGAATTGTCGCTATTGTTTAAATAAAGAAGTTGATCATCCATACAGTTGTGTCGTCTTTCCACTTACATATGCTTCATAATTGTTTTGCCGTATAAGCGGTTGCTAAGTCAAACGTTGAAACCCCGTAGAATAATCGCAGTTCACTATTCAGGATCTCGGTTTCATTTTTGAGATGTAGTGATACCTTTGTGGAGAAAAGTACTGCATCCACATTTGGACACAACAGTCAATCTGCTAGATATAAAGATATTTTGAGAGTGTGTACTTTTGTTCATAAAGTGCCGCGTGTATGTTTAAAAAATTTAGAATGTTTAAGCTTCATCAGACCAATTAAACTTGTTTGTGATTTTCTAACTTTCGTCTTTTTTTCGATCAACGTTTCTCCACAGTTCAAGGTCAATAGCATTCCCCCTGTTACGCAAATCAGCCATATCTTCATCTGTGCCCTCTTTGGAGACACTCTCGGGAGGGTTTTTACTGGAGTCCTGTAGCGGGTAACTCTTGCTCTTTCACTCCAGGTATCCATCGTCATTCTCTTTTTACACTCTCTATATCCTCTTTGGTATTGCCATCGGGGATTTTCCGTTTTCTGAAATCTGTATATAATCGTTCTTTAGAGACAAGAAACTGAAATATTTAAAGCTCATAACAGTTTCCTTCCTAATGCATCGTCAGAATATACTAGTTTATGTCTTCCGCTCATGTTCATGTATCCCGTGTGTGGCTAACCTGAGTAATATTTATCCCTTGTGTCATTCTGTACAAAACAAACGTGTACAGTAACTGTGTCAATGAATCAAATACCTTCACACAACTTCAGATACAACAGATGCATATGAAACCTGTTTCACTGACTGAGTTTGGTTTTTACGCCGCTTTAAGCAATATTCCAGCAACATCGAGGCGGGGGACAACAGAAATGGGCTTCACACATTGTGCCCATGTGGGGAAAACCTGTTTCAAGTGAATTGTATAGTTGATAGTTGGTCACCTTTACCACATTTCCAAAACACATGTAATGCTAACATTCAAGCCAGGTTTGTTTGTAAGAATGCATAAAAGCATATGATTTATTAGAGGCACTCACCACGTCAGGCCAAAAGAACGTCAACGGTTGATAGCAGTAGTTCATCTGTCCCGCCAGACTAGAGGCAGCATGGCTTTACAATCGGAAATACTTAGATAATAATCCGCTGGAACCCACAATCTGAATGTACTCGTATGGACACACGCATCTGACGGAACTAAAGAAACAGTAACACAACTCTCGCACTTCCAGAAACAGTATATGCATTAATGTGGATACATGTGGCCATCATGGAAACGGTTTAGTAATGTTTAACTGACTACTTTCATGGTAGCGTATCTGATGTACAATGTCACACAGTTGCTAGCTTTAATCAGTTTAATCTTATGAAGACAAAATACTATGCATGCGTAACAAATGATGAAGAACAGCACTCACTGAGTGTACTGATTTATTTAAAAAGGATGAATAATTACATGCTTGAGATGAAACTACTTGGAGTATCAGCGTGTAAAGTCGTGGAAAAATATCTAGACTTTTCACTTATTTAGGACAAATTTTTACATTCAAATTCTGGTCACGATATGGCTGAAATATTGCCGATGTGACGTTAAGTTTTACCTCACTCCCTAATAAGGACAATGAGGAGAATGAAGTAAAGGAAGTGTACGTTAAGTGGAGAATTAGGTGAGTAGAGTATCAATTGACTATTCCATGTTGGGAATCGAACACTGATCTTTGGGGTGACGAGCCAATACTTGAACCAAATGGCCTTCTTGCTGTCTTGTTTCTTGCCCACACAGCGTATAAACATGTACCATGACACTGATGTAAACTTACCTGCTCCAGCCCCCGTCTGTAGAAATATAAAAATAAAAATACACATTACATATGGTATGCTGTTAACTAATGGAAAAGCGAGAAGAAACATATACCAAGCTGAAAAATATGGAAACTTTAGGAATGAATTGTACCACACATAGCATAAGCAAGGGCGCACGAGTTGGGTGAAACAAGGTGTTTAGAAGTATTGCAGTCACGTCAGAGGAGCGTGACACATTCAAGCCCGGTACAGTGTTGATGCACACCTGAAGGACTTCACTCAGCTAAAGCACATAGTCACATATATCTCTATGACCGGAAACTGATTCGACTGTGCCCACAAACACACACAGAAATGAAAACAGACAAAAAACTTAATTAATTTAACAAGCAAAGAAAAGCAACACGCGAATCATTTGGGTAAGGCGTGACAACATTAAAAAAATGTTTTCCTGTGACCTAGAACCTTTACATAAGTCCAAAGAAAAATATATTACATCAATATGGGTTTTGGAGTGGGACTATTTTTCTATAAACTCTAAACGACGATGAATATATGTATATCTGCCCCAAACAATTTCAACTGTCTTACACAATATATCTGACATATATAATGTATAATACAACGGCTGTAGTCCATCGTGGAATACACCATTCATAAATATAAATGTCACTTATTTACAACAGACGACTCTACGTCAAATTTACAGATTAACCGTGTTATTAAACTGAAAAATGGATATCTTCAAAGGATCAGCAACCATAATAAAGTACAATAATACTATGTTGATACATAATTAAAACAAAACAGCATGCGAATGTAAAATGAGCTCAAAGTAAATATACATCACATATTAATCATAAAAACTCTCTAGAAGTAGATTCCGTGATACATATTAGAATATAACATAAGCCTGTGTTTATAATTCACTATTATTTAATACCAGATGTTTGCGAAAAGGTAAACGTATCCTTAAAACGAAGCATACAACTTCATGGACGACAACGTCTTGTTTAGTGCACAGAGCGATGAAAAGTTGTTATCTAAATTGTCAAAGTACAGGTTTCTTGTTAAAAGTTCAGCAAAATATATGCATAGTTCAAATGTCATGTTGGGTGTAATTTGGGGGTCTAAACCTATTATAATAAGGGAGCACTCCTCCGATAGTATCCGATTTCTATCTTGTTATGTATGTTTCGATGCATTGCACAAAAAGTAAGGTCAAAGTAATCACCAACCGACCAACCAAGCAAGCAACCAAACAACCAACCAATCTGTATTCAGTACTTAAAGACCACAGGCCATTAGTACAATATATAGTAGTAGTATATGAAAGAGTTTTATACACGATATTGATATTATGTTTTCATGCAATTATGACGTTCAGACGATGCTCGATGGCGTTATTTTTTTGTGAGTTTCATAGCATGATATATAAACATAGCAACATTCTGAATCCAAACTTATGATAAGGGAGCAGTCCTCCGATATTATCCGTGTCTTTTGTTATGTATGTTTCGATGCATTGAACAAGAAGTAAGACAAAAGTAACGGAGTCTTGAGATAGAATAATTGAAAACCCTTGATCCTATTTTAAGATCTTTCACCATTACGCCGTGCTCTGTATGGAATTAGAGACTCACTGCTTTTGAAACGGGATGTTTTTTTACTTTTACGTTGCATTCGAATAAGAATTGTTGGAAATGTAGTATACACAGCACATGTTCAGGGTTACTTATCCATATCCATTCTAAATTCTGCATATATCCATGGTCTTTATACACGTGACTGTGTTAAGAATATATATGATATATTCTATAATCAGTGAGTGAGTGAGTGATTTTAGATTTTAAGTCACATCGGCAATATTTCAGCCATATCGTGACTAAAGCAAGTTATAAATATATCAAGAATTTAAGTTAAATGATAAAATTCTGCCAACGAAGGACAGTAAAACAACTAGGGTATCACAGATACAGATATAAAACTAGTAACTAAATCTAAAACATTTGAACTATACAAGACGATACAATATAAAAACAGGCTATTGATCGCCAACAACTGAAGGTAGAGCACCATACTAGGGACCATGGGGACTTACAGTACATTTGCTTCCTGCATGGACCCTAGCTGGATTTACACCATCCCTTCAGCCATTGGCGACAGAAGAGAAACCTAGCCATAAATTAAAAGTACACATATTCTACGATTAAAAACCTGGTACACTTAAATTGACTAAATGTTTTGGGACTTACATACCCTCTCAGGAGGACAATAATTTTACGCTACTTCAACCCCCTTTGAGGGTACAGCTACTAACAATATCAGTTACTAATTTAAACTACCAATAATAAAATATATATCTATTTACAAATCAGTGAGCAAGTCTAATTTTTTTAAAAAAGCAATAATTAAATGAGAACTTGTATGACTAAAAGATCCTTCATAGTTTTACTTTGAAATAAATATCCCTTGTGATGGAATATTCAACACAGTCAAGCAAGACATGCTTGACCGTGATTCGTTCATCACAAAGGGATACAAACTGGAGGATCCTCACCTTTCAATAGGTACTCATGCGTATATCTTGTGTGGCCAATACGACATCGTCGTATGATGACCTCTTCAAATCTGGACTGACAACCCAAGTAAGTGTAACCGATATAGGGTTTTATTGCATGTAATTTATTGATACCTACTTGGGTGTCCCACTTCTTTGCATCAGATCACGGATGTAAGATCTAATACAAGCTTTGTAATCAGAGTATGGGAGCAGAAGTGGTGTCACAGATTTGTTGAGTGCAGCCTTAGCAGCAATATCAGCCATCGTGTTCCCAGAAATGCCAACGTGGCTGGGTAACCAACAAAAAGACGATGTCGCATTGGCCAGTAGCAAGCTCATTATACAATTCAATAATTTCTAATAAAAGTGGATGTTTGCAAGAAAGATTTTTTATAGCCTGAAGACACGAAAGAGAATCTGAAAAGATGATATATTGTTTATATTTACGGTGTTTATTAATATATTTAAGAGCTGTTAGTATTGCGTTTGCTTCTGCTGTGAAAATTGAACTGTCATTGGGTAGTCTGGAAGATATTGTTTTGGACCCAATGACAGTGGCACAAGCAACCGCGCCACCATCCTTGGATCCATCTGTATATACGGATTTATAGTTATTATATTTATTTCTTAATTGACTAAATTCTTGTTTATACTGTAAATCATTAGTTTCGGATTTTTTAAATGTGGTTAATGTTAAGTCAACGTCTGGCCTCACCAATTGCCAAGGAGGAGAAGAAAGAAGACGGGAAGGAGATATATTCTCCAGCTCAATGCCGGCAGCAGAAAGGAATGGTTTAATTCTGTGCCCAAGAGGCGGAACAAGAGAAGGCTTTTTGTTATACAAATCCTCATAAAGAGGAGTGAAGATGCAGTGAAACGCAGGATTGGACTCGTTAGAATATAGCTTCGTAATATACTGTAATGATAATTTTATACGGCGTTGGGTAAGAGAAGGCTCATCTGCCTCGACGTAGAGACTGTCAACAGGAGATGTTCTGAAGGACCCAAGACAAAGTCTCAGACCTTGATGGTGGACTGAATCTAATAGTTTTAGGTTGCTTTTGCAGGCTCCACCATAAACGATGGAGCCATAATCAAGCTTCGAGCGGACAAGTGATCTGTAAAGGTGTAGGAGCGTAGCTTGATCCCCTCCCCACCTTGAATTAGACACGACTTTCAATAAATCAAGTGCCTTCAGGCATTTAGTTTTGAGAGATTTGATATGCGGAAAGAAAAGTTAAATGGGAGTCGAAAATGAGACCTAAGAACTTGGCCTCTTTTACAACCTTGATGGGAGTGCCATTTAAAAACAGTTCTGGGTCTTTATGTGGTTTATATTTTCTACAGAAGTGTAGACAATTAGTTTTTGATTTAGAAAATTTAAAGCCGTTTTCAAGACACCATTTATTTATTTTATTTAAACACAACTGCAGTTGCCGTTCAATAGTATGCATATTCTTACCGCGACAAGAAATGTTAAAATCATCCACAAAAAGTGATCCATCTATTGAATCGTTTAAAACCTTGGATAAACTGTTGATCTTAATGCTAAATAAAGTTACGGACAAAATACTGCCTTGTGGGACACCCTGATCCTGATTGTAATGGTCAGACAGGGTAGAACCCACTCGGACTTGAAATTGCCTGTCTTTTAAAAAACGTGATATAAAAAGAGGTAAACGACCCCTTAAACCAAAATCATGTAAATCCTTTAAAATGCCATGCTTCCAGGTGGTATCGTACGCTTTCTCGAGATCAAAGAATAGCGATACTGCATGTTGTTTATTGACTATTGCATTTTTGACGAAGGATTCTAAGCGTACCAAATGATCAATGGTACTACGATTTTTCCTGAAACCACATTGGATATTTGTTATGAGATTATTGGTTTCAAGATACCAAGTTAATCTATTATTCACCATTCTTTCCATGGTTTTACAGACACAACTCGTTAAAGAGATTGGTCTGTAATTAGACGGATCAGTATGATCCCGGCCAGACTTTGGTATAGGGACTACAATGGCATTACGCCACGAAGGTGGGAAATTCCCTGAAGTCCATAGTGTGTCAAAAATATTTAGAAGAGTTTCCAAACATGATTCCGGTAAATGCTTCAAGAGCTGATAGTGTATGTTATCAGCTCCTGTTGCTGTGTCATGAGCTTGCTCAAGGGCAGCGTGGAGCTCATGTAATGAAAATAATTCATTATAATCTTCGCCATTGTCCGAGTTAAAATTTATTCTCTTCTTCTCCTGTTGTTTCTGATATTGTTGAAATTCAGGGACGTAATTGGACGAAGACGAATGTTTGGCGAGAGTTTCACCAAGCTTATTGGCAATGTCAGCCTTATCAGTTAACAAATTATCACCGTCCTTTAAATGATGAACGGTAGATTTGGAACCTTTGCCCTTTATTCTTTGTATCATGTTCCACACCTTTGACATCGGCGTTCGAGAATTTATTTTGGAAACATAGTTTCGCCAAGACTGACGCTTATTCTGTTTAAAACTGCGTCGCGCCTTGGCATTTAACATTTTAAATTTATCTAAATTATGGACAGTAGGATGTCGGCGAAAATATTTTTCTGCTTTCTTCCTACACTTTCTGGCCTGTTTACATTCGTTATTGAACCATGGTTTACGAATATGTGGAACCGCAGAGGACTGAGGAATTGTTCTGTCAGCAATGCCATTAAGGATATCAGAAAACGACTGAATAGGATCTTCACTGTTCCTAAACCGATCATGAGTTAATTGTTCAGCACACAGAGTCTCATATAATGACCAGTCAGCCCTGGCAAAGTTCCTTCTCGATAAAGGTGGATCATCCCCAGGGTTGACTGTTTTGAAATGGTGGGGAAGTGATCACTCCCACATAGGTCATCATGGACCACCCATTCAAATTCATTATACAGGCTGGAGGCGGCAATTGACAGATCCAGGAAGAATATGTTCCCGTAGCTGGATGTAGATAAGTGGGAGAATCATCGTTATATATACACAGGTGATTATCGGAAATAAATTCCTCAAGGATTTTACCTTTAGTATTAATATGATCACTTCCCCAAAGCGGGTTGTGACCGTTCAGATCGCCCATGATGAGACATGGCTTCGGAAGTTGATCAAACAGATTTTGAAGATCTGATTGTTGAATATTTGAAGAAGGAGGTATATACAAGCTGCACAATGTCAGAGCAATGTGCAGAGTGAGACGCACAGCAACAGTTTGAAGATCCGTATTTAAAGTGACAGGACTGTGAATGACACTCTGGTGCACCAAAATAGAGGCACCACCAGTAGCTTTATTGCCTGGAGGGGAGAAGGAATGATAATCACTAAACCGTCTTAAATTAAAAGTATCAGTATTTTTAAGGTATGTCTCTTGAAGACATAATGCTGACGGTTGAAGATCTTGAATGAGTAATTGTATGTCATTGAAGTTATTCTTCAGTCCTCTGCAATTCCACTGAATTATATTAGACAATTGAGTCATGATGGTGGCTCAATCAGAGATCTCTCTCGTGAATGGGAAGAAGAGCTATTCCTCCGCTTGTCCTGTGAGGACATTGTGACCTCCATGTCGAGAGGTCAAAAGGGTTCTCCAGAGGGATCTCTGAAGGTAAAGGGACAGAAGGTGTCTCTTTTCTGTTTAATTTTTTTCCTTTTCCTCTTGCTGAACTGGCTGAGTGGGGCTGTTTGTTTACTGATTTTGACTGTAGCTCAGGTTGACTAACAGTCTGAGAAGAAGAAGTAGTCTGTGTAGCTGGTGACATAGGTTCAGTAACTGGGGACTTGTGTGGACTGGCTGAAACAGGTCTTTCTGACTTGATCCATGTCAAGTCAGTCTGGCAAGCTATAGATGATGTTGCTACAGCACGTGTGACTGCAGCGGAATAAGTTATACTCAAAGGAGTTGAGTTCTGAGTTGCGTACAGTTTTTTTGCATCTAAGTATGAAATACTTTTTTCACACTTTAGTTTCATAATTGTCGCTTCCCTTTGCCACACAGGGCAGGATCTGGATGATGGAGGATGAGGACCTTCACAATTTGCGCATTTATACTCTTTTTGACAGTCTGTATCAGCATGATGGTCTCCACAGCGGTGACAAACCACAGAGTTGCGACATGATTTCGACCCATGGCCAAAGCGTTGACATGTATAACACCGGAGTGGATTGGGGACATACACCTCCACTCCGATGTTTAAGTATCCAGCTTTAATTGATTGGGGAATGGTTGCAAGAGCAAATGTCAGGAGATAGGTGTTGGTGTTAATGACGACACCCTCTCTCTTCATGGTGAAACGTTTCACCGCTGTCACAGCCTGCTCCTTAAGCTCTGTTGCAATGTCCTCCTCGGACATATCCGATAGACAACGAGCTCTGTCCCGAACGATGCCGCGACAAGAATTTAAAGTTCTGTGCACAGACACAGCAACCTCAATATTTGCAAACATTTTGATTGACAAAAGATTTAGAGATTGCTGTTTCCGTGCACACTCGACCAGAAGCGAGCCGCTACGAAGACGGGTGACGTTCGCCACTTCCCCACAAATTCCAGATATTGCTTTGGAGATCGCAAAGGATTAAGTTTGATAGGTAAATTATCTTTGCCTTCTATAACCAGAAATCTAGCCCATGACTCAGCACTTGAAGAGGTATTTCTTGTAGTTTGGTCAAGTTCATCCAAACGCCTTTTCTTTTCATTTCTCAGTGAACCAGATTGTTGTGACGCCATAATGAAAGGAAAAAGATTCAGCACCCCTGCTCCCCATCCACCACGGAATATCAACAAGGACAGTGTCATATAGCACCGGATCTCCAAGATGCTGACACCAAGGATACAGGGGTGTTATACTCAAGTGAATACGACATGAATAGCTGCATTTATCTACCAATTTAATGCCAGACTGGTTCGGACCTTGAGAAGAAATTCGAGACATGCATTATTCAGTGGTCAACATCACCAGATTGGCCCATGAGCCACCGCCTTCTGGCATAGGACTCTAGGCAATTTCGTATATAAATAATTTGTACATTGAAAATCAAAATGTCCAAGGCCCAATAGTAAAAATGTGCAAATAAAATAACTATGCACAGGGCTTGGCGTGACCAGCCGATTGGTAGAACCGGGCCAGTTCTACCACCCGTCTAGGTGAAGTAAGGGCCAAAGTGGCGTGTTGGGCAACAGGAACACGGTTCCAGGCCCCTGCTGCCCTCAACCACCAGAATCCCGTCCTCCACCGACACAGGGGCGCAACCCACGGCAAACGGGTTGGTGGACCTAATATCCCCCCGGGTCCACAACGGGGGGTTGAAGGGCGCTTAGCGTGACCCAGCACCCACCACGAGGAGGTGGCCCTTCATGGGTGCCTATTCTATAATCAATTCAAATTAATCTACATTCAAATTTATTAAAATCTACCTCTGACTGACTGACTGACTGAGTTTAGTTTTAGCAATATTCCAGCAACATCACGGCGGGGGACACCAGAAATGGGCTTCACACAATGTACCCATGTGGGGATTCGAACCCGGGTCTTCGACGTGACGAGCCAACGCTTTAACCACTAAGCTACCCCACCGCCCCTCTACCTCAGAGATCTAAATATGAAACAGAAGAGGTGCAACTGGTTTTATTTATAGGCCAGTAGTTCATTGTGGGTTTAGCCTGTTGACCATTATGTATATATACACACACTAGTAATGGATTTCTTGTTTTGAATGTAAAGCGTGATATTGCTGAAATATTGCTGAAAGCGGCGTAAAACTAAACTCACTCACTCCTTGTTTTCATATTGCCAAATAGACTATTTACACAGAAACAGATCCACTTTGAATGGAGCACAGTTAGTTAGTTATGCCCAAGTCTATATCCTATCCATGAAACATCAAATATAAAATGTGACCCATTTTTAGCTTGCATAAATTTACCTGTGAACATGTCGAATAGTAGTTATGATCATCTCGATGCATAATTATCATACTTCCATGTTAGAATCTGAAGATCTTGCTGCTCTATTCTAAATAGACTACATAATTTGCACTCGTCTGTAAAGATGCATGCCATTTTCAATTCATTGGTAGTCAAGTAACACAGTGCATGTCGTTCTGTGGTCAATCTAAAGTGTGTTTTCAGTCAGCTTTCATTTTTACTTTCATTCTTTTCCAGTAGCAGACTGTTGGCAGTATACCCGTGGTAGGATTACCGCGGGTGGTAGGATTACTGCGGGTATGTTTTGTGTACACCTTCGCTCGTTATATTCTACTCACACTTTGCTAAGGATCACAAAAAATCACAACTTTACTTAAACGTAGATTTACAATTTGAAATTGTATCCATTTAAAACTGGATAAATAATAATATGGTATCACCTTTTTAGGCAAACAGACACTTTAATCTAACCATATGCACTTGATACATGAGTAACCATAAAAATGGTTTTCATGGCACCAATCAACCATTTTGCAAATCATGGAACGAGTCACTGACAAATAAACAACACATGTCAATAGCAGGTATGGGATCCAAAAGATGCAATGACAATCTGAAACCTAGGATCCATGCTTACAATAAGCTTAGATATTAAAACCAAATTTGACCCCACATCATACTTTTTCTGCTGAATCCATGATTTGATCCTTAGCAAAGTGTGAGTAGTACAATACTACACCTGACAATGTAAGAGACTGATGCAATTAAGATTGTATAGCTTTGTAAATAATGACGGAAGAGTATAATTTCAGAATGTGACATGAAATGCATTTCAGCTATTAAGGAACTGAAGACTCATAGGGACACGTTGATTGTAATGGTATTTTAAAATTCAACGTTACACATAAAAAAGACATGGACTTACCGCCAAAGCGACGAGCAGAAAGTGAACCAGCCACATAACGTCTTGTGCAACGGAGTGATGTTCTCCACCCAGAACAGACTTTATAACCATCAATGACAACTGGACAAACTTGTCTGGAGGTGAACCCTTTTCCTAAAGAAGGGGTAGGAGGTGAACCATCCATTCAGAAAGCCTTAGTCATATAGCTCGCAGTTTATAAACAGTTTCTTACTCCATACTAATCCATGTGTAAATTGTCTTTTTAAAAAACCCGATGCTATTGTTTGATTATTTAAGGTCTTAAAAGTCATATTAATATAATCGCTTTATCCCCGTAGGTTCATGGATGGACTTGCCCATTTTTTCATCAATTCAGCAAACGCAGTTGCCTAACTGCTGACTCAACAGTAAGGATTACAACACAACCTTCCATTGGTTGTATTGGATAACATCGACATGTGTGGTCTGGTTTCATCGCCTGCAGTATGGAACGCATGGCGGTAGTTGGCCTAATACAGTGCTCCACACACGAGGTGGACACAGCAAATAACAATGGATGATAATGGTTGTCACATTTGTAGAAACAAACATAGAAACAACAAATAGACAAATAATGATCATTGCATTTCACAATAAGGATGCAAATACAAGTTCTTGATTTCGTGATTCATACCGGGATCGCTACAAAATGGCGCTGGGTGTCATGCATGCAATACTGTTCAAAGTGACGTTAAATGTATTCTATATTCTTCTAAAATATAATAAAATACAGTAGACAGATAGAAATAACTTATGTGGGTATGCGGGGAGTCCCTAAACCTAATCATGATCTGCTCACATTCGCCCTGATTCTCAGCTCCCATTGAGGTGTCCGGACATTCTTACCACTGCAAGCTAAACCTCTGTTCCCAGGAACACAACTCACTCACACATCAGTGGTAACAGGTCTAGAAGTATATTCGGTGTGAAAACTAGAATTGCTGACAGCAACAGGACATATGGATGTTTTGAGAGTCGTACACACATTACATAATGGTTGTTTAGCTCGTCCCTCTGATTCATGGCGATATCAGACAACTGCCGCAGCCATATCAGAATGCAAGTGCTGATTTGACAGAATCTGTTCAAAGCGCTTATAAGCTAAACTCACTCACTCACCCACTGTGATAGAGACTTCTGTATTGAGTATTCTAGTATTAAATTGGCGTAAAGGGAAACAAAAGTCTGATGCGATACAAGTTGTAAACGTTTTTCTTTTGAACGAAACCCGCGACCACGTATGGTGATCAACCAGGCATTAACACCCGCGGCTAGTGGATCCTGGCACAACGTTTAAACTCAACTCTTCTTTTGAATTAAAGAATGGAAAATTCCCTCAAATCGTAGCGTGGTTGTGACTCATAGTCTTCAAAGCACACTGAAATATCATTTTATCAAAGACAGGTGTATTTGTGAGAACTCGCAACCTGGGTGTATTTAATCCATCATGGACAGATATAAGTTTTGGTCACACAGGAACTGATATAGATTTTGGTCACACAGGAACCAATATAGGTTTTGGTCACACAGGAACTGATATGGTTTTTGGTCACACAGGAACTGATATAGGTTTTGGTCACACAGGAACTGATACAGTTTTTGTCACACTGGATCTGATATAGGTTTTGGTCACACAGGAACTGATATAGGTTTTGGTCACACAGGAACTGATATGGGTTTTGGTCACACAGGAACTGATATAAGTTTTGGTCACACAGGAACTGATATGGGTTTTGGTCACACAGGAACTGATATAAGTTTTGGTCACACAGGAACTGATATGGGTTTTGGTCACACAGGAACTGATATAGGTTTTGGTCACACAGGAACTGATATAGGTTTTGGTCACACAGGAACTGATATAGGTTTTGGTCACACAGGAACTGATATAAGTTTTGGTCACACAGGAACTGATATAGGTTTTGGTCACACAGGAACTGATATAGGTTTTGGTCACACAGGAACTGATATAGGTTTTGGTCACACAGGAGCTGATATCTGATATAGGTTTTGGTCACACAGGAACTGATATAGGTTTTGGTCACACAGGAACTGATATGGGTTTTGGTCACACAGGAACTGATATAAGTTTTGGTCACACAGGAACTGATATAAGTTTTGGTCACACAGGAACTGATATGGGTTTTGGTCACACAGGAACTGATATAGGTTTTGGTCACACAGGAACTGATATAGGTTTTGGTCACACAGGAACTGATATAAGTTTTGGTCACACAGGAACTGATATGGGTTTTGGTCACACAGGAACTGATATAGGTTTTGGTCACACAGGAACTGATATAGGTTTTGGTCACACAGGAACTGATACAGTTTTGGTCACACTGGATCTGATATAGGTTTTGGTCACACAGGAACTGATATAGGTTTTGGTCACACAGGAACTGATATGGGTTTTGGTCACACAGGAACTGATATAAGTTTTGGTCACACAGGAACTTATATGGGTTTTGGTCACACAGGAACTGATATAGGTTTTGGTCACACTGGAACTGATATAGGTGTTAATCAAACAGGAACAAATATAATATCATAAGGACATAACGTATTCTAATGTTTTCACTTATTCATACATGATACCAAGGGTTCAAACTAAATACTGAATGGTCACACAAGTGTCAGCTCACAATATATTGTAAACAGTGCCAGCTTTAATATCTGGACATAGTGATTTTGAAAGATTAACATGGGGGTGTCCTTATAAAACACCCCCCGACTAAACATAAATCAGGCAATCCAAATTTGTGAATGTTGATTATGACGGGAAGTCATCCAATACTATACTGAACATATTTTATATGATATTATCTAAGGGTATACCATTATCCAAGAGGTACTAAATGACAGATCGTTTTTCATTTTCTGCAAGTTCTAAAGGAATATTATACCCCAATGTGTTGTGATGACTAATATCTCGTTAACCACATTACCCACATATGTGAAATTTTGGATATGGCTTTGATATGATCAATTCAAAATAAAATGAAACCTCTTTAAACATTGAACATCGACAATATAGTTAAACTAATTTCTTTTTGAACGTGAGTGAGTTTAGTTTTCCGCCGCACTCAGCAATATTCCAGCTATATGGTGGCGGTTTGTAAATAGTCGAGTCTGGACCGGACAATCCAGTGATCAACAGCATGAGCATCGATCTACACAATTGGGAACCGATGACATATGTCAACTAAGTCAGCGAGCCTGATCACTCGATCCCGTTAGTCGCCTCTTACGACAAGCATGGGTTACTGAAAATCAATATTCTAACCCGGACCTTCACGGATAATATGACGCCAAGAAAGATAACAGCAAAACAGGGGATTAACTTTTTTCCCCACAAGGGTACAGTGTGTGACGCCTATTTCTGGTGTCCCCCGCCGTGATATTGCTGGAATATTGCTAAATGAGGCGTAAAACCATACTCACTCACTCACGTTTGAACAACAGTCGTAAGTGTTATTCACACACGGGTAGATAAAAGTGGTAATCACATAGGATTAGATACAGGTGTTAATCATACCTGGCACATACATGTGTTTATCACACAGGATGTCATATAGGTGTTAATAATACGGGGCACAGATATAGGTTTCAGCCACACAGGGATAGATATAGGTGTTTGTGACACAGGAACAGAAACAGATATTAGTCAGGTAGGGCTGATGTAAGTGCTAGTCAGTGAGGGACAGATATAGCTATCAAGAACATATGAAGAACATCAATGTCGTATGCACTGGGAGTGATCTCCTTTACAGCACATTTTACATGGTCAGCCTGCATCTGTGTATTACATAAAGAGCAAAAGAAGGTTATCTACAGGACTCATTAGCTTGATGCTTATATCTCATCATGTCATATCTCAATGGCATATCATCCAGGGCCACGACTGTAGAAAATACTGCCTTCTTTTTTCATCATTCTTGGATAAACCTGTAAATGCCATGACACCTGAGGCAAGAGAACGTACCTCCAGTGAGAACAAACATCAACACCAACATCATCACATCCTAGGTTAACAAGGGTACTATTCTTAATATTCTCATATCTTAGGATCTTAAGTAATGAAAAACATCCTGGACCCAGTCTCTACTATAGCCTAAAGTGTGACGACACCTTCTTCATCACTTGTATTTCTCACTTACCACAGAATGTCTCTCGCTCAATAGCTTCTCTTAACGACAGCTATGGGTGAATTATATCCTGAAATGAATGTTAATAGTGTTTGACTCTTCTAGATGAAACGTGTGTGACATAATTTATAAATAAGCAATTAGGTAGTATTTTGGTTAGAGCCTTCGTGCGTCCTCTAAAGTCAGGGGTTCGATTCCCCACAGATTTCGTTCGTACAGCCAAGTCCGGGGTGTGTGTGTGTGTGTGTGTGTGTGTGGGTGGGGTGGGGTGGGGTGGGGTGGATCCAATATCGATCCAACGTTTATATCTTTGCAGCGATGTATTCAACAAAGGAAACCGTCCCCGTAATGGCGGCCGCCCACAAGTAACGACACCACAAGATCGATGGAACTTTCTCCTCCACACGTACCAGTCAGCGCTGCAACAGAGTATCTGCAACAGAGGTGTATCTGCGAGAATAGTTCCTCGAAGTCTACGCGTATATGGCATCCGTGCCAGACGTACAGCCTGACGGCTAATCTTGACGCCAGAACACTTTTGCACACAAACTGTTTGTTTCTTGCCAGACATTCCACTGCCATGCGTTAAGCATATTTCCAAATGTCAAGCGATTTACTCAACGTTAATCACTGCACATGCACCGTATAGATTCGTTGAAAAGGATCAAAGAATAAAATATTTGAGAAAGTACACCATGTTGAATACTTTCAGTTGTAACAGTGTTTAAAATCAGTTATAGAAATTCACCCCATTGTGCGAAGTATCGTAAAAGGTGACACCCACGTATTTAAATAACCTCTATAAATCAAGTATTAGTTTCCAGTTAGCTCTACATACGTTTTGACATTTTGGAATGGACTGCTGAAGCAAATGACAATAAAAA